AAAGGTTTGCCTGACTCGTACCAAGAGCTCAAGACATCACTAATTTAGGCTTTAATACTGCATTAAAACTTCACCTTTCCAATTACTCACAGGCAATCACCTAAAGGTGCAGCTCTTTTGCAGGAGACTGAGCTGGTGAAGGTGAACTGGCTGGCAAGGGGACTATTTCATCTCCTTTCTACAATCTTTATGGAAATGACCTTTAAAACACTCCAAAGCTTGACAGAAATCCAGCAAATTGTTCTCTAACAGAATAAATTTGTTATCTAATTAGACCCTAATTATAAACAAATTATAAACACCTGTGACTCACTCACTCCTCTTTTTTGGCTTGTGGAAAAAGCAGATTTCTTCTCCTGTTCCTGAAGATATTGTCCAATAATCACCTCACAGGAATGAGCAGCAACTTCACAAGAAAGATGCTCTCTTGTAGCAATGTTTTCCCTTTGTGACCACATATTCTCTCCTGGGACAGGAGGGGTTAAAACAGGTGATTCTCATCTGCAATCCATCATATTCTTCAGGTTTCTCACGATCTGTATTTGACACATTAACAAGCATCACCTCTGATTTTAAGGGGAGCTAAATTTCTGAATAGCAGGACAGCAGGTCAAACAGGATAAATCCAGTCTGAATTTGAAGCAATCGACCCAACTTCCTGGTACCCATGCAGTAATTCCTCTCTAAGTGAGACCAGCTGCCTAGTGAGTATTAAATCTTCCATTTAGCCTTTGGTTCTTGAAAAAATTAATTTAAACACCCAGAGATTAAGAGAGTGTTTAACAGTCTCATAACTACTTTGCTCAATCTCAGGCAGCTGTAGCGGAGAAAAAAAAAAAAACAAACAAGGGCACCCACCTGCAGTAGTTAAAAAAAAAAAAAAAAAGTGTTTTTTTCTCTTAACCTGTTTTTAGATTCTTTACTTGTCTTAATAGAGGGAGAAAAATGGAAAAATGTAAACTTTTCTTTGTAGTTAGTTTAAAAGTAAGGTGTATATATCCAAAACTGTGGTTTAAAAAAAGGTTCTTGACAGACAGGACTTAAATCAAGTCCCTGTTTCTCTTCCTTACATTTTAAGCATCCAGAACTGCTGTGGATGAAAACACCAACACCTTTTTTCAAGCTCTAAGAAAAGTTGATTTCAGGTACAAATTCAGGTGCATATTCCTTTGGCATATAAATTTAAAACTGCCTTGGAGATAGGAAAGAAATAATGTAGTCTACATAGTGGAAAGAGAGGCTTGAAGATGTAGGAGAGGCAACAAAAAAGCAAGGAAAGAAGTCATCCACACAATATTCACCAAGGAGAAATTTCTTTCCAACTCATGCTTTGCCATGCTAAGAGCTTTGCTAGGAAAATCTAATGTCCAGTGTTCCTTGTAGATGCTTTTTATATAGGCTGTATAGGCTTACGACAATAAAACCACATTACTGTAGTCATATAAATTCGAATATATTTCTTATTACTGATAACATATCCATTTCAATCAAGACTGAAAGCCTGATGGTTCAAAGAAAAATCTTATCTATTTCTTTACACCAGAAAAGAAATTAATAAAGCAGACTTCAATTTTTAAACTAAGTGCCTCTTTTCTGGAAATGTGAGTAATGAGATGCATAATGTCACAAAAATCTTGAGCTACAGTAATGTATGAATTTTTTTATCATGATCTAGCATTTTAATTCAACATGTGCTTGTAATCAGATGTCCTTGATTATATCTTGCCATGCTCTGAAAGAAAATCTATATAAACCTAGACGTAAAGTTCTAGAAGAGAAAGATATTTTGCAGGAGGTTTTAGGGCGTGGGAGATAAAGAGGTGTGTTCAGTGTTTCTGCCTACCTGGTTACTGGGAGGAGGTGAGAAGCAGCTCACACTACACTGAGGGATTGCTGTTCCAGGATGAATGAAGTCCACCAGAACAAAGCACCGGCGTTCTTGTCTTCCCACCTGCTTTTCATCCTGCAAAAACAGGCTCTAGGGTTGGGCCTCGAGTGTCTTCTGAAATCACTGACTGTAACCCACACTGCTGCTTTCCCATCACAGCAGCCACTTCTGCTTCCTTAGGTTGTACCTGGCAACATTAGGCTTATCCAAACTTTCTCTTCTTTCAGTATACCCTTAGCTGTAAATAACTGGATTAAAGGTCAAAACTTAAGTTTTGTTGCTGAATCCATGCTCCCCTAGAAGGCAGTCACTGAGGATTGCTTTTGGAAGCACTGGAGAGGTTGCAATATCAGCAGGGGTTTTGTGGATGTTCCCATCATAACTCACATTTCAGCTTTGCTGTATCTGCTAAAACAGCTCCAAGGTACCCGAAAAAAGCCTGCTACTTCCTCCTCTCACTCTGGGAGCACCTGCAAAGCAGAGAATAAGATTCCTAGCAGGAAATCACAGATTTGATGTGTCAGCTGGGATAAGAGTTAATTTTCTTCCCAGTAGCCGGTAGAGTGCTGTGTTTTGGATTTGGGATGAAAATACTGCTGATAACAGACTGATGTTACAGCTGTTGCTGAGCAGTGCTTACATTAAGTCAAGGCCTCTGCAGCTCCTCGTGCTGCCCTGCCAGCCAGGAGGCTGGGGGTGCACAAGGAGCTGGGAGCTGACACAGCCAGGAGAGTTGATGTCAATTGATCCAAGGGACATTCCAAACCGTACGGTGTCATCCCCAACGTATAAAGCTGCAGTGAAAGCTGGCCAGGAGCCACTGCTCAGGAATTGGCTGGGTGTAGGTCAGTGGGTGGTGAACAACTGCATTGCACATCATTATTTTGTACCTTTGAATTCTTTTATTATCGTTATTGTTTTCCTTTCCTTTTCTGTCAACCCTGGAATTTTTTACCTTTTTCCCCTCCAGGTGAGGTGAGGTGGGGGACTCCAGCAAGCAGCTGTGTGATGTTTGGCTGCTTGGTGTGGGTTAAACCACACCAAATGTGGCAGCAGGAAATGCTTTGGACATGCCCTGATTTTTGTGTGGAATCACACAGCTTATTCTTTAGAGGTTCCTGAGTCACAGTGATGGCTACAGTTGTCACAATCTTCTGTCATGGTCATATGTTCTTCGTGGCAGGGAAGATTGTACCCTTCTAAATATGTAAAAATATTTCACTGATGTTCCTAGAATTGTAATAATGTTCTTTTGTTACAGTTGGTTGGGTTTGTATCAGACTTTTTCACTCAGTTGACTAAGGAGAAAAAGCAGTTCTGGGATGTATTGTCAAATGTGAACTTGCTTGGTTTGGGGTTTTTTTTCTCTACAAACACTGAGCTGCAGCCTTTACTGGAGGAGGAAGAGTAATACATAAAGAACTAATTTTACAAGAGAAACAGTTGATAGCACACCATTCTCCGATACTGAGAACACTGATCATAACAATTTATCACATTACTTTAAAAAAAAAATAAGCCAGAGATTATAGAAAGATGGCTTCTTACTCTACTAGCAAGAAAATAAAAATGTACACAAAATTAGTGTGGGGAACAAGTAAAAAACTGACTCTTTAGTACCCTGCTCAAATTAGAGTGTGGCCTGGTATCTTAACGCTTTTCCAGACTTTCTCCCAGCAAAGGATAAAACGTGTAATATTGATAGCATAGTAGACATATTAGCAGTCAAACTAATCAAGTTTTCTCCTGTATTGTGTAAGACTATTTGCACACTTGCAAGGAATATTTTTCCTTCGTTCACATTTCTACACTTCCATCTATTTTTCCTTTTCCTTTTGCAGTTGTTTTACTCTCTTTCTGGAACCCTCTCTCAGCAAAACCAACTGCCTAGCGAGTATTAAACCTCCAGTATAGCCTTAATTTCCTGAAGGAAGGGAACAGGCAGGCAAGGAAGGAGTTTGGGAATTTTAGTTTCTAAATAAGATTTCCACGAATAATTGTCACACAAATATTGCACCACTGGTTTTGAGGAACCAAGAGAAGATGTCAGCTGCTGGCAGCCCTGGGGTGTTTCTCACAGAGGACAAGTTATGGAAAACAGAAGCAAAGACCAACTCTTGTAACTTAAAGTTAATTTAAATGCAGTCTTTGATATTATATTTTTTTAAATCACTCTAAAGTGCCTTTTTTACCAATTTTGAGTTTTGTGAGCAAGACAGAACTTCACTAATGTTATAGCTGACATTGACCTTATTTGCAATTTATCAAGTAGCATTATCAGCTCATTCATTCCATGCTCACCAAATTAAAGCTGTATTTATGTGAGACTGTGCCACATTGCCTGCACAAGAAATCCCCCTCCCCCTCTTCCCTTTTTTTTTGGCCTGCTTAAAAGATTCTACAATACTTTGAGGAACTCATAAACAGGGAAAGAGGTGCAATATGCATGTATCCCATAAACATAATCAAGAGAAGAGAAAAAGTGTGTCCAACCACTTGCATTACAACCAACCTCAGATTATTCAGGGGAATTAACATTATCTGCTATTAGATCCTTGAGAAGTTTTAGATAAGTTAACTCCTGAGTCACATACTTACAGATATTATTTCATGCTAATAAAAAAGAAATGGTGGGTTTCCTGCCTGGGTAATAAAAGCAAACAGGTAACATCAGCGTGAACCTGTCAGCTCCCTCTTCTCAGCCTCTGTATCTCTCCTGTAGGACATGCAACATGGACAACCTGGAAAACTGCCAGGCTCCAAACCTTTCAGAAGTGGGAAAGGAAGGCAAATTCTTGCCTGCTTTGCCGAAAATGCAACGCTGTGGCTTGTCCAGAGACTGCTTTCTTTAAGTGATAACTCACATGGACATTGGGAATTGGCCAAATCACATTTCATTCCGTCTTGAACAAAAACCTCTTTCTCTGGAGTCTCAAACAATCCTAGTTAGGCAGCTTGAACAGGCTTGCTGTGATGACTTCATACCAACTGGCACCTATCTGCAAAAACTGGCACAGAAGGCATGATTCAAAATACCCCTACACTCCTGTGTTTGAAGCATTTCAGGAGAATTCACTGTAAATGACACATGCAAAGAGCAACCAAACAACAATTAAATACTTCTATTTTTAATTTCCTGGAAATGAACTGATATGGGACACACTGGAGAAAGGAAACCACTTACATAGCGAGAAGCATGTATTTAATTAAATGCTTTGCAAAGATACATGAATAAAGCTGTGTGCATGACTTTCTTTAGGGATAGCCCCAGCTGTTTATTTTTTTTAAAGGAAAAAACAAACAAACAAACAAAAAAAAAAGAAAAAAAAAAAAGGAGGTGGAGAGCACAGTTGCAATAAAGAAACAAAAAAAACCTAAGTAAGTTTGTACCCACATACTTTACAAAATAAAGCATGTCAGAGGTACAAAACATTCTATATACTGAATGACCAACAAATAAATGCACTGTAACATTGTTCTCTCAAACACCATAAGCCTAACAGCTAAGCTCTGAAAATGACACTGACAGTAGGCATATTTATTTCATCAGCCTTCTATAGTCATTTAGCACCATCACTTTTTGTTGGGTTTTGTTGTTGTTTTTTTTTTTGCCCTGCCTATCTCCTTTCTTGACATAACAACAGAAGCATAGCACCTTTTAACATCTAAAATAAAAACAGGAGTATTAATTGCATCCCAACTTCCAGAGATGAGGTAGCTCATGCTAAGAAATGATGGAACTGTCCTGCCTTGACAGCTCAAGGCCAGTAAGTCAAATAACTGGTGATGCATGTCTGGATGTCAGCTAAAACCAATTAATTTCTAAACTTACTTTATTAGCAATTGGTCTGCTACAGATGTGAATGGTCTGCAATCTACAGAAACTGGCACCATATATAAGACATCTCTCTAATTTGATATGTAATGGCTTCTTAGATGGGCAAGCATTGGAAAATCAACAAGTATTTGGTTTCAGATGTATTTTTAAGATTAAGGATAATTTAATGAAATTACACCAATACATTGTGAGAAGGGAAGTCTGGCTTTAAAATTTAATATATGGGACACCCCTACTGAAAACTCACATTTCCCCCACTAGTGTTTTTACTTCATAAATTAATCATGGCTGTGGATCACTCTTCTGAGCAGACTTACATAGGAAAGTGCAGGAAAAACAATACCAAATGAAGACGATCTTGTCTGAAGGTTTTCTTCCACAAAAGACACAGATTTCTGTGAATGTCTATTTTACTGGCAACCACAGGAAGACAAAATGGAATAGAGGGAGTAGATATGACTGAAACATAGCCAAGGATTCACAGAAGTGCTCTACTTTTCTGTTATTCAGTACATATCAAAGCAAAAGAAATAATCCTTAGAGCTTTACATAGTCCCACATTAAAACTAACTATTTTGAGTACCTGTAAATTTCGAAATCATTTGAAACAAAACTGAGGAAAAAGCTTCATAAAGATTCATATTACTTTTAAAAGGTGGTCACTGATCCTCTTAAAATCGTACTGTTGCACTATAAAGTCGGTTCCAATCGCTTAAAACAGAACGTTTGTAAGTAAAATAAATATTCAAAAGGAGGCCGGGCATTTCGAAAGAGCTGTATATACAGTGCTGATCCAACATCAGCCATTACTTCAAGAGTCTCAGGATTAACTTCAATCAGTCTAAGTTCACGTGTTTAATCGCTGCTGTTGCTTGGGTAGGTGTGGTGATTTCCCCCCTTTCCTCTCACACGAAGCAAACTGGCCCGATTTCGACCCCGAATTCCTGGTCGGTGCTGCCAATGTCCACGGGTGCAATATCTATGATGGGTAAGCGCGCCACGTTCTGCGTTCGGTACTCAAAAACAGTCTTGCCCACGTTCCCATTACGTTTCTAGAAGGAAAAAAATAAATAAATAAAAAATTAGGTCAGAGGTCCTGTCAAAACCAGCCCAAATTCCAGCAGCCAGTCAGTTGTGTGATTGCTCGGAAGGATCTCAGTGTGACTTTGCTGAGTGACACACTTTCTGGGCAACAACACCACCTGCACCGCACCTTGGTTATTTTGAAATGTTTAGACCTGGCTCTCTTGCTGTTACAGTAATGAACAGACCTGTCAGACTGACACAACAGCACTGGTTTCATTTTTTTGCTCTGAAAGTCTGCTCTGTGTGTTAATATGCACCCTCACACACATCATCGTGGGCTGCACTGCTTTGAAGGACAGAGAGCCCTTAATTCATTTCAGGTGCAAAACTGAATTTAGAAATATTTGCCAGTGTCTTGTACTGGGCTGAGACTGCTATTGAACATGAAAAAATCTACTACTTGCTGGTTTCTATTCCCACTAACAATTTTTTGAGGGGGAGCATTTCCTCTTCAACTCACTGGAATACTCAATGTGTACTCCAGTGAGTATTCCAGCTCAGTGGAGGTTCCTCCACTGCACTGCTGCAATAATCTCACCCATCTGGCAGACAAATATTTGTGGTTATATCACCAGTTTGTGTAATTCCACACAGAGGTAAACAAATACGGGGAAATGCAAAATGGCAGGATTACATATCTCAAAATGTTCACTAAGTAGTAATTTGTAAATTATCTCTAAGTGAATGCAGACTTCTACTGCACAAAGCTAGAATTGTAGTAAAATACTATTTGATAGTAAAAAAGTATTTGATCAGTTACTTCTACAATTCATGATACAGTTTGGCAGCATTTTAATTACTTCCTTCTATGTTTTTTTTTCCAATTCAAGAACTGAAAAAGGACAAAAGTCCTGTTTCTCCATAGCAAATGACAGACACCACTCCCCCCCAAACTTACAGAACAGCTGTCATGCAGAACAGTGTATCTGAATCGGCTGTTTCCCTCTGCTTTGATCTCCAGGTCATTGGCCCCTTTCAGAATCACAGCTTTCTTCAGGTTCTTCACCTGGTCATCCATGTAGCCCACGCTGTTTTTGCAAAGGTAGGTGATGTTCTGGGAAGCTTCCTTCGAGAGGAGGCGCAGGAATGTCATCTGAGTGACAGCTGTATCCCCATACATGAACTGTGAAGATGAAGAGATAGATCCACTGACATCACATTAAAAGTCATTAAGAGCTCATGAATTTTCTAAGATCTGTCATTATAGTAACCCCTTTCAGACACGACTAGAGGAGCCCTATTACATAAAATCTAAGATTGGCTTCTTTTGTAATTTGCTGCCACGTGAGGACAAAGAAATGCAGGCATTCTGTAACACGGATAATTTTGAAGAATTTTGACTGTAAAGTGCATTAGAGCAACCTTGAAGCATATAAGAAATGTCAAGCACAGAAAACCCTTTTACCTGTTACATTGCAACTTTAGCAACCTATTTTGCACTTAGAAGCATCAAAAACAGCCAGAGTTTGACTATATTATATAGTCAAGTAACCATACATTTTCATAGGGTTTTATCAACTAATCAATTTGCAGAGAATTTTGACAAATGTTTTACAAAGTGTCACTGTTTCTACAAAAACAAGTAATTTTTCTCTCAATAACAAAAATCCTAAAATTCCTGAGATTTTTTTTTCCCTATCTGTACAGGTTTCATTTTATTCATGTTTTATGAATCATTGCAGCACTCAAGGATGATTAAAAGTTTATACATTCCAGTGAAAATGGAGAAGAAAAGAGAAATTCTTATTGATTGACACTGTCATAATTTATAAAATGTGGTATATCTATTGAGTAATCTCAGACACATTTATTATTTAGAATCCATAAGGAGTGCATGTGACACTTTTACACAGCTCATATTATTAGTTACCAAATCTGACAGTATTTAAAAAAATTGAAAAAAATTTTTTTTTATCCCAAGTATTCCTCAAGATCATTTATTCCACCAAAGAGCATCTAACTTACAAAACCCCTCTGCGGGCTCTGTAGTCAGTTAAACATCAATTGTGATATCTTGGGTCATGGCAAGATCTCCTGAATTTAATAATAAGTCAAAGCATCTCAAAAAAGCAATCAATATCACCTCTTAATATCATATCTTTCTTAACTGTTGAAGTTCTGAACTGTTTTCAGGAATCCAGTTGATACCAGCATATTTTTTTTTAACACACCAAATACTTAAAGATAATAACTCCCTACAAAATAACACTTGAAGATATTCTCTGCGTTTTTGATGAACTAGGAAAAAAATGGCAAAAGCTGGGTAATTGATTTTATACTTTGCACAGGATAAACTTCTGTTATTTCTTGGGATCATTAAGCCTAATTTTAGAAGTTACCACAGAGGGAAAACCCAACAGAAATGCGAGTGGAGTTTTTTCTGCCTACAGATTGATGCATTCAGCATAGATCAACCTGACATGTATAACAATCATACCTTCTTTGAAAACAAATCTATGAAGTAAGTTTTGTTATTACAGCAGTAAAGAGTTTTCTGAAAGGAAGAGTAGAACTGAATTAAAAGAGGAGAGATCTGGATCACATAGTAAGGTAAAAGTATACTTCTTTTTGAGGACAAGATAGGGATTTGGTAAAATAGGTTGCTAGAGAAGCTGATAGTTTTGAGATCAAGAGAAATAAATCTATTACAGCAGTGGTCCACTTACAGGTAATCCTGACTTAGATGCACTTACAATTGCTTTTCTGAGCTATTTCCTGTCTTTACTGTATGGTAACAACAACCAATTGAATATAAATCAGTCAATCAACACTTAAAATGTTCTCACTGTAGCAGAATCCACTCAGAGTGGCAGCTGAACTTCTAAACCAGGAGAAAATAAGGTTCACAGGAGCCAGCTCTTAACATTAACTGTATTTATTTACCTGTGATCCCCTGTTCATATCAAGGCCGTACCAAACAGGCTTTAGGTCAGACGACCTGCTGGCCCACCACGTTTTGCGGGGCACAGTAGATGGGTTGGCTGAAATACAGGTCTCTCCAGTTTCCATGTTGCAGTAGACTTTTATAGCATCTTCAACACACCCTTGGTTAGGATCAATCCAATATTCACCTACAAAGAACATAAAATGTGCCTCTAGTATATTATAAGGATTCTTGAAATAACTGTGAAGAGATAAGCAAAACTATGTTGCAACAGTGCAAAACAGGAATATATTCAGTGAATCAATCCAAAGTGTGTTTTGATGTGTCCTTCAGATATACACTATAACGTTGCTTTAAGAAACAAGCTGATCAGTATTTCTAACATTTAAAACTGGAGAATTCACACTTGAAAGCTGTCTATGGTTAAGGTTGTTTAAATTCATTGCAAAGCTTCTGATGCCTTCAAGTATACAAAGAACACACAGTGGCCAGAAGATATTTTTCTCCATGTATGAGAAACTGATGACAGCCCCTCCTAAATACTGATGTTAGAAGCAAATTTTCAGGGAATGGGGAAGAGATGGTAAGGCCTGCCACAAATTATCTCTGCCTTCCAGGCTGTCCATGTATGAGAAACTGATGACAGCCCCTCCTAAATACTGATGTTAGAAGCAAATTTTCAGGGAATGGGGAAGAGATGGTAAGGCCTGCCACAAATTATCTCTGCCTTCCAGGCTGTTCTGATTTATCCACCAATAATCCATGTAAATTAGGGAAAACCCTAAACAGCATGTTAGTGCATAACCACCTATGAAGTGCCAGTGTAGAGCAGCAGCAGAGAATTCTGGATGGAAAGCACTTGCAGGTCATTGTCCCACAGGTAGCACTTTGAGCTAATAGCAATTAAGCAAATATTCCCAACTGGCATCCCAAGTTATCTCTGCCACCATATGAGTGCTACTGCACTTATTTTAAAATACATCTGAATAAATACTGAACAACTAAATATGGGGTACATCAGAACAGATACTTCACTGGCAAGAAGAAATAACTTTTTGAGAGACGTTTTCAAGCTCCTGTTGTGAATGTCAACTTAAGCCATCACAATCTGTATTAAACACGTTTTTTCTGGTGCCCAGGTGTATACAGGGAGCAAGGCAGCATCACACAGCCCACACAGGCTGGTGTGTTTACACTCACCGCTCCTCTTGGAGGGGTGGCACAGCTTCAGGTCATCACAAGTCCGTGCTGGGTGTTTCTTGGAGCCGTCTGGGCTGCGCATGGTCTCAATCTGGCTGCTCAGTGACTTCAGCGTGGCGTGGACTCCGGGGTCTGTTTTGTTATGGTCGTCTGGGGCCGCTTCATCTTCCGTGAACTCCGGCAGAGGATCTGCCATAGCGTCATCGTAGTGGCCCATAATGTCACCAAGGGCAGCGGTGAGATGGCCTGGTGGTCCTGGAGGGCCAGGGGGACCAGGCTCACCTGGTGGACCCTAAGGTTCAAAACAAAAAGGCAATAGAGGCATAGTAAAGACTATGCACGTTGGCTGCTGTGACTTAAACATTGTCAAAACCATAGAAAGACTTTTTGTCAAACTACGAGGAAGCAACTGCCTGTCTGTGACCACTGCACCTGACTGGAATTCGGACTGTGACTGGGGACTTGAGATGAGACTGTTGTCTAATCATTTCAAGTCTGAGAAGAAGTAAACAATGCTCAGGGAAAAAGAATGTATCTGTGTTAAGAAGCAGCCCTGTATGGGCTCTGGGGGTGGTGGAGGAGAAGGGTTTTGGGGGTGTGATGGTGAAATCTCTCCACATCAAACTGAAGCAATAAACCACCACCCCCCTCCTTTTCCTATTTCTTTCTCTCTCTCTTTCTCTGTCTCATATTTACCATTAAATAAACCCCATACTATTGACTTGGGCATCTGGTCTCGTTTGTACCTTAATTCAGGTAGAGGCATTTCTAATAGTTTTAGTAACCAGATCATATCAGCAGCAAAGACAGCCACTAAAAAAATCCCAAAACTTCAGAGCCAGTCACCCTAATGCACAGGGAACAATTCAGATATAAACAATTCACCTTTTCAGGAACAGGGGTAAGAGATTAGAACCACATACAAGGCATTCTCTCTGCTTCACGTCCTCTCTGATTGTCTTAGTGCCTTGCTCCACTTTTTCTTACTCCTGATTTTAGACCTGACAGCTGGAAAAAGTCACCAAGGAACAGCCTCCTCACTCCTTTTATTTTTTTTAAGCCATCTGTCCCTTCTTGTTCAAATCTCTGCCTAACAACTTTATTTCTTAAATTCCTAACAGCTGTGAGTGATTTTTAGAGCAATCTAAAACTCCTGCTTCCCTGAGATGCCGCAGGCACATTTTCAATTAGTAAAATTTGACACTATAAACATCTCTACACATATGCAGCACAGAGCTTTCTGGCCAGAGAACCCAGGCTTTCTGTGAGACAGAACCTACATCATCCACGCTTGGAAGAGCAGGTGTTTTCCTGACTATGTTTTCCCAAATGAAAGGTTGTGAGGTCCTTCTGTCAACTTGAATTGTGACATGTGAGGAGGTAACTGAATCTTGACACAGAAGGCACCTGTTAATAAGCACATCTCTACCTACAAGCTCTGCCAGCTCTTTGGCAGCATAAAGGCTGTACCATACCTTCATTTGAAGTTTGGTGCTCTGGTGCATCAGGTAGTGGATCAGAACTAGCATTTCCTTGGAGAGTAATTACTTCAGAATTCACAACTAGTGCTCCAAATGCTTATTATAGAGCACACACCCAGACTAGCACACACTGTGTCTGGCAAAGGAAGTCTTAACTTTTATTACTTGCTTTTTGGTTCCAGTTCACAGCTGTGTAAAACCCACCATGGAAAGCAAAACTAAAAGTATTGGTATGTGATATTTCCTTTACTGTCTCATTATACAGATGAAGTATCCAGAGACATATTTTGTTTTCATGCTCTGCCATAGACTCTTCATTCAGGTCTTGACAGTGTCTTGACAGAAGTGGACATACAAATAATTGGCAGAAATTCAAATGAAATAGGGTGAATAATGAATAGGATGATAAACATCATAAGCACAGGAAATACCATGTTTTATCAGAAAGACAGCAGAAACTGCCTTTTTTGTCTTACTCGTTATTTTGTTCCATGTCTTCCACTCCTTCCCAAAAATAAGTAACACCAATTTTTTAATTTTTCACATCATCACCAAGATCACTCTTTTCTCAAATCCCTCAAATTTTCTAACTTATCTTCCTTGGAATACCCTTCCTTCATGGAATACTATTCCATGAAAGAGTACTGCAGATTGATAAATGTGGAATATGCCTGGGGCATTTAGCAAAGGCTTAGGACTTCCTCCAAAATGGTCAAACCAGTTTTCACTAGTTGTAAATCAGCTCATAGTTGGTGTCTATAAACCTCAGACCAGGCTGAAGGTCAGCTGGGTCTTAGTGTTAGAGCTGGGGGTGTTTATTTGGACTGAAGGCACAGTGGAGAGTGGGGCTGGCTGTGCTAATTCAGTGCCACCCTTGTGGCACTGCCAGCTTTGAACTGCTGCTGGTTCCACAGACACCAACTGGCCCATGCTTAGGACTGAGGTTTAAGGACCCCACTGGCCAAATGGCCACGTTAAACTACAGATCCAGCAGGATCCAATGACCGAACTGCAGAAGTAGCCCCAGGCTGGCCTAAGGAGAGCATAGGTGCATGAGACTGGGATCATCACGGGTGCAGAAGATGAAAATGAGTAAGAAATGAGCCCTTCCAATACACAATAACCCTAGAGAAACTAACACATTTATTATTTGCCCCGAGCTCGTGGGTGTTTGAGAAAGTGATGTGATGGACTGTTGAAAAAAGCTCATTATTCAAAAGTAACCTTTTCTCCCCATATTCCCACCAATTTACCTCAGGTCCGGCTTCTCCCACAGTCCCTCTAACACCAGGAGGTCCAATTGGCCCAAGTGGACCAGGACTTCCATCTTTGCCAGAAGGACCAACTGGACCTGGAGGACCCTAGAAAATATAGAAAAAAAGAAGAAACACATTTTAGCATTCAATAACAAAGTTATACAAAACAGCCCTTTATAATAAGCAATGCCTTGTCAGGAAGCAATCCAATTATTTGTGTCCATTACTAAAATTTTAAAAATCGCTGTTTTTCTTCTGTAAAAGTAAGAAGGCAGTTTCAGTGCTGCTCTTCTCTAGTGAATCACCTCAGACAACATAACTTGGATCAGCTGTATATTTTTTCCTTAACCATTCAAGTGGGATCAGTTCCAAATGCCAAAATACATACAGGCTCAGAGACATACTGTCCCTTGGGAACATCCAGGGAAGTCATCTTTCTCCTTTGTTTTTGGGATGAATGACATATATGGGGGTATGAAAGGCAGAGTAGCAATTAGCAGAGCTACTATTTATTTGGCTTTGCATCAGCTGCAGCAAAAGCATCTGCAAAAAGAGTCTGTTGTTATCCTGATCTTTTTATCTAGCTATAAACTACATTTATGCCAAAGCTTTACTGTGTTAAAAAAGGTGATGGTTCAGCAAAAGATATTAGGGTAATCACCACATGATACCAAAGTCAATAAGAGCCATTGAAATAACAGTGAAGCAGAAATAGAAGTCTGATCATGGATCAAAAATAGAAGTCTGAAATTATTCAAGCACAAAAAAGCTTAAACATCCTACTCACCCGAGGACCAAAGGGGCCTGGAATGCCAGGACTGCCTTGTTCACCAATAGGACCCTAAATAGAAGGAATTATCATTCCACCGTGACATCTGAAGCATATTCCTTTAGTTTTAAAGGACTACTGTGTGATATACAAGATTCTGGGATGAATAGGATTAAAATATACAGGAACAATGGCTAGTACCTTTTCCTTAATACCTTAGTAAATTAATAGAATTTACTGGTGCTTGGCTTTATATTAAGTTGTTTCTGCAGAAAAGCCTTAATTTCATGGCATTTAGAATCAGAGTGACTTACAAGAGACCCATTGACAGCATTAACGTGAAGTGTAACTATGATTTGGGAGTTGGGGTTTTTTACTGATGCTGTTCCTGCATGTTGAAACTTTCAGCTTTTGCACTGGAAAATGTTAGCAACAATCCCTATGGGATTTTGCATTTGTTTCCTTGACTGTAAGGAGTTTCAAATACTGGCAAAAAAGCACTCCATACTTATCTGTAACTACCAGCTTTTGTTACCACCTCGTGCTGACAAATTACAGACTGTCACTGAGCAGCCTTGCAGATGGAACAAGAATAGGAGAACACATCTCTTGCAACACCCAGGTTTATCTCATCATGCAATGGTATTGTAAAGCTGCATTAAAAATATTAGCAAGTATGGACAGCCAGGCCACCCATAAACACCTTGGGAGGAAAAAAAAAGCAACTAATTTGCTTTGTTTTCTTTTTTTAAATAACTATGTTCCTGATACATTCTTTAACTGCCAAGAAAATAAGAAAATACAGTAAAAACAGAACAACTCACAGGAGGACCAGGAAGACCTTGAAGCCCAGTGAAACCCCTGTGTCCTTTCTGGCCCCTATCACCTCGATCTCCGTTGTCACCTTTGTCACCACGAGGTCCTTGGGGACCCTGTAAATATCAGTGATGAATTGTAAAACTCAGAACTGGAAAAAAGACCCCAACCTCAAACACCCCTCGTTTGCTTTTAGACGCTGTGCTCAGACCTCTTCCCTTCTAAAGCCAAAAAGAAGGTGATGCTGGGTCAGCTCCAAGAATCTTAATGTTTTAGCAAAGAATAAGTAAAAATAAATACAGAAAATTTATGCTTAAATATAGTTAGTAGTAGTAAATTTAATCTACTTAGCTACAAAATACGGGGCGGGGGGGGAACGCAACAAATTTTTTTAAGATTTAAAAAATTCTCCAGATGTGGCAAATGATTTTGTTGATGAGATTGAAATATTATGGATCTCTCACAGGCTCATAATTATGAGAAATATTTTCAGTATGAAATCCTCCATGTTGCAATTTACTTCTTAAAGCTTCTTTCACCTTCACCATGATTTGAGTACAACTGAAGTAACATTCCTGAACTACGGACAACTCCAGTACAAATATCGTGCTTCCATTACTGTCACAATTTAATTTTCATTAGTTTTGACAGTTTCAGACTTCTCATACTAATTCAAGAATCAGTGGAAAATACGGCTTCTGCTTTCAAGTCTATATTTCTCAGCTCAAAGTAAATGCTAAATTTCTCAATGCCAGATTCCAAATATTTTATCAATGGCATAATTATTACTAACTACTCAATAAACTTTTCCTGTCTCATAAATGACATCTGCTTAGGGACAGGACAACATTGTTTTGAATTTCCCAAGTTTGCTGTTAATTTTCTGTTCCAAGCTTGGACTGTAAAAGAGTTATGTAACATAAAAAAAGATGACTTTTGTTAGCTTTCCATTTGGACTGCAGTTAGAAACTCATGAGTTGAATTAAGGCAGTTTAATGGAACAGGTGATTTTGTTGTATTTCTGCCATTTTTACCTAAAAACCTGCCTTTGTGTTCAGCATTCGTTTCTTTATCCCTTATTTAAACACAGATTCCAGCCATTTGCTAACTCAGGTCCTGCCATTATCCAGGCAGCAACACAGTCCAAATAAAGAGGCTTCCAAAGCCTTTGTTATTTCTCTGTGGAAATAACTGGAATATCTAAATGGATTTGTGCAGCTCTGCAGCTCAGAAGACTACCTGCACCCACTGGCAGTCAGAACACTGCAAGCTGCAGCCCTGTTTAGCATTCTGATCTGGGCAGAGTTTCTCATACACTTTCAGTAAAAGGTATCTCAGACAAAACAACAGTGACCAGGGACAACTTACAGGCAAACCTCTTTTTCCTGCACGACCCGGGGGGCCCATCGGACCTCGAGAACCCTGCAAAGGTGGCACAGAGGAGGCATGTGAAGCAATGCCCAAAAAAAAACCACACAGGAGAGTTTTTTGATAAACAATCAAAGCATCTCCAAAAAAAAAAAAAAAGTCTCACTTACAGTTTCACCTCTTTGACCTGCATCTCCAGGAGGACCAACAGGGCCTGGAGTTCCTGGACCCCCTGGAGAACCTGGTAAGCCTGCAGGGCCAGGTTCACCACGGTCACCCTGCAAAACAGAATGGCAACATTATTTATCTAAAGGGGACTGGTCTAGACCAGCAGCACTGCTAACCTATTTTTGAGAAATTGCAGTCTACAGAGATTTTCCTGCTGCAAGAGCTCAAGTCTGAGTTCATGGTGGCAGGTGTTCTTAGACACTTAGCCAGGTATCCTCAGCTTTGAGAGGTACTGCTTATTCAAAAACTGTGATACACTGTCAGAACAAGTTCTCCATCCAGGTTAACTGAATGAAGAAAAAAAAAAATTACATTAGGTCAATAACAAAACAGAGATTTCCAGAAGTTAAGTAAGAAAACAACATGTTCTTACACGTTCTCCAACAGCTCCATCTCGTCCAGGAGTACCGTCATTACCAGCAGGTCCCTGGAGTTATGGAATAAAAGTAGAGCTATCAATTAACTCTGTAGCCTCGCATTTCTAAAAGAAGTTAGAGTTGAAGAACAACTTTCTGGTTCAAGGAGAATAACCTCTAGTCCTTTTTTTGCATGCTGCAAGGCTCTAATACTTACTTCTGGACCAGCTTCACCTACAGGCCCGGTGGCACCTGACTGGCCGATGGGTCCTGGGGGACCTTTATCACCAGGTGGTCCGGTGGGACCTTGTTTACCTGGTGTACCCTAAGGAAAGAGGAGAAATATCAAAATTTTAATCACAAAACAGAGAAGGCACAAAAAACCTGCTGCCTGCAAAACTACTCATTAATCCAGTCTGAAGTACCGTCTACATTTGTAAATTCAAAAAGTTGATAATTCTAGAAAAAGTTCTCATAGATTTTAAGACATGTTTAATATACTGGGTATTTTTGAGAAGTTTAATTGTGTTACTTTTGAATAGGCTTTTACTGACTAGGAGCTGCACTTGAGGTTAGTCTATCTAGTAGCAACTCTCTTAAGCACACACTCCCTTGATAAATCAATATATCCAATGTCATTATCTGCAACAAGTAAGGCCTTTTAGATTCCAAAAAAAACAAAATAAAGTTTGAAATAAGTAACTTTTTGGGGTTTTTTCTCTGGCTTAACACCAACAAATCTTCTTAGCCTGGAATAATTTCTGGCCAACTTCAGCTATAAATTGACTTTACAGGTCCAGTTGTAATGGCAGATCCTCCATACCAACACTTTTACTAACAGTCTATTTAATGACTTGAATTCCTGGCTTTCCAATAAATATCTCTAAACCCTAAATTTAGCAAAGAGAGCACAAATGGCAATTTTAAAGGCTGTAGATCACAATTTATGAAATAGCAATTACAGAGTATCCACTCACATTCAATTGACCTTTAGGCACCAAAATGAAGAGTCTGGGGTTGTTTTTTCAAAGGCTCCAGTTTTAAGACAAATAGGAACATTTTAGCCAGAAGTCCTAATGCTGTTACCCACTTACCCTTAATTCAGGTTCAGACCTTCCATTATGGCAGAAACAAACCTTGCACCTCATGCATTTGCATAAGATTTATTACCTTTCTATTCTCTCTATATTTGCTCCTGTGGTTGGAGTGAGTTTTCCAGCTTTCTCCTTGTGCTGTGGGGCACCACACCCAGAATCCCACAAAGAGCTGGTGGCATATTGCCTCAGTCATTTACTTACTGCAGGACCTGGCAGCCCTGGCATGCCTCTTTCCCCTCGCTGTCCTGGCATGCCGACGATCCCCCTTTGACCAGTGGTTCCTGCTGGACCAGGGGGGCCATCCGGGCCCTGAAATCCAGAAAGGAGGAAAACACATCACTATCCTGCCAGTAGGAATAAACAACAAGGAAACCAAGCCCAGGGCTGGCCCAGGGAGAATCAGGAACACCCAGAGGACGTACCGGCTGCCCATCATCCCCGGGTCACCCTTGTCTCCAGGACCACCAGGAGGCCCGGTCGGTCCTCGGTCTCCCACGCGGCCGTGAGAACCGGGATCGCCACGAAGACCTGGGGGACCTTCTTTTCCCGGCTCACCAATAGGCCCAGCAGGCCCTGGGGCTCCCTGAGAAGATTAAAACACCTCGTTACATTGGACACCTTTCTGATCAGGACAATAAAATTCTAAGGACCGTGTTTTAATTGACTATAAATGTGCATACTCTGAGAAAGGCTGAAATGTGAATGAGCTAAAAGCCTGTGCCTCCTCAATTTTCCATTCCAAACTCCCTCCTTTAAAAGACACTTTTTTGGGTTGTTTTTCTCTTTTTTCCTTTCTTTTCACCTCAGGTGTACAACCACTGCTAGAAAACTCACTCTTGCCCATTCTTTCCACTATCATCAAGCTAAAGTCCATACCCAAAGTTTTCATTCACAGGGTGCAGATTAGTGTTTTAATAGACTTTTGCTCATTCCTTAAATACTTTTTAAAAACTTCACAGGTATACTAAGTTTTCCATAAACTTCACCCTTTGAGAAACTCGCAATGACTGCAGGTTATTTTGCTCATTAAAATATCAAAAGGCATATGAAGCATGACACAGTTTCTCTGTGGAGTTGAGTCCTCAACTTGTTGATCCACAGCTTTTTGTTTTAATTGTGGTTTTGAAAATGTTGTGATTATCATTTTGGTTTATTTTGAATTTATTTTTATGGATCTTATGAGTAACTCCAGCAATGAGATAGCTCAGCAGAGGCCCCTTTCTTTACCCTAACTTCAGTCACCACTGAAGGGACAAAAAAGTGAAAAGCAGAGGTAGATATAGGTTGGTTTTTCTGTTCCTGTAAGCAATTAAGTCATCAGAGCACTTTCAACAGCTCAAAGTCTACTTAACACAAAGAAAAGCTTCAGTCTTCAGGTTCTTAAGACCAGTTTATACAACACACCTATTAGGAATGTAACAACTGACTTACAGTAGGTCCTGGAGGCCCAACTCTTCCAGCAGATCCTGGGAATCCAGTAGCACCCTAATAAAATAAAAAAAAAAAAAAAAAAAAAGAAGCCAACCAAATATTTTAATGCCACACTTATCAAAAGAAATACAGCATTATGTGCTAGTGAGCCAACCTTATATTTACAGACTGTGAAAAAACAAGCTGAGATGAGGAATAATACACACATTACATAAAATTTCAGTATTAGGTTATCTACTGTGAGGTCACAACAAATGAAATCTACTTACAGGGGGACCCTGAGTTCCTCTACCACCTTTCAGACCAGGAACACCTGGAGGACCCTAAGAGAAGAAGAGAGAGAGAGGGGGGTGATGGTCAACACCCAGAACTTTTTAAACAAGCCAGATCAGCCCATGCCACTGGTTCTGTGATGATGTTATTCATACTTACTGGTGGGCCATGAGACCCAGCAAGACCCTGGGGTCCTGGGGATCCAGCATCTCCTTTCTGCCCAGGTTCTCCGGGTTCACCTTTTACACCTGGCTGACCATCAGGGCCCTGTAGGAAACAGTATTTAGAAGAGAAATCAGGTTAGATAATACCAAATCTGTCCAGACTAACAAAGTAATTTTGTAGGGAATTTCTATAAGGAAAAAAAAAAAACACAAGGGAACAAAGTGACCCAGAAAACACTGCATTTGCTGAACAGTTCAGATCAAGGGAGCTATAACAGTTCAGCACAGTCTTTAGAACATCAACACATGAGATTTTCTGAACATTCTGTGAAGTCAGTACTTCCATTTTAAATATTTTTTTCTTCTCTAGCTCACATTTCTCTTTTCTTTAGATTTTCTGTTTTCCTCAGCAGCTGCTACATATCTAAAATCGAAAGGAACTGAACAAAATTGTCTTTTCTAGGCTATTTTTTTTTTCCCCACCAAGGGAAGCAGGTGCCTGACTCTTTGTGAAAGGCCTGAAACAGGATACTTGGGCTGTGGGAAAGTTTAGAGTATTCCCTCCCATCTGGTCCATCAACTCATTCCAGCCTTCACTACTCATGGTGCAAATCTTCGCTACCTTCAGTGGATGACACTTTTCAACTTGCCTCATTTTAATCTCAAAGGAGCAACATTGCATACTAATGAAAATATGAAATCTGGTGAGCAATTACATAATCTTATAAAGAAAACCACTTTTCAACTGTCTAGGGCATTTATTGGCCCTTTTCTTCATTTGATATACTGATGGGAAAAAGAAACAACCCTTTTTGCAGCAAAAATGTGTCTCACGTTGCAGAGCACTGCAGTATTATTCATAATGAAGGAAATGAACTGTGTCAAAGCATGAGTAAAGGAAACTCATTAGTGTTCCAAAACACATACCGGAGGGCCAGCAAAACCAACAGCACCAGTTGGGCCATTTTCTCCTCGTGAACCCTGGTGAAAAAAAAAAATTAGAATAATTGTATTAACAACTGTCTTTTTGTATAGACTATAATTTGCAGTTAAAGATATAAGAAGGGATGTTGACTATGACGTTAAAATCTGCCATGTGGTCAAGACCATATGTAGCTCTCAAAACTTAAAGATGGAAGGCATGAACAAGCACTAAAACAGGAGAAGTTCTGCTCCCAACCCACCCCTTCCAGACAGAGCATGGTTAGCCAAAGAGCATGTACTTCATGAAACCTACCGCTCCAACCACACTGGGGAAATAAAAACCAGTAGTTCAAAGACCTCTACAAGGTCAGAATAGGCTATGAGCTGCTTCAGCTGAGCTTTCCCCACAACATTTGTTTGGAAAAGGAGGAGCTGAAGGCTGCCAACTCCAGCACTCCCTAGAGGGGTGGCAGCTGTTCCAATTTATACTGGAAATAAGACTGTTCTGATTTATGACAGGGACATAATCAATTTCAAGCAGTATGAAGGATCTAGAAGGGCTGAGCCTCTAATTCCCTAATTGAAGTCAACCCTTAAAATACTCAAAAGCACTAATAGATGGAATATGACAAGAGTTACATAACTAGATGAACTAGGAATTACCCCTGCACTTTGTCCATCTAAATATTTGTCTATGTACAGTGGCATCTGGTATGGGCATGCTTTTAAAAACATTTAAACAATTAGAAGTAGTGGCATGCTTTCAGGAGTGATGCTAAGTGAGTGCAACCCTCTGAAGTTCTCCCTAAAACAAGTATAGGAGAGAGGGTCAAAATCTGGTAATAGTTTTGCAAGTGCACAGCTACAAGTCAGAACTACAAATCTGGCTACAAAGAAAGGGAAAGAAAAAGAGGAAAATATATCAGCAAATGAGAAAAAGGCCTGGAGTTTGGATCAGTGCTAGATATCAACTTATGCCAGGCAAAAACGAAGCATGTTTACTCACAGGGTTTCCACGGGAGCCAGGAGGACCAACTAGACCTCGAGGACCTGGTTCACCCTTTAAATAAAATTAAAGGTTATTATTTCCTAGGTAACTTATTTGCTGAGTAGCAAAAGTGCTAATAAAGCCTGATGATATTAAGAAGCTTCAGTAAGGAATGGAATAAAAATCTGTTTACCTTTTCACCAGTGGGACCTGCTGGACCCATTGGGCCTATTGGACCAGGGAGACCCTTTTGAACAAATTAGGATGAAAGGAAGTTAGAGAAATGATGCTCCAAAACAGTTAATTTAAAACTTCTCATATGTTACTATTCCCACACGCTTTTTCATTCATTTGCATTCTTCTTTATCTCTGAAAAGTTCTTTTGACTCCTTTATCTAAAATTTACTTGCATTTCCTCTCCCAGTGACCAAACCCTCCATAAAAGACCTGCTTTCCTTCGTTCTCTCTTTCTTCTCATCTAACTTCACCTTCTCCTTTGGGCAGTGTTTATGGATAAGGTCTGTGACTTACTGCCCATATGGGCCTTAGTACATTCCCAGAAATTTTCACATGTGAAGCTCAGGAATGGCTGTGGGCAACTCAATCCAGACAATAGGGAGGCAGCTGCCTTAGTGCAAGACTGAGCTGGGAGGCCTGTTTTTCACCTATTGATCTCTGCCTGTTCCTTTTTTCATATTTCTTACTACAGTCAGCTTAGCCAAATCCCAGATCAACCGAGAATCCTTTCCATTGACATCTTAACTCCCATTGTCGACGACACAAAACAGGATGTCGGAACGCAGATGTCCCAAAACCGTCTCGGAGGTTGGGTAATGATAGTGACTACAAATCTGTGATGTTGCTAAGCTTAGTGTTTAACCCCATGAGCTGAGACACACACTCCACCCCCAGCACAGTAAACAATCCAGGGTGTGAAGAGAAAAGAGTGGCAGATTTACTTACTCTCGCCCCATCGTTGCCAGCTGTGCCTTCAGCACCTTTCTCGCCGACGCCGCCCTGCGGGAAACACCCAGAAAGGCTCAGTTATGGCACTGAACGCTGGACAGTTCATACCCTGAAACAACTGCAGTGTCAAGAGATGGGTGATTCTGCTCAGGAGAACAGACACAAAGAGACTCACCCTGTCACCCTTGGGGCCGGGCGTTCCAGCAATCCCTCTTTCTCCAGGCATGCCCTGAAGACCCGGTGGGCCCGGATCGCCAGGTGTCCCACTTGGGCCTGGGCTCCCCTGAAGCACAAAAAGAACAAGTTGTTGCCTATTCAGCCGAGAAGCATCTTTGTGTCTTGGCTGCAGAACGTGCTGTGCCTGCTCTGAAGTCTCTGGTGTACAGTTTTAAGTAATAATTTCATCTGAAATTTGGACTTTATTCACATCCAAATACTTTTCTTTTCCCACTGTGTTACTCAGGAAGTTCAATTGTGACACCGTAGTCCTTCCAAAGTATTTATTCACTGCATATTGGGGATGAAAAGAGGCAAAAAAAGAAACTTAAGCATGTTTCTGCCTTGACCTTGATGCCACACAGGTTTAGTACACAAGGTAGGTCCAGGTAGAAGTTGCCAGGGGCAGAGATGCTTTATTTTCCCTTTGTTTCTCACAGTTCATGCCTATTACATGTCTCACATTACTAGAGGCACTCCCTACTCGGGGTAACCTTCCTAGGCATAATCACATTGATAGCAGATGAAAGGCAGGCATGCATCTTTCAGCATTTTTTTTTTAAAATGCCCTGCCTTGCCAAGTGTCTTTGAATAAGCTGACATAGCTCTTAAAACATCGCTAGCAGGTTGTCTGCAGTTCAGAAATGGCTTTGTCCAGTTCTACTGAGAAACACGAAAACCATTTTAAACTTCATACCAATATAAATTAATACAAAATGCTGTTTCTCAACATTTAAGCACGTTGAAAGTTATTAATATTGTTATAACTGGAATAACTTCTGTGTCCTCCTAGAACCCTTATACAAAGAAGAGACCTTTCGTATTTATAATTAAAAAAGCTCTCTCTTTTATATGTTCATGCAAATGAGAAGAATTATACATTGCAAATGAGAAGAATTATACATTGCATCACTCCAGCAATGGAAATCTCCACTCAGTTTACCTTTGGACCATCGGGGCCGTGCCCTCCGGCCATACCCTTTTCACCCTGGATTCCTGATGCCCCCGGTTCTCCCCTTTCCCCTGGATTGCCACGTTCTCCCTACAAAATGGAAAATTATTGCTTATTTAGAAGTCAGGGTACAGTCTTGGTAGACAAAATAAATACATCATTAGTACAGAACTGCAGAGCCTGTGAACAAATTCTATGAAAAACTGATTCAATAAAATGCTTTTACTGTTAAAAGGGGGGGAAACAGCGTGTTGGTCAGCAAACTAAAAACTGTCATTTCCTAGTTGTAAATCGAATAATTTAGCAGCTGGTACTCAACATCACTTCAGAAGCTACAAAACCATTACAGGTGGTTGGTTTTCCAGAAACTATCTTTAAAAATGTCCACATTTAAGACCACTTTGTTGGTGGGGAAAAATGCCACTTCAGCTGTTAAGGTCCATATTATATACCAACTTGCAACCTCAGAGAACTGTTATGAGCATTTAAACTCTGAAAGAAAACACTTACTCTCGGGCCCAATGGACCAACAGCTCCAGGATCTCCAGGCACACCCTAAGCAGAACAGAACTCACTATTAGAATGAAATCATTATTCATAACCTTACAGTTATGGAAATTAGAGATAAACAGTTTCATTTCCAAAGTATTGTGAATGTAGATGACTAGTTCTAAATATTATCTGTCAATGGCAAGAGGTGATAGTCCAACTCAGTCCAAGAACATCGGATTCTAGCAATCCTTTTATCCAAAAGCAGTTCTTGGATAGCTTGCAAACTACATCAGTACATATTTTGAAATAGAGTGGGAAATTAAATTACAAAGAGAAGAAAATGTAAAATTACTTTAAGAAGTGAATTCTTTCTAATTATATGTTACACATAAATTACCTGATCACCTGGCTTTCCTCCCTCACCTGGAGGACCCGGTGGCCCAGGTAAGCCCTGTAAAAAAAAGTAAATAAAATGTTCACAAACATGATAGAAATTTATGTAAATCCAGGTTTAATTAAGACACCAAGACTATGAATGTACTGGCACACTCAGAACAAGAGTGTGCCCTCAGAGATCCCCCCAAGGGAAACAGTTTAATGAGTATTGCACCAGAGCGTTCTCCCTCCCCTAAATGAGATGACAGCCCTTCTCTGACATTTGCAGCCCTAAAAATAAAGGTCTCTATAAACAGAGATTGACTTAATTAATGCTTCATCATCAAAACAATTACTTTGCTCTATATTTGGAACATCTCTGGAAAATCTCCAAACAAAAGCTGAATAACAACAGCAGTTTTCTCAAGGGGTGCAGATCTGGCATTTAAGCCTTTGCCAGCTCAGTTGAGTGCACAGCTGACAGGAAAGTTGAGTATCACTAATTACTCTGAACATCATTGCCTCAGTTCTGAAGTTGTGCGTTGTTATATATCACTTGATTGAATTTCTCCAACTAAAGTTGATAAAGACGTGGCTGTTTATTACTTTTTCCTAACGAAATAAAAATGAATGCACACACCTGAAACCCTGTAGGACCTGGAGGGCCTTGCTCTCCTCTTTCTCCTGCCAGACCCTACAAAAAAAGAAAGTAATAAGTAAAACAGTGGAGGAATATAGGCAGGATCCACAATTTTTCTTCTCTCTGAATATGTATGTTTTCAACACTTTTACTTATCCCAGGCCAAGATATATCCTATCTATTAGATATTATTTCTTCTTAAGATCCTTCCTCCCCCCCAAAAAAAAAAGTTCTGTGGTCGCAGAAAAGAACTCAGTTCTATTAAAACCAAGAAAGGTGGGAAAAAGAACTCTGAAAATTTTGCTCCATGCACTATTTTTTGTAATGGTTAGTAAAAGGAATTAGACTACTCATATATATATATATATACATATATATATACACACACATATTTAATACAGAGCTTCCCATTTTTCTAGGACAAATTGTTCTTTAAATGTTCTTGGGACTTTTTTTGTCTGGAAGCAACAACTGGCATGAAGATAGAAAAAAAAGAAGCCAAAAGGGTAATGAATGGATGGAGTGACTGGCAGGCAGAGTGGTAAAAGCTGACTTACTGGAGGGCCAACAGGACCAGAAGGGCCAACTTCACCATCTTTACCAGGGGCTCCCTAAATTAAAATGACAAAGGAGGAAATCTTGTATGGTGAATTTACATAACAGAAAAGCATCATTTTCTGTAATCATCACAAATAACAGCCACACTCACTCTCTGTCCTGGGACGCCTGCATTGCCTGCTTCTCCAGGCTTTCCGGGATCACCCTAAGTTGAAGGAATAAATATGACAATTCTTAGATGCTTTTTTTGTCCATTAAAATCTGTGCAAATGCTTAAACAGATCTTAGGTACAGGTGCCATACTCACACTACCACCCTTTGGCCCAGAAAGGCCCATGCTGCCTGGCTGACCTCTGATTCCTATTGAACCTGCTGGACCTGGACGTCCATCTTCACCAGGAGCACCCTGCAGAGATAAAGAATTTTCCACATCAAACTATAAATAAATAACATTTATTTACAAATAAATTATAAATGTATTTATTCCTAGGCATTTATTAACCTCCAGAAAAACGTTTGCATACAGAAAGAAAATAATATCGACCTGGTTTGGTGCTCCACTTACCAGGCAAAATGTCTTTAGAGCAGACATAGTTTTAACCATACTTCTGGATTTGACCAAACACTATGCAATTGTTCTAAATGAGACATTATGTACCAAATACTTTATTGTGTCCCTAAAGAGGCAGCTAGAAAAACATTTCACCAATGAATGCTTTAAAAATGTTGCAACAGCTGCTGAACAACAGACACTGCTATACAGACAAAACTAATTTTGAAGTCAGGAACCTAAAGCAAACAACTAAAAGAGAAGATGAGCCTTAAGAAACATGGAAAACTCACGTCAATAAAAGTAATTTCAATGACGTGGGCCCTCTGAATTACTGTGGCATTAGCTGAAAAGACTAATTTTTGTAACACTTACCAAGGGGCCAAGTTTTCCTTCAGGGCCTTGAACACCTGGATTTCCTGTCAAACCCTAAAGTTGGGAATAATATTGGTGTTAGGGTTAAGCATGTATTTCTAGAGCATTAAATAAATGTAAATAATTCCAAATGACACGCACAGTTAATACCATAGTGCAAAATTCCCTGTGTCAAAGGACTTCATCCTTATCTTCACTTCACAGCTTCATCCCTTACTGTCTCTAATCTTCCCTTTTCCTATTCCCTCTGTTTTTTACTGTTACACCTCTTGAGCTTCTCACAGGCCCATCTTTATTTCTGCCAACATAACCCAGCGATCTATATCACGTCTTATCTTTTATCTCTTTTTTTATCCCTTTATGCTGTTTTCTGATATTCCAGATCGTTCTCAAATAATTTTCCTGAAAACAAATCTCTGAATGACACGCGTCACCCAACTGTGTGAGTTATCAATCACCAATTTAACGAAGGGTGGCCTTCAGTTCATGTTATCTGTGGCAATAATGTGATTTACAAGCACACTTCTTTGGGTTGCCTCAGCTCTTCTCAATCAGGGCTATTTCCCCTTTCTCAAAGACAAAACCTGTGCTTCCCAAAACCAGCAGGAAAAAAATACAGGTATTTTGGCCTTTAACCCCTCTGAAAAAAAAGTCTGCCCTTGTATACCAGCTTCTTAATTCCCAAACATTCCTTGTTGCCTTTAGAAAATGCAGAGAGCCGTGGTTTATAGCGTGCTGCTATTAATCCCTCACCCTTGCACCAGGAAGGCCGGGTTCACCAGGGCGTCCAGGATCTCCCTGACCTCCTTTTGGACCAGAAGATCCTGCTGGACCACGCTCTCCTTGGGCACCCTAGAAAGATAACCACTTGTTAACAGCAGAGACAATAAGAGAAGGCTAAATAAAAAGAGTATCTTCCACTAAGGGCCTATTTTTGCAGAGTTCCCAGTCAGCAAGGCCGTTATTATTATTGTTTTTTCCCAATTTGTTACTTAAAAGCTGTCTCACTCTTAGAGTTATATGTGAATTTTAGAATCCCTTTATTTTTACCAAGAAACTAGGAATTTACAGAAGCACAAGACAAATACTCGTGTGAATCACTTCCCTGGAAGCGTTCGAGTAGTTAGGAAAGTCAAAGACAAATGAGCCCATCTGTGTGAGGGTCAAGTCTAGAAAATTACACCATACACAAAGAAAAGGCAGTTTTTGATACAGCCGCTTCTTACAGAGCAATACATTAACAAATACAGTAGTAGAACAGGTCAAAGTCTCTTATCTATGAACATTTCAGCACGAGGGAGCCTTAAGTCAGGGACAAGAAGCAAAGCTGAGCATCACAAGAACCAAAAGTGACTTTTCCCAAAAAAATTTTAGTCTCAAAACACTCAGACTCCCTTTTGGCATTTCTAAGGTCGTTTTGATTGTTCTTCCAGTAATTTTGAGGATCTGTCCTATTTGCCCAGAGAAGATATTCTTAATGGAAAAAATTTCTTTTTATGTATCTGTACGTATGAAAATTTAATAAATGACCCAATAAAAAATGGACACTTTAATTTCATTTACCTTTGGTCCAGGCAAGCCATCGGAACCTGGAAAACCACGGTTCCCAGGAGCACCCTAGGAAAAACAATAGGCATGAGATGATTATCCTAACTTCTACAGAAGTTATTGCAAATAAAGAACCAGAATAATGGTTTGGGGGTTCCTTACAATTTTCTAACTTCGATACTTAGTCTTGGGTTTTTTTACCACTCAGAGTGGTAAAAATATCAATGTCTCATTCATGCATGCTGAACAGCTCCTTGGAAGCAAGATAACCATTTACACAGGTAAGAAAAAGGTCTGCAGATTAGCTTGTCCTGTCTCTATCATTTTCCCTACCACACCATCCTGTGCAGTGAATCCCCACATGAAAATATTCAATGTAAAAAAAACCAAAAACAATGTACAGTATTAATTTCTGTTAGGAAAATAAAGTTTGACTATAGCCACAATCAAGCTGTAAGAACATCCATGGTTAGGTCAAGAGGTTTCTTATCTTAGCAGAGCATCTTTCAAGACATCATTCCTTTGGATTGCTTACCCTCTCTCCAACAGGGCCTGGTGGACCTACTGACCCTGGATCTCCTCGAGGGCCTCTTTTCCCTTCTTCCCCAATGGGGCCAATGGGACCCTGTGGACCTTGTGGGCCCTAGTGGAGGTAAATTGCTTTTTTTAAAAAAAATCACTGTTAAGCTTACCACTTCTCAAGCATATTGAAACAGACTGCCTTCTAAACACCATAAACGTTTCTCCAAATAAAAGAGAAGAAAATAGTTTGGTTTTGATTCAGTTAAAAAATGGAGCTTTTCAGCATCTGCTTTTCTCTTTTACAATGTTTATAAGCTAATAAGTTATAATTCTGCAGTTGGGCTGTACAGTGCTTCTTACAGTCACTCATAATAATTTGTGTTTGGACAAACTACAAAGAATTCAAAATTCAGTGAGACTCTAGTAGAGAAGACAGTGGTAAGGAAACCATTACTTCACCTGTACGTTTTTTGTCATTTATTGCATGATCATTTAAGTAGTGAGAAAGGAAAACTAAAGATTGTTTGACAAGTCAAACCAACTCGAACTCTGTAGAGTCAGTTTTCTCCCAAAAGTCCCATGGTTGCAGCATGGAATTAGCCATGTTTTCAAGTAACTTTTCACAAATATTGACTGTGGGCTAAACAGTTATTCATACTGAAAACATGCAACTGTTAATATTATTTTGCATCTAAATAAACTATATCTAACATATACAAAACTTCATAAGTATTAAATGTAAGTTTAAAATAAAATGGACTGTATTTTTGGGTTAGCACACAGACCTGTGAGCTCTTAGATGTCCAGAATCATATGGATCCGTTTCATATGACATGGAGAAACTACTTCTGTGTGCTACAGAAACCTCAGTAGATGCACTAAGTGGTTTTTCTGCCCCTGAGTCCTGTCAGGACTATACTGGGTGGGTGATTTATAACAGCCAAGAACCCACTTGACCATTCATTGTTAGCCCAGGGTCTTCCACAATAGTTACTCTCATGATTATGAGCAATTAGACATTTCTTTAAAAATGTAAGGATCTACTTGAAATGTTCCCACAAGCCTTTTGTGATTCCTTTTAGTCTTACAAAGCACATGGAGACTTACAGGTTCACCTTTGGGTCCTGCTTCTCCCTTGAAACCAGGGACACCGGGGTCTCCCTGAAAACAAAGACATGAATAGCACTGATAAGGTTTGAAGTCTGCATAAATCACCTGATCAGTTTGTCAACAAGAACAGGTCACAGCAGGGCAGATTGTATACGGAGATACAATGCAGTGTGATAATTTTCACATTAAATAATTTAAAACTTAGGACTGGACAAGTCTTCCATACTTGGAGGCTATTTGCATCTCTAGGACTCTCACTCCCATCTTCATTACCTGATATCACCACCTGAGATGCCACAGATTTCCCAGCTCTCTTCAAAGCGGTTTAAAAAAAAATAAATTCACCAGCACTTGTCTCAAAGAGCTAGTCAGGTTTGACAATAAATGTTGCCTCATGATGCAAAAACAGTGATTTAAAAAAAAATAAATATATACATATAAATTACATACATATGTAAATAAAAACTCCATTAATGAGGTAAAACTTGGATTATGTATTGGTGCCTCTGCCTTGCAGTAGAGTTTCTAAAGCAGGAACTGTAACTAGAAGATTAGAGGAGTTATGGAAAAACTGAGCTTTCAGCTGAAAAAAAGATCCACTGGCTTATTTTAGAAATTATTCAACTCTTGTTCCACAACATAAACTCTGACAGTCTAACAAACTCCTTCTTTCTTTCACTGCTGGCCAGTTCAAAGTGTGCATTTTCCAGGGACTATGCAATTCAGTTTTGGCCTGATCTCACAGCTGCCACTCCAGCAGACCCATTAAAAATAAAAACCATACATATCTAGAACTTAAACCCCCAAAGCAGAACCAAGTGACTGCAGAAACAAGCCACACCACCTTATAAATGGGGGCCAGTGAACAGCAGCTCTTTCACACAGAAATGCTGTGGAGTCTTAACAACTACAAGTACACACAGTTTAAGACACTTAAACTCCAGAAAAACAACACTGAGCAGCACTACAAGAATATCAGATTCCCTCACACACCATTTCTGATTGCAGATGAAGCCAGAAAAATATAATAGACTGAGGTAGCTGTACTACTCAGCAAAAGCACTGTTCTACTGGTGTCACGGCATGCAATTCTATTGGAGTTAACTGTAACTAACCTTTTGGTTTTCTTTTCTCTTCAGAAATGTCAGGGTTTGATGTCTGTGGCAGTTGATGGACTTGGGCTTGGAATACTTGTAATTGTCACTTACATTTTGGTGTTATTATATTGGGATCTGGATTTACCATCTCAAAGTGGTTTCTGGTCTTCTGATTCTGGTTCCTGGTTTTTTGAGCCTTTGGGGTATTGATGCATTTAACTGTTTGTAGACTCAGATGGGCATAATCATTCTTGCAATCACTGCATTCCCTTGTTGCTGTTTGAAGGCAGCTTTCCATTTGTGTGTCTGTTGCTGTGTGTAAGATGAGTGCTCAACAGAGCACAGCTGTGAAAAAGAGCCCATTAAGGTGCATACTGGCACACTGGAAGGAATTAGGAAGCCCATCAGGTGGTAATTTGAATAAGAAAACCTTGATAAAGTATTGTAATCAGCAGTGGCCTTTGTATAGGTTAGGCAGAAGGGAGAACTGACCTGTTACAGTTAATGTTATTTTTAAGGAGGGAAGGAAAATTTGTATTTTGAGACTCAACCAGATAACAGGAACACCTGGGAGATGTTCCTGTCTCATCCTTGGAGATTGGAGGAACATCTCCAAGATCTTGGAGAGCGTGCAACAAAAGATGGAGTCCTATTCCCACAGAAGCTCATTGGAAACCTTCCAGTGACTTCCAAGAGGACAGGGATCCCACTTCAAGTCCAGCACAACCTCTAGAGAACATATCTGGGGAAAGGAGAACTGTGATAACGAATTTTGCAGGCTCAGTTAGGGAGCTACTGAGAACAAGACTACCTGAAGCACAGGAAACAAGAGAGAAGGGGAAGGAACAATAAACAGATGGCACTACATGGGCATGTCTAAGCTTAGATTAAAATTCCTTTCTCTATTTTTCAGTATCTTTTATGTGAGTGAGAAGGCAGTGCTGCTTTCCCCTCTACCTCTAAATTTCATGCTGTCTCTAGGCACCCAGCACAGAGCTTACATTCTACTAAATGCGTAAATTGACCTCTTATAGGCAGCACAGTGAGCCCTGGCGCACTCGGTCCATCAGCAGCCACTGACTGCCTTCACCCGAGTGGTGGAAGGGCTGGACGGAACCAAACTCAGCAGCTCTGGCAAGGCCTTGCAGAAGGAGACCTGCCACCACCCTGAGTCCTGGCAGGGCTGCTGCCCATCTCCTGCACAAAGAGCTGTGCTGGGCAGCCGCGGAGGCCCAGCGGACATGCCCTGGCAGGATCCCCTCCCCTCCGTGTCCCCAGCCAGGCCAGCCTGGCTCCCTTAAAAGTGTCCACCCCACAGCTCCAGGCTTCGCCCATCTGCTCTGCTGGACGCTTGGAGCCTTCAGCACAACCACCAAAGGCCAAGGGCACTTAGGGCACTTTCCTTTCCCCAGTGCACACCTGGCCAAGTGTTGCTGAGCACCACGACCCTTTTTCCCCCTCTTCCCCAACAAATGCCCTGTGGAAACTGGGCACCAAAAAACTCTCCTGAGACTCTGTCTATTAGAATAGGAACTTTATAATAGCAACTCCCCTGCTGCTGTAAAGAAAAGGTCTTGCAGAGCTGGGGCCTTCCTCGCACGCTCATGTGGCCCCAGCAGACACAGCTTCCCACATCAATGCTCCCCAGAGCTCTGGCAGCACAGCCAGAAACTGCCCCGCAGAGCAGCCTGGGTCTTGCAGGCCCTGCAGAGCCAGTCTCGGAGCTGCTGGAGTCTGGACGATGGAGCTCTATGGGCAGCTTTGATGACACAGCAGGTCTGAACTGCCAGGCAGGAGATAGCAGGGCTGATGTCATTCTTCAAATCTTCAAGGGCTGGATCAGGAAGGAAAAGAGTCAAGGTCAGAGCCTGCATCTCTGCCTCACCTGAGAAACCTCTGCAGCCACGGCCATCCCACCCAGCTCTTGCCGTGGCCAGGAGGGAGCAGGGCCCAACACCATCAGCCAGGAGGTGCTGCCCGTCAATGCCCCTCATGGCCCTGAAATCCCTCTCTGCTCTGCCCAAGCCATTCCTCATCCATGCAGGGAGCAGAGCCCTCCGCAGCCAGGGCAGGATTGCAGCTCCCTGCCCAGGGTCTATGCTCCTCCACCAGTCCCCGCTGCTCTCACTCACCATCAAGGATGATCTGCAGCTCCAACTCCTGTCCCCTCAGGTACCTCCCGGCGATCCCTGGGAACACAGATGCTGTCAGGGCCCCAGCGGTGTCACAGCTCCCCCCAGTGGCACTGCCAGCCCGGCCACACACCCTCCTGCCCTGGCAGGGCTGAGCCCGGGCCCTTCCCGCCTGGGGACGCCCCAGGGCTGGGCTGGCACAGGGCGGCAGCACCGCCAGGGCACTCGGGGCTCCCCAGCACAGCCCTGGCCGCATCTGCTGCCGCTGCAGCAGCCGGGGCTGGGGCCGAGCTGCAGCGGGGCGGGCAGGGACCTTGTGGCTCACCTATGAACCTGAGGGCCGCCTCTCGCATGGGCTCCTGTGGGCTCTCCAGGTACGGCAGGGCCTGGTGCACATACTCGGCCACTCTGCTCTTGTCATTTTTCAGCTGCAAAGAGCAGCAAGGCAATGGGAGAATGGTTGGCTCGAGCTCTGCCCCTTGGCCGGCTGTTGTGCCACCCCACACTCGGGGCATCGGGGCCTGCAGGCTGCTCCAGCCTCAGGCTGGGGTTTCACAGCCATCCTTACCAGGCACTCGCTGAACCTCCACAGCTCCTTCTTCCTCAGCCTCCTCTGGAGAGCTCTCCTCTTCAGGAACTCAGCCACACAAAGGAGTGTTTCCCAAGAGGCCTGCAGAGCAACAGGGACTGGCAGATGGCACTGCAGCCCAGGGCACAGGACCCGTGTCCCTGGACCAAGGCCAGGAGGAGGCTGGAGCCCAGGAGGTGCCAGGGCAGGAGGCAGCCCAGCCCCTTCCCATGGGAACACCAGGGCCCACAAGTGCTCACCTCTGCCACGTGCTGGTTCTCATCATGGCAGTGGAAGAAGAGTGGAAGCAGGCTCTGCTGTACATGTGCCTTCAGGAGCTTTTCTCCCTCTTTCTTTCTCATCATCAGCACCCCATTGAAGACGAGTATGGAGGGGAGCTGCACACTGCTGTCATCCTGGTGGAAAGGAAAAGACCTTAGCCCTGGCTTCTCCAGGCCCACCTGGGCACAAGCTTGAAAATCCAAAATCCACAAAGTTTCCTGCCAGCACCCACTGCCTGTGGCTGTGGGGCACAGAGCCTTACATTATCAAAGAGGGGCTGCAGCGCCTCAGCCAACTGCAAGGCGGTAGGGCTGGGTAGTTGGAAATCTTCATCCATGAACAGAAGACCGACTAAAGTGATGGCTTTCTTGACCACCTCTTGATATGCATCCCCCAACAGCAGCACAAGGCTTCCAGTCAGGATGCTGATTCTACTGGCCTGGGAGGAACACAAGGCTGTGCTGTGAAGCCAAGAACGGTTGCAGAGCCAACCCCGCTCGGGCAGGGCAGCCCCAGGTGCTGCCGCGGGGCCCGGAGGCCAAAGGCCTGTCCTGAAGGCCTCGGCCAGCTGAGCGGGGAGGCAGCAGAGCTGGGAGCAGCTGACACAGCTCCCAAAGCCCAACCCAGCCCAAGTGACTGCGCTCCTCAGCCCCAGGATTCCAGCATGGCTTCAGTCAACTGCCCCTTCCTCACCATCACAGGGTCCCTGCTCAGAACCACGAAGCCTCTGAGTGCCAGGCGACGCATCTCTGGGCACTCGCTCCACAGGTGCCTTGAAAGGAGCTCCAGGATGCCTTCGCCACACTCATTCACATCCACATAGGCCAGGACCTGAAAGGCACGCAGCAGTGACGGGGTGCCCGGCCGGCAGGAGCCCGGACCCGCACAGGGCTGTGCCCAGGCAGCAGCACAGGGCGCGGCACCGTCCCGGGCAGCTGCGGCTGCCAGAGGGCTGAGAGGTGGAGGCAGCTGGGCCAGGCAGCGCTCGCCAGCAGGCTCACCTCCACAAGGAAGGCCATGGCAGGGACGTCCCAGGGACACAGCTCTTCACTCAGCAGCTCCAGGAGGCACCATACAGTGCTGCAACACAAGGGTGTGCAGGCACAGCCCATCTCCCTGCCAGGGGGAAACAGGAACCGTCAACCCTCAGCTGGCTGGGCAAACCTCTGCCGGGGCTCACTCACACAGGCCTGGTCTTGGCCCACCCCCCAAGAGGGGACACATTCACTCGGGGAGGTGGCTCCTCCGCTGCACCCGCCTCTCCCAGCCTTTTCCACTCTGCTCAGCCATCCCTGGGTGACAAGGCCCTCTGGCCCGTGACCACGGCCACTGTGGGCTCTCCCATGAACAGGCAGAAATGACAGGGGCAGCAGGGACAAGGGGGTCTCACCTGGCCAGCAGACCCACTGCATAGTGGTGGGTGTCAGCATTCAGGAGTGTGTCCCAGCCACGCTTCCGTTCCATTGCCATCAAAACGGTCTCACAGCGCAGACGGCGCAGCAGGGCTTTGATGGTCAGCACTGCAAAGCTGTGTGCAGAGCAAAGCCCGCGTCATGCTGAGACCCCTGGCCCCAGCACCGAGGGCATGGCAGGCACAGGAGGACTGGCATGGAGCACCTGTTGGGCTTGGTGGGAAGGCTGCCTTGCTTCTGGCATTCCCTCCAGAAGGTGTCAACCTCCTCCAGCATATGCTCTGTGCTGAAGAACACTTGGAACAGCAGATGCACAAAGAGCTTGGGAAAACAGGTCTTCACTGCACGTGTGCAGACCAGCATCTGCAGGATCTTCCACAGTGCCACAGTTGCCTGCAAAAAGTGAAGCAGCCGGAGACAGCGCTCAGTGCTCACACATCCGTGCAGCAGGGCCCGAGCGTGGGAGGGAGAGGCCAGGGAGACACAGGAGGAGCAGCCAGCCTGGTGCCCCTGAACCAGCCCCTAACCCAGGTTTCCAGCCCAGTCCCTGAGGCAAGGAGATGCAGTACTGGGGGAGGATGAGGAGCTGCCGGGGAGGCGACGGGGGGGTGAGCAAAGGTCAGGTGAAAAAACTCACAGCCAGGGCAAAGACCTCCGTTTCATCCCCATCAGAAGTGAGCATGCTGGAGGAAGGCCAGCTTCCCAGGACAATGGCAAGTATGTTCAGCACTGCCTCTGCAGCCCTTCTTGAGGAGACGATTGTCCTCCACATGGTCACAGCAGCTCTGCGGGGTCAAAGCTCTGAGTCAGCGGGCTCTCAGCCACAGTGCCATGGCCTGGGCATTTCCCGCTCCCAAATGACAAAGCCTCAGCACCCTGAGGAGCAAGGAGGGCACATGGGAGCAGGACCCGTGGCTGGTATGCCAGGGCTGGGAAACACAGGAACCAGAGGCTCCCAAAACTCTGGGCCTGACAGGCACCTGGGACGGACTCTCCAGGGGGATGGGCTGGGGAGCCCTCAAGGCAGGGGGGCCATACCTGTCACATGATGGGGCAGAGCGCAGCAGAGTCACCACCACATCCACAGGCTGAGCCTCAACCAGACGCAGAAGACTCCTGTCTAGTCTGCGCTCAGCAGACCCATTAGCCAGGAGCCACCAGTGGATGTATCTCACCAGGGCCGGCACCTGCAAGGGCGTACGGGGGAGAGTTGGAGAGCTGCCAGAGCTGCCAACTTGCCCGGCTTCCCCAGGAAGTGCTTCCCTTCCCACCACACGCTGCTGGCCTCAAAGGCTGAGAGGGCCCAGCAGAACCCACGGGAGGGGCCGCGCCATCCCTGCAGGGTTGGAGACCTGGCCACAGGCTGCTTACTTTCTTGGCATTGGAGACACCATTCTCCACCAGCATATCCAGCAGGGCAGCACTGGTTTTGGCATTGGAGAGGGCAGAGTTTTCCATGCCCCCAGTGCCCATGGCAATGGTCTCTTCCCTCCAAATGCGCCTGGTGAATTCGCAAACCATCTGCAGGAGAGAGGAAGAAAGAGAGGGATGGGTCATGGAGAGCTCTGACAGCAGTGCCAGGCTGAGCAGGGACAGCAGGCCCAGCCCAGGCGGGGATGGCTGCAGGTACCTGTGCTGCCCTGCGGAAGCGGCCACGGGCACGGTCCTGCTCTTGTGTCTGGTGCTGGCCTGGATCTGGCAAAGAGGGATCACAGTCAGAGCTGAGGGGCTGCGGGACAGCCCGGAAAACACAGCCCAGCCCTGCGCTCCACAGGCAGGGCCTGCCCTGGGATGCCCAGTGCATGGAGCTGCCAGGGAATCAGCCCTGGCCCACATTACCCCCTCCCTGTCCCTATGGGCATGTCCATAGAGGATGGCATGGCATGGCAAGGGATGGGATGGGATGGGAAGGGGCCCAGCTGGCTGCAGCCACCAGCCCTGTGGCCCAGCTCTGCCACTTACTCTTCTGCAGGGGCTGGAACTGCTCCACTTCCCCAGGCTGCTCTTCTGGAACAGGCCCAGGCCTTTCTTCCTCTTCCCCTTCCTTCACCCGGGCCAGCTTGGGCACCCTGGGGGGGCTTTGCTCCATGTCTCTGTCTGGCTCCGTGGCTTCCTGCAGGAGAGATGGCACACAAATGCTCTGGGTCACCCAGTCCTGCACAAGTGCCTTCAAGGCTCCTTCAACACAGGAGGTTCAGGAACACTCCGGCTCATCAAGTCTGGCCACAGTGTGGCCCGGAGGGGGCATGGAGGAGTTGGAGAGGTGCCAGAGGGAGCAACTTGCCCAGTTTCCCCTAACAAGTCCTTCCCTTCCCACCACCCGCTGCTGGCCTCAAAGGCTGAGGGGGCCCAGCAGAACCCACGGGAGGGGCCGCGCCATCCCTGCAGGGTTGGAGACCTGGCCACAGGCTGCTTACTTTCTTGGCATTGGAGACACCATTCTCCACCAGCATATCCAGCAGGGCAGCACTGGTTTTGGCATTGGAGAGGGCAGAGTTTTCCATGCCCCCAGTGCCCATGGCAATGGTCTCTTCCCTCCAAATGCGCCTGGTGAATTCGCAAACCATCTGCAGGAGAGAAGGGAAGAAAGAGAGGGATGGGCCATGGAGAGCTCCAACAGCAGTGCCAGGCTGAGCAGGGACAGCAGGCCCAGCCCAGGAGGGGATGGCTGCAGGTACCTGTGCTGCCCTGCGGAAGCGGCCACGGGCACGGTCCTGCTCTTGTGTCTGGTGCTGGCCTGGATCTGGCAAAGAGTGATCACAGTCAGAGCTGAGGGGCTGCGGGACAGCCCGGAAAACACAGCCCAGCCCTGCGCTCCACAGGCAGGGCCTGCCCTGGGATGCCCAGTGCATGGAGCTGCCAGGGAATCAGCCCTGGCCCCCGTTACCCCCTCCCTGTCCCTATGGTCATGTCCACAGGGGATGGGATGGCATGGCACAGCATGGCAAGGGATGGGATGGGATGGGAAGGGGCCCAGCTGGCTGCAGCCACCAGCCCTGTGGCCCAGCTCTGCCACTTACTCTTCTGCAGGGGCTGGAACTGCTCCACTTCCCCAGGCTGCTCTTCTGGAACAGGCCCAGGCCTTTCTTCCTCTTCCCCTTCCTTCACCCGGGCCAGCTTGGGCACCCTGGGGAGGCTTTGCTCCATGTCTCTGTCTGGCTCCGTGGCTTCCTGCAGGAGAGATGGCACACAAATGCTCTGGGTCACCCAGTCCTGCACAAGTGCCTTCAAGGCTCCTTCAACACAGGAGGTTCAGGAACACTCCGGCTCATCAAGTCTGGCCACAGTGTGGCCCGGAGGGGGCATGGAGGAGTTGGAGAGGTGCCAGAGGGAGCAACTTGCCCAGTTTCCCCTAACAAGTCCTTCCCTTCCCACCACCCTCTGCTGGCCTCAAAGGCTGAGGGGGTCCAGCAGACCTGGCTTGAGGGCCCACACAATGCCTGCCCACAGGCTGCTCACTTGTGCAGAGACAACTCTCTCCCCAGCAATCTCCAGAGTGGCAGCATCGGGCAGGCGCTGAACGGGTGTGTTCTCAGCGTCTGCGATGCCCTCAGTCGTCGCAGTGTCACAGTCTGTTGTGAGCTCGGGCGCCGCGGTGTAGGAGTTTGTTGTTTCATCGGTCGCCGCACCGTCACACTTTTCTGGGCCATCGGTTGACACGGCGCCGACATCGGCCTTTGCCTCGAGCTCACTCGGCATGGGGTCAGGCTGTGCCATGACCGCACTTGATGTGATCCTGGTCCTTCTTCGTCGAATCCCAAGGAATTTCAGAAAGGCCTGCAGGACAACGAAGGGCAGGGAAGAGAGGGATGTGCCATGGAGAGCTCTGACAGCCGGGCAAGGCTGAGCAGGGACAGCAGGCCCAGCCCAGGAGGCCATGGTATCACATCTCACAAAGAGCCCTGTGACACCCTGCCCCAGTGCATCCCATTACTGGTGCCCACTTTGTCACAAAGGGCCCTGTGACACACTGCAGGTACCTGTGCTGCCCTGCGGAAGGGGCCACGGGCACGGTCCTGTTCTCGTGTCCGGTCCCGGCCTGGATCTGGCAAAGAGCGAGCACGGTCAGAGCTGAGGGGCTGCGGGACAGCCCGGAGAACACAGCCCAGCCCTGCGCTCCACAGGCAGGGCCTGCCCCGGGATGCCCAGTGCATGGAGCTGCCGGGGGATCAGCCATGGGCCCTCTTCCCCTCTCCCTTTTTCTGGCCATGTCCACAGGGGATGGGATGGGATGGGATGATGCCCATCTGGCTGCAGCCACCAGCCCTGTGGCCCAGCTCTGCCACTCACCCTCCTGCAAGGGCTGGCACTGTTCCATCTCCTCAGGGTGTTCTGATGAGGAAGCTCTAGGGCCTTCCTTCTTCTTCCAAAAGGGTCTCAGCAGGCGTCTTCCCGCCATCCCACAGTCTGGCCTTGAGGGCACCTGCAAGAGAGAGACACCTCGGAAGATCTCCGGGTCACCACGTCCTGCAGGCTGCCCTCGAGGCCACGTGCCGCAGGGATTGGACACCCAGAAAATTTCTGGGTCACCAATCCTGCAGTCTGGCCTCGAGGGCAACTGAAAAGGATACAAGCCTAGGAAAAAAATGGGTTATCAAGTCCTGCAATGGGGTCTCGAGGGCAACTGAAAGCAAGAAAAGCCTAGGAAAAACTCTGGATTATCAAGTCCTGCAGCGCAGCCTCGAGGGCAGCTGCCGCTGGGACTGGAGACACCTCACAAACGCTCAGTGTCACCAAGTCCCGCGGTCTGGCCTCGAGGACACTTGCACCACAGAAAAAACCTCCAAAACGCTCCGGTCAGTAGGAAAGAGTTGGCTACGCGGGGGCTCCGCACAGCACCGCTCTGTCCCGTCTGTCCCGTCGCACGCTCCGAGGAGCACTGAGGCGTTGCCACATCAACACCAGTATTTATATCATCCCGTGTCACAAAGGGCCCTGTTCCATCCCCTCGGCGATGCCCACCGTGTCACAAAGGGCCCTGGGACACCCTGCCACCTGCCCTGGGGCTTCCCCCAGCCCGGTCAACCTGCCCTGGGTCAGAAGGAGTCCCTTCTCCAAAGTACCTAAGACAGCCGGACGTCAATTTTAGGCACAGTTCCAAAACTAAGCAAAGCCTCCCCTGCTGTGCCTGCCCACGGCAGCTGAAGGAGCCCCAAGGGCACGGGGCCTCCACAGAAGCTGGCACGGGCTCCTTGGCAGAAGTCCCGGCTGGTGGTCCCAAACACGGGCTTGTGACACACAGAAGGAACGTGTGGCCAAGGCCACCAGTGCTGCTCCGACCCCATTGGCCAGGGCTGCACCAAAAGCAGCAGCTCTGGCAAGTCCTTGCCAAAGGAGACCTGCTACCACCCCGAGTCCTGGCAGGGCTGGTGCCCATCTCCTGCCCCAAAGAGCTGTGCCCCTGGGGGACTTCTCTGCCACAGGGCAGCCAAAGCCAATGCACACTGATGTCTGCGCTCCTGCAGGGGCTCTGGGGAGCAGCTGGAGCAATTGGTGGCAGTGCTCGGCATCTGTCGGAAGGCAGACGTTGCTTCCTCCAGAATGATTTTTGCATGCAAGTGATGACATGCAGCACACAAACATCTTTGCTGTGAAGGCAAAGGAGAATCTGGCATTTAATCATTCTAAATTCAGGAAACCAGGGATCCACATTGTTTTCCATTGCTCAACATCAGTCATTTCAAATCAAGTTGCAAACTTCCCAAGTTCATTGGCACAACCTGAGAATGTAAAATATTTGCAAGTTTGCCTCCCACCTCAAACCAGCAACTCGTTTGCCTTAACATGCTCCATTGAAAGTCAATTGCAAAAAATAAACACCAGACAAAAGCCTAAATAAAGAAAGAAATACATAAATTGGACACCTTTTGGTTTTCAAACACTTTTCTGTTAAGGGCTGTCATGGGTTTGCCGACCAGCCCCCCTGGGGCTGAAAATAGTTTTTTTTTCAGGTGGATTTCCAGAGCAAAGCCAATCAAAAGTTTTAGTAACGCCTCTCCTAATCACACATTTAAGAAAACAGAAGGGAAGGATTGCTGCGCAGAAGAAAATGGGAGAGCCAGCGTAGCAGCCGGCCCCGTCGGGCCCAGGCGTGTGCCCCCACCCTGGGCCAAGTGTGGCCCGGGCAAGGGGGACAACTTTAGAGAAGAACCTGGACAAGACATGCTGCAAAAGGAATTCCAGGTAGAGATAGCGCAGCCTCCAAGGTCAAAGCTGGCAGCTGGAGGAGAGAGAAGAGAAGCCCAAAGAGGGGGCTCCTTTCCCCCTCTCTCTCTTCTGCTCCCTTCAGCAGTGAAAAGACTGAAAACTAAAAAACCCCTGCCTTCTGTAGAAGACTGTTGGGTAGCAGAGACCCCCTCTGCAGCTCATGAAGGAGCCCATGCCGAAAGCAGAGGAGTGCATGATGAGGATGTGACTCCGTGGGAGGCCTAAGATGAAACAGAGTCCTGCTGGAGACCTGTGGCCCATGGAGAGACAGACCTACGCTGGAGCAAGTCAGCCCAGGTAGGATCTTGTGATCCCAGTGAGGGATCCAGGCTGGTGCAGCTGAATTTGTGACCCTAAGGGACAGCAGCGAGTGGGAGAACTGTCGCCCGAAGGTGGACTCACACTAGAGAGGTCCATCCATCAAGGACTGTTCTCCCGTGGGAAGAGACCCCACAAGAAACAGGGGTGGACTCAAAAGGCATTATACCCTCTAACTGTGGGAAGGCCATGGTAAGGCAAGTGTTCCCTTGCAGTCCATGGCAGACCCCTCAGGCCCATGTAACCTCCCAGCCTCCGGTCTTAGCCCAGGAGGGGGTAGGCACAGCCCTGAGGCCAACATAGAGGAGAGAAAGAAAAAGACAGTTCCAGCTGCAACGAATCGGAGTTGTCGTCCTAGAGATAATAGAAGACAAACTTTCAAGTGCTGAAAAATTATTTAGAAGACCTGTAGCTCTGGAAATGGAAAAGAGACTACTTCTCCTCCTGAACTGATTCAAGGCGGGAGGGGTATTTCTGTAAATAAATAATACTTTTGCCTAATTAGAATTGTTTTATATATAGTTCTTTAGTTTTTATCTTGCTAGTAATAAAGCCTAATATTACTCTCCCTACAGTTCTCTTTTGTCTACATTAACCTTCTCTCAACTTACTGTAATTGCGTGGGGGGTGAGAGAAAATTGGCCCAGAGTAAACCCGTGACAAGGGCTAATAACATCATAATTCTATTAAGGTATAAAAGCTCTCAAGGAATGGAAGCTCACTCAGTGTTACAAAAGCACCCCACACAAATAGGGATATTGCAAAAAGCACTAATCCTCCCTCCAGTACAGGGAGATAAGTGGTCAATAAAGTACAGCTCCCCTCTTCTGCCCTGCATGACAATCAGTACCACTGACAGAAAAAGAAAAGTCATAGATATCCTTTCTGCCCTCCATAACCAAAGCTTTGCAAAACCACACAGGCTGCCTTCAAACTGGATCCAATTGACAGGATAAAGGAAAAGCCTCTTGCCTCGGGTCCCCCCTCCTACCCACCTTCAACATTTGTCATCCAATTTCAGCCCAGGCCATCACCTTCCACACATCTCCCTCCACAACATCCCCACCAACACCAAATCCTCCCGAACACCCCCACAGAACCCCTCAACACCCACCCCGCCCCAGCACCTCTGGTTGATCCCTCTGCAGAGCCTTCCCACCCTCCAGGAGATGCCCTGGTTGTCCTGCACACGCCCAGGGGTGGCACTCAGGATCCTCAGCGTATCTCAGCTGGCTTTGCCCCCACTTTGAGGCCTGCTAATGCCCAGCTGCCAAAAATGCCTCCCTGGTTCTCTCCAGGATGCACAGGATGAGCCAATGAGCAGGACGCCTTGGGAGCCAAACCTTCCAACCCTTTCCTGAGGCTGGGGACACACCAAGGACAGAGAGAAGGACTCTCCATCATGCCTGGTCCACGCACCCCAGCTCTGGGCTGGCCCCGGCCCAGAGCAGCTTCCACCAAGCAAGAGGCAAATGCACAGTTCTGGGAATTAAAAAGCCCAAATAGGTAAGACGGGAAAAGTGGGTGGACAAAGGCCTTTGAATTCACAGCTCTCATCGAGAGCTTTGGGGCTCTCAGCTGCACAGAGATGCTCCTGCTCAGACTTCTGCTGAAAAGTGGGGAACAGATCCTGCTGCAGACTGTTTGGGTTGGTCTCTGCAGGCACAGGTAGAACCCAAGCCTGCTTTTCACAGCCTTTCCCCTTCCTCTCTACAGAGTGAAACCAGCCACAGGGAGTGAAAGGACACAGAGAGCCGCCAAAGGGAGACCTTCGTACTGACCTCACTGGGACTCTTTGGGAAGCACTTTCCTTGAGGAGCCTTGCCTCCAAAGGCATTTACCCAAACCTGTAGTTTTCAAGGGGAACACCTACACACACTTAAGAAACCCTGGCAAGGCTGATTCTCTCTGCTCCTTGCAGAACAGGCACTCCAGTTCCTATTGCTCCAAGTGTGTTTCCAGGTGTAGGTTCAGACTCCCAGCCCCAGGCCCTCTGCAGACACAGCTTGGTTGCTGCCATCTTCTCATCCCTGAACTCTTGCCTCCAGGCCTGGCAGCAAACCCCGACACCACATCCCTGTTCGTGGAGGATGATCTTGTAAGCAACGTCCAGGACTCTCCGCTGTGCACGGAGCATTTTTCCATCCTGCTCTGAACAGCCTCTGGGCACGAGAGCACAACCTGGTTGGCTCTGGTGTCAACAAACACCAGATGCAGGCAGAGGAAGAAGCAGTCACTGTTCTGTAGCAATGCCCAAGACAGACTGGAACGGTCCCCTCCCTCTGTCTTCCTTTGATTTGATTTCTGACTGTGTCAGATGCAGGGGCTGCGATTCCTGAACTGTGGGGACCAGACCTGGCCACAGCCTCCAGGCACTGCCTGGCAGCGCTCCCTACGGTGGGATGGGCACATGTCTGTGTCTCAGGCAGCGTGTGCTGCTTCTTCCTTTGCTTTCAAGCTTTTCAAAACTCCCTGTTAAGCCAGGGTGGTCTCTGGTTCTGCCGCCTTCTTCCCCCTTTGTAGGGAGGGATCACTGCTGTGCTTTCAGGAAGCTGTTCTTGAATAACTTTCAGCATTCCAAGCTCCTTTGCCCTCCATGGATGCTTGCCATGGAATCCCTCACAGCCGGGTTCAGAGCGTACTGAAGTTGGCTCTGCTAATATTCAGGTTCTTTGTCCAACTGCTGGCCTTCAGTGTGCCCGGTAAGATCTTTAACTCCACAGTGTTGTGGAACTGGACCTTCAGGACAGGGACCTTTCCAGCCTCAAGAGCCTTTGTCCCTCTCTCTTTGCACATGGTGCAAGGGGCAAAAGAAAGGCCCTGTGTGCTCCAGGGCTCAGGGTTTGTGCCATTTCAGTTCCACAAAGATGCAGATAGCAGGGAGAAACCCAACGGTTTATTATGGCAAGGGGAAGTGGAGGGATGAGCTGGGAGCAGGAGAAGGGAACAAGCTGACTTTGAAGGTTGAAGGGACAAAGCGGTATGGAGGCAGGGAGGGTCAACAGGGAAGGACAGGCCAGGAGTCACAAGGTCTTCCTGGCAGGCTCAGTTGGACCCAGTATCAGTGCTTGGAGCTACAGATGATCTCCTCTGGTCTCCAGTTGATCTCCTGCTGCGCGGTGTCTGGTGCTCTTCTTGGGACACCAGTTGTCTTGAAGCAGAGGATGAAAGTAATACTTCAGCTCTTTGGTCAAACAGGGCTTGAACCATCACACTTGTGTAGGAGGGGAAGTTGTCTTTTCTCATGGCTTGAAGGGCTGGAACAGAAAGGAACAGAGCCAAGGTCAGAGCCCAGATCTGTGGGTACCTGGGGAGCCCCTTCAGCCAGGGCCACCCCCCATGGCCCTGAAATATCTCTCCACTCTGCCCAAGCCATTCCTCATCCATGCAGGGAGCAGAGCCCTCCGCAGCCAGGGCAGGATTGCAGCTCCCAGCCCAGGGTCTGTGCTCCCCCTGCCATCCCCCACTGACACCCCACTGCCCTCACTCACCCTCGCAGATGACCTGCAGCTCTTCAGGTCGTCCCCGCATATACCATCCGGCCATCCCTGGGAACACAGATGCTGTCAGGGCCCCAGCGGTGTCACAGCTCCCCCCCAGTGGCACTGCCAGCCTGGCCACACACCCTCCTGCCCTGGCAGGGCTGAGCCCGGGCCCTTCCCGCCTGGGGACGCCCCAGGGCTGGGCTGGCACAGGGCGGCAGCACCGCCAGGGCACTCGGGGCTCCCCAGCACAGCCCTGGCCGCATCTGCTGCCGCTGCAGCAGCCGGGGCTGGGGCTGAGCTGCAGCGGGGCGGGCAGGGACCTTTGGCTCACCCATGAACTTGATGGCTGCCTCTCGCAGGGGCTCCTGTGGGCTCTCCAGGTATGGTAGGGCCTGGCGTAGGTAGTTGGCCACTCGGCTGCGGTCCTTTTCCAGCTGGAGAGAACAGCAGGGCACAGAGGGAATGGTTGGCTGGGGCTCTGCCCCTTGGCCAGGCACTGCCTGCGCCCAGCACTGACTGCTCCAGCGGCACCCTGGCTCGGGGGCACAGGAGCTGCAGAGGAGCCCGCACGCCCCAGGGAAGGCAGCAGCGGCTGGGGCGCAGGCTGCTGTCCCACAGGGGCTGCAGCAGTGGGCAGGGGCACAGTGCCAGCCCCACCCTCAGGGCATCGGGGACCGGAGCTTTGGATCCGTCCTTACCAGGCACTCGCCAAATTTCAATGGTTGCTCTGTCTTCAGCAGCTGCTCGAGATCCTTCCTCTTCAGAAATTTGGCTACACAAAGCAGCGCTTCCCGAGAGGTCTGCAGAGCAAGAGTCCAGGAGATAGTACCACAGCCCAGGGCACAGGACCTGGACCAAGGCCAGGAAAAGTTAGTCCAGCCTCCTCCCACGGGAACACCAGAGCCTAGAAAGTCCTCACCTCTGCCACTTCGCTGGTTCTCATCATGCCAGTAGAGGAAGAGTGGGAGCAGGTTCTGGATCACATGTATCTTCAAGGGCTTCTTTCCCACATCCACTACTGACTTCATCACCTCTTGGAACAGGCGAATGGAGAGGGCCTGCACATGGCTGTTATCCTAATGGAAAAAAAGAGGAAAAGGCCTCAGCACTAGCTTCTCCAGACCTACCTGTGCATAGGCCTGTAAATCCACAAGAAGCAGTTTCCTGGCAGCACCCAGCACCCTCAAATGGGAGCACACAGAACCTTACACTGTCAAAGAGTGGCCGGAGAGCCTCAGCCAGCTTCAGAGCGGTGGGGCTGGAGGTTATGATGTCTTTCTTCCGCAGCATATTCAGGAATATTGGCAAGGCCAGCTCAACCACCTCTACATCTGCGTCCCACAGGAGCTGCACTAAACTTCCAGAGAGGCTGCACATTCTCCTGGCCTGTGAGGAACACAAGGCTGTGCTGTGAAGCCAGGAACAGCTGCAGAGCCAACCCTGCTCGGGCGGGGCAGCCCCAGGTGCTGCCGCAGGGCCTGGGGGCCAAAGACTAATCCTAAAGGACTTGGACAGCTGAGCAGCTGCCACAGCTCCACAAGTGACTTCGTTGCCCAGCCCCAGGATTCCAGCACGGTTTCAGCCAACTGCCCCCTCCTCACCATCATGGGATCCTTGCTCAGCATTACAAAGCCTCTGATCGCCAGGCGACGCCTCTCTTTGCATTCGTTAGCCAGGTCTCTTGAAAGGATCTGCAGGATTCCATCACCACATTCAATCATGTCCAGGTAGTCGAGGACCTGAAAGGCACGCAGCAGTGACGGGGTGCCCGGCCGGCAGGAGCCCGGACCCGCACAGGGCTGTGCCCAGGCAGCAGCACAGGGTGCGGCACCGTCCCGGGCAGCTGCGGCTGCCAGAGGGCTGAGAGGTGGAGGCAGCTGGGCCAGGCAGCGCTCGCCAGCAGGCTCACCTCCACAAGGAAGGCCATGGCAGGAACCTCCCAGCGGGGCTTCTCCCTGATGAGCACCCCCAACAGGCAGAGGGCAACTGGGGAACACAAGGGGCTCGAGGTACGGCGCATCTCCCTGGCAGGGGGAAACAGGCACCATCAACCCTGAGTTGGGTGGGCAAACCTCTGCCGGGGCTCACTCACACAGGCCTGGTCTTTTCCCACCACCTCAGGAAGGGACACATGCACTCTGGGAGGCAGCTCCTCCTGTGCCTCCACCTCTCCCAGCTTTTTCCACTCTGCTCAGCCATCCCTGGGTGACAAGGCCCTCTGGCCCATGACCACCACGGTGCCCCATGCAGAGGGCAGAAATAAGAGGGGCAGCAGGGACAAGGGGGGCTCACCTGGCCAACAAACCCACTGCATAGTGGTGGGTGTCAGCACTGAGGAGCGTGTCCCAGCCACGTTTCCGTTCCATTGCCATCACCAAATTTACACGCTGCAGACGGCGAAGCAGTGCCCTCACAGTCTGTACTGCAAACCTGTGTGCAGAACAAAGCCCAGGTCATGTTGAGAGCCCTCGCCCCAGCCCCTGGGACATGGCAGGCACAGGAGGACTGGGATGGAGCACCTGTTGGGGTTCCTGGTAAGGCTGCTTTTCTCCTGGCACCCCCTCCAGAAGGAAGCAACCTCCTCCGGCATCTGCTTTGTGCTCATGAAGACTTGGAAGAGTAGATCCACAAGAAGGCGAGGGAAATATTTCAGCACTGGCTCTGGGCACCAGGGCAGGCGGAGAATCTCCCAAATCACCCTGGTTGCCTGCAAAAGTAAAACAGCCGGAGACAGTGCTCAGTGAGTGCCCACACATCCATGCGGCACAACCCAAGTGCGGGACTGAAAGGCCAGGGGAGACACAGGGGGAGCGCCCAGCTTGGAACCCTGAACCTGCCCCTAAGCTGCATTTCCAGCCCAGTGCCTGAGGCAAGGGGATGTCGTGGGTGGGGGAGAATGGAGAGCCAGCAGAGACGCAATCTAGGGGTGAGCAAAGGCCAGTTCCAGAAACTCACAGCCAGGGCAAAGACATCAGTTTTGTCCCCATCGGAAGTGCACATGCTGTGCACTGGCCAGTCCTCCATCACAGACAGCAGCTTTGGCAGCACCTTTTCAAGTGTCATTCCCGAGGAGGCGATGGTCCTCCACATGCTGGCAGCAGCTCTGCGGGGCCAGAGTTGTGTGTCAAGGGGTGCTGGCCAAAGGGCCTTGAAGAGCAGGGAGGGAGCCTGGCAGCAGGATCGGGGCTGACATGGCAGGGCTGGGAAACAGAGGGGCCAGAGGGTCCTGGAACTCCCCGTCCCTCTGGCAGACCATGTGGGATGAGATGGACAGGGTGAAGGGCTCTAAGGCTGGTGAACTCCGAGCCCTGAGGCATGGGGTCCTGTACCTGTCACACGATGGGGCACAGCGCAGGAGAGTCACCACAACATCAGTAGGGTGTGCATCAGTCACCCTCATGAGGTCCATCTGGCTGCAGCCACCAGCCTTGTGGCCCAGCTCTGCCACTCACCCTCTGGCAGCAGCTGGAACCACTCCATATTTTCAGGCCGCCGAGCTGGGGCAACCCCCAGACACTTCTTCACCTTCTTCATCCCAAACAGGCTCACGCGTCTCCACACCACTCCACAGTCTGGTCTCAAGGGCAACTGCAACCAGAAAACCTCAGAAAAGCTACTGATTACCAAGTCACACAGTAGGGCCTTGAGGGCACCAGCAGGAGAGGAGCCATGGAAGAGCTACAGTCTGGACTTAAGGGCTCTTGCCACGAGAATGGGAGGGTTCTTGTAAAGGCTCCGGGTTAACAAGTCCTGCGGTTTGGCCTCAAAGGCGCCTTCTGAAAGGGTGGGGGAAACCTCGGGAGGCTACGGGTCAGCAAGTCCCGCAGTCTGGCCTCGAGGGCACCTGCAAGAGCAACGCCTTGGAAAGCTCTGGGCCAGCAAGGAAGGAGTTGGCTGCGTGGGGGCTCCGCACAGCACCGCTCTGTCCTGTCTGTCCCGTTGCGTGCTCTGATGACAACTGAGGCAGGGCCACACCAACACCAGTACTTATATCATCCCATGTCACAAAGACCCCTGCGACACCCTGCCCCGTTCCATCCCATCGGTGATGCCCATTGTGTCACAAAGGGCCCTGTGTCACCTTACCACGTACCCTGGGGCCTCCCTCAGCCTGGCCAACCTGCCCCAGATCAGAAGGAATCCATGCTCCAAAGTATCCAAGACAGTTGGACAGGAACTTCGAGAATGGCTCAAAAACTAAGCAACCCCTTCCCTGCTGTGTCTGCCCACGGCAGCAGAAGGAGCCCCCTCGGCTGCCAACACAGTTGCAAACTTCCCAAGTTCATTGGCACAACCTGAGAATGTAAAATATTTGCAAGTTTGCCTCCCACCCCAAACCAGCAACTCGTTTGCCTTAACAGGCTCCATCGAGAGTCAATTGCAAAAAAAAATAAACACTAAACGAAAGCCTAAATAAATAAATTGGACACAGTTTGCTTTTCAAACACTTTTTTGTTAAGGGCTAGTAACATCATAATTCTATTAAGGTATAAAAGCTCTCAAGGAATGGAAGCTCACTCAGTGTTACAAAAGCACCCCACACAAATAGGGATATTGCAAAAAGCACTAATCCTCCCTCCAGTACAGGGAGATAAGTGGTCAATAAAGTACAGCTCCCCTCTTCTGCCCTGCATGACAATCAGTACCACTGACAGAAAAAGAAAAGTCATAGATATCCTTTCTGCCCTCCATAACCAAAGCTCTGCAAAACCACACAGGCTACCTTCAAACTGGATCCAATTTCAGCCCAGGCCATCACCTTCCACACATCTCCCTCCACAACATCCCCACCAACACCAAATTCTCCCAAACACCCCCATAGAACCCCTCAATACCCACCCTGCCCCAGCACCTCTGGCTGATCCCTCTGCAGAGCCTTCCCACCCTCCAGGAGATGCCCTGGTTGTCCTGCACATGCCTGGGGATGGCACTCAGGATCCTCAGCGTATCTCAGCTGGCTTTGCCCCCACTTTGAGGCCTGCTAATGCCCAGCTGCCAAAAATGCCTCCCTGGTTCTCTCCAGGATGCACAGGATGAGCCAATGAGCAGGACGCTTTGGGAGCCAAACCTTCCAACCTTGGTTACAAAGTCATGGAGTCTTAAAAGTCATGGAATGGCTCTTTTTATAGCATGAAAACGCTGGTCTGCATTTGTATCTCTCTTTTCTGTGTCGTGAGCTACAATTTCTGAGGAACAGAAACAGATTTCCCCCATAAAAAAAGAAAAAATAATCTCAGGAAGCTTTCTTGGAGGAGCCTGTGGGTGCCACCCAGGATCTCAGGTCCCAAAACCATAGATCAAAAGATTCTACGAGATGCCTGGGGTGAGTCTTTCATAGATTCTGGAGCTGGGAGTTTTTCCAAAGGAGAAAAATCACCTCAGGTAGCATCCTGAGAGTGGTGTGGGCTGACACTTGGGATCTCAGATCCTGAAATCGGAGACCAAAACACTGTGGTAGATCCCTGGGAGGAGTCTCAGAGTATTCCTGGAGGAAACAGTTTCCATGAAACGAGAATTATACTGAATATATCCGGTATCTGTTTGATCTCTCCTGCATGTGCTCAATCCAAAGTTGCAGGTTGGAGCAGATTTTAACACTATTAAGACACACGTTTTCCTGTGTGCTCCTTTTGTTAGGTGGGAAGCACAGAGAGGGCTCACTGTTTTGTATCAGCTGGGCTACAGCTCACAGCTGCTCATGGCTGGGATTTCACAGAAGTTTGGAAAGGCTTGGGGACAGTTCCTGCTGAATTGCTTTGAGGGACAGACAAAATTGTCTGCCAACATCTATCTTTAGTTTGCTTTGTCTGGCAAAGCAGTGAAAGAAGTTTAATCATTTAAATAATGAAAAACACAGCTCCTGTCCTTGGAGAAGGAGAACCTGCCTGCCTGGAAGGGATTCTATAGGGAACAAGGGGTGGCTACCCAGCCGCTCCCTCCTTCTTTGTCCTCCTTGCCCAAAACAATCTGTTTTGGGGTACAGAAGCCTTCTTGCCCAGAGGGGATGCTGCAGGGTGGAAGGGTTGAGCAACCAGTAACCTCCTCCCTCCTTGTCCCTCTCCTCATAGAATCACTGAATGGTTTGGGTTGGAAGGGACATTAAGGCTGATCCAGTTCCAACACCCCTGGCATGGGGAGGGACACCTTCCACTAGACCAGGTTGCTCCAAGGGCCCTGCAGCAGCCAAGGGCACCACGGGCACCGTCCCCCCCAGCTCTGGGCTGAGCTCAGCTCTGGTTCCCCCAGTTTCTGGGCTGAGCTCAGCCAGGGTGCCCCCCCTCCATTTTTGGGCTGTCACCCCCCCCTTGAAGGAGATCAGCTCAGACTTGGTGGGGAGCTACAAACTCAGCACTCACCAGGAAGGATGTGGGACACAACGGGAGTCCCAGGAAAACCAAACCTGACCCCGCCCAGCTCTCAGGTTGCAGGGAGTGCCTGAGAAGTGTGTCTGGTTCATTCAAGACAGCTAAGTTCAAGTTCATGATTTCCAGGAAATCTCAGCAGCTCCCATCCATCCCTCCAGACCCTAACGCTGCTCCTGTGCACCACCCCAAAGAGCAATCATCACAGAACAAGAAATTCCTTCCCAGTAAGGCCCACAGCCTGCTCTTTTAAACAGATGCCCAGAGCACCTGCTGAGAACCACCTCGGTTATTCCCTGGCTCTCCCTTTAGCCAGGGATCAGCTCCTGAATGATCCTCACCCCTAAACCCACAGAACTCCCCTAGGACAAAATGCAGAGCACAGTGATACCCATCTAAGCTGATAGGGAGAAGGACTTACAGCCCAGCTCAGCCTCTGGTAACAGGTGAAAGAAGTGCAGAAATACAGTCAGTTGTGGCTGGAAACAACTGATGATAAGCAAAAAAAAGGAGGAAATAAGTTAACATTCAAATGTAGCTTAATTTCTTTGTTGTAAATGAAAGGCAAGATAGCAACCTTGCACAAAATGTTCCTAAGGGCATTTTTCTGTGATTCCCTTAAAAAGCAATGGTGCCTGGAAGTCAAAAGCCTGAAGTGCTGGGGCTAGGGGCCATCAGCTCTTTCTTGAGTGCTGTTGTTCACTTTGTTTGTTCTCGTGTAAAAAACAGATTTAGAAATCACCATGACACTTTATGGCTATAAAATTTGCAAGGCAATCCTAGGTTGGTTAAAGCCAAGAGCTAGGCGAAATCCAAACGGCCATGTCCTCTCAGGACACATCACAGCATGACACTCGAATAATTCAGTTTCAGCAAGAACAAATTTAAATGCAAGAAGAAATTTAAATGCAGAGTAATCTCACAGACAGGTGTAAAGGTGTCCAGAATCTGGAAAAGGCAAACAGGGCTGTCAACAAAGCCTGAGTTGAATTTACCTAAACAGGCTTTTCTCTCCTGCTTACCTGCACAAGTGTAAGCAGCAGGATGAAGGAAGGGATCATTCCCCTTTAGAAAGCTGCTTCCCTCATTATATTTTTCTGGGGCCAAAAGCATCTGAGGAGGCACAGACTCCCAGCATGGTTTGCTTGTTGGTGGAGACCATGCTCATATCTCTGGGGACAGGGAACCCAAGCCAGGTGACATGAGGCTGCTGTGCCAGCTCCCCTCTGCTTGGGACTTACACTGGGCAGACAGTAAGGAGAACAACACAGTCAAGTTCCTCTTGCCTCACCATTAGCAATTTATTAACCTGTCGGTCTTCCAGCTATGATTATGAATGCCCAGCGACACCACAGCCTGAGCAGAGGCACTTGCTGTGCTAGGGGAAGGCTGGAGCCCTGGGGCCCAGGCTGTGCCCCAATGCCAACCACCCCAGGGCTTCCTGCTCCAGCTGGCTCTTCTCCAAAGTGGGAACGATGGTGGTGCCTTCACCTCTGAGGTGCTGGGAAGCCAGGTGCCATCCTCTGTCCAGATGTGGAACACAACACAGCTTGGCAGTTTTCTCAGATCTTCCAAATGCTCTGAAAAGGCACTTCACTCCCCATCCCGGGATGGAGAATATACCTGGGAAAAACCTTAAAAAGGGAATGTTTAGAAGAGGTTCAACAGCAAGCAGAGGCTCTGCAGCCCCGGGGCAGCACCCATCCCTGGCAGAGGCAGCAGTCCACGTGCTAAGGTCAGCACTGAGACATCCCACACAGCACACACCCCCATGGTCCCACGCAGCTGCCGGTACCCCAGCCAAGTCCAAGGCCCTGGCACTCCCAGTGGCCCAGGTTCAGGCAGACAGAGTTTCCTGCACAGCCTGCCCTGCTCGCAGCTGCCCAGCCAGGGGGCTGTCGGGGTGCAGGCGGCAGAACCGGCCCAGCGCCCAGATGGGGAAGACGTTGCGGTACGAGGTGTAACTGATGGCACACGACTTGTTGAACACCCCGGCGATGTTCTCCTGGGGGAGAAGCAGAGAGCAGAACAGTGTGAGTGACACGGGACTGCAGGGTGCTCAGGAACCCCTTGGGAAGACTAAAGACGTACCTGAGGCCAGTCCCCGTTGGGCAGCTGCTTATCAATCAGCACTTTAATGCCCCTTTCCAGCACGTCGACGTCAGGGTACCTGCAAAGCACAAGGGAGATGTGAGCACCCTCACCCAAACCATCTGCAACACCCCATCCATGCGCTTGGGGAACTCAACCACCTCCAGGCTGCCCCAAGCTTGTCCCAGGCATGCTGAATGCTTTGGAAAGGGTCCCCCACAATCCCAGGACACCAGACATTATGAACATGGAACGTTTTCCCAGGCTGGAGGCCTGCAGTTGTGATCAAAACCTTTGCTTTGCATTGGCCCAAGGCCCCACAACCCAGCCTGCAACTCCCATCTCCCCCAGCACTCAGGGCGAGGTGGGGGGCAGCTCCTACCTGACAGCCATGAGCCCCAGCAGGGCCCAGCAGGTGTTGTGGATCTGTGATTCAGCACTCTGCACGTACGTGCGCTGCTCGCAGGACTCGAAATCCTCTCCCCACCCACCATCTGCCATCTGCTTGGAGACGAGGAACTGGCAGGCCTGGGCCACCTCTCGACACGCAGCCCTGCAGGGATGGGGCACAGAGTCAAGACAGGACTGGGGACAGGTAGTGTTTGGACATCCATGGTTCTCAGCTGCGAGGAGCAGCTGTGCCCTGGGCTCACTGCTCCTGGGAGGAGCAGCCCCTGAGGCAGGAGAGTCCATGCACAGCAAGGACATTCCCCCACACCCACCATGGAATCCTGCCCGGGCCCAGGAGGCAGGCAGGGGCAGGACACCCAGACAGCCCCTCCTCACCCGTCACGGTACGTGTGCTGCATGCAGGCAAACGCCTCCAGACCAAACCAGGTGCCATAGGTGAAGCAAACCCCCCAGCTCCTAGGAGGAAGGGGAGAGCAGCACTGTCAGGGGTGCGAGGCCCCAGGTAGAGGCAGGTTGTGTTCACAGAACAGCAGAGCCTGTCACAGAGCTGCAGCCTGCCCTCCCCTATGGCACAACCCTGCCCAGTCCCACCAGCACCTGCTCCCAGCTAACCCAGGTGTCAGCAGAACTGGGACCACCCTGATCCCCCCAAGGCTTCTCGGGGTCTTGTGCAATGCACAAGCTTCCTGCTCCCCCAGGGCTAGAGGAAGAGTAATGGAGAGCAAAGCACGGCAGCTGGAGGAGGATCAGCCCCTGCTTCCCCTCCCACAGATCCTACCAGCCAGGAATGCCTGCCATCACGATCCCTCTCACTCTGGGACAGCCAGAAGAAAACTGGGCACTGGGAATATCGCTTACCCTTCCCAGGACCCATCCGCTCGCTGCTTCTTGCGACAGAAATCCAGGCCCTTCCGCAGGGTCTCCCTGGACAGGAGAGAAACTACCCATTTCAGAACCAGCTCAAAGTCAGTGTCTGCTTCACTGGGAGCTCCATCAGCCCCTCTGAGGCTTTGACAGGTCCCATTATTGGAGGGCACAAGAGGCAAGAGCATGCAGACAGGCAGCTACATGGCTCATGGTTTGGAGTATCACCAAGCTGGCCACCGCAGGGGCTGCTTCATGCCAGTGCAGAGACCCAGGCAAGACCCCTAACAGGGATCAGCAGGGGCTGTGCCAAGAGGCCCTGGCAGGCAGCTTGAGAAGTGCAGCCTGTCTTCTCTCCTGCCCAGCTCCCATCCCAGTGCTTCACCTGATCTCCAGGGTGCGGTGCTCAGGGAACTCGCTCTGGAAGTGCCTCAGTGCCTGCATGACAGCCGAGGTGCACTCCACGTATGTGTAGTCGATCATGATGTCACCTGCCAGCAGGTGAAGGGTATCAGTGCCACAGCCCCTCCGTGGGGGAGCCTGCGGGCCAGCTGCTCCCAGCCTCTCCCCCAGACCCCCAGCACACTGATCCTACATCCTGATCCTACCCACTGGGCATGGCGAGGCCAGGCCACTTTGTCCCTTCACAGTGGGCAGGATAACCAGCCCCAACAGCTCCCCTTACCAAACACCTCCGAGGGGTTCAGCATCTCCAGTAAGTGGCCTCCTCGCTTGGTTTCGTATGTGGCAAAGCCTCCGTCCGAGTTCCTCATGCTCAGCAACTGCCCAGGCAAGCAGAGAGGGGCTGGGACCAGCTGCTCACAGGCAGCACCACCCCAGTCTGGCCCCAAGCCAGCTATGAGGACAAAGTCAGACCCATAGGTTTATGGGGCTGGCAGACAACCCAGGTCCCAAACCACAGGGACAGGCAGGCCCAATCTAGGTTATCACATCACATTATGTTGCATAAGCAGCTCTGTATCACAGCCAAGAGAGCGTTGCCACACCATGCCTCAGATCTAACCAGATCTAATACCAGATCTAACAGCCCCTCAGGCCTTGACTTCTCTTACAGATTTACCTGCCTGCCTGTCACTAAGCCCTAATTTTTGCAGTGCTTACCACATTCACAGCATCAAAGAGGCGCTCAGGGGGCACAAGCTTGGCTATGAAGGGGCACTTCTCCTGCAGCAGCATGACCGCCTTCAGCCCCTCTGCTGTGCAGTCTGCCACGATCCAGCCACAGTCCCGCGTGCTGAAGGGGAAGCCACCCTGGAAAGGGATCAGGTGAGCTCAGCACCTTCCCCTGACCTTGTAGGGGGGCGAGTGCTGCCCCTCATTCCCGTCCCCTCTGCCCAAATCCCTGCCCCGGTCACGAGTCCTTCGGAGGCCAGTCCCAGTCATCGTACCTTGTTCATATGGCGATAGTATTTCTGGTAGTCAGGTGGGTTCTCTGGGATCTGCAGGAGGCAAGAAACAAGTGAGGGCAGCCTGGAGGTGCCTGCCTGCAGGACCACGGGCTGAAACCACTGCAGGTGCAGAACCTTGTGCAAGTGCACAGCACCTCTCTTTCACTGAGGGAAGCAGACAGGGAAGAGGTCAGCTCTGGAGCAGAGAGTGCTGAAGAGAAATCACCTTTTGGCCTGGTTTAAGCAAGTGTTGTTAAACGCTTCCCCTTTGGAAGCTTTCCTGCCAGGGAACCATCTGCTTTGAATGCTCCCATTGGCAACAGTGTGAACAAGACTGCCTGCCCCTGCACCAAGCTGCTGGTGACAGTGACCCCCACCTTGAGCCACTGGCCTGGCCAGCAGAAGCTGAGCTCATACAGTCACTAGCCAAGGGGTCTGGGTTTCCCAGAACGGTGCCTCAAATGCGTTGGTACCAGAGAGGACAAAAGGGTAAAGAAGCCTAAGCCTTATGTTTTGCAGCCTCTCTAAGCTCAGGCAGCCCACCCAAATATCCTTGGGCCTGGCCAAGGTCCTCACCAAGCTGCAGAGATGGTTCCCTGAAAACAGGGAGCAGAAAACAGAAGGTTGTCCCCAGGACTTTGCTAGTCCAGCCCTTCAGAAGAGCTCTCCAGAAGGCAACAGATGCATCCAACAGGGTTCTGAGCAGCAGCCAAGCCTGCACAACCAGTGTGTGAGACCCCACCAAAGGGCTCTGCTCACCTGGGTGAACTGCAGGAACTCATGGGCATTCTGGAGGCAGGACGTGAATTCAGGCATCTTCTGGGCTTCTGCCTGGAAACAGAGGCGCACAGTCAGCACTCAGCAAGGAGCTGCGGCCACCAAACATGCTCTGAGCAAACGTGTGTTTGCCTAGCTCCATCACAGGATGCCAGGCCAGAACTGACACAGCAGAGCTCCAAAAGGGTGCACAGCAGGACCTCTGGTATTTCGGGGATGTGTGAGGAAAGCATTTTCCCAAGGCAGCATGTAGCACTGCAGGGTGCATTACCTCCAAGAAGGCTTGGATGGCAAAGGCAGTATCCCAGAGCTGGGATCCATTTGTGCCCTGTAAGAGAGAATGTAGATAGTGAGAGGCAGGTGCTAGCCAGCAGCCTGACCTAACTGTGGGGTCTATGGGACAAGCATATCCCTCCCACATCACACCCACTAGCTGCCTCCACCCTGTGTCTCAGTTTTGTGCCACTCAGCATCACAGCTGATGTGTTGGCACAGAGGGGACAAACGCAACAGGTCAAGGGATAGCAAGGGAACAGGAAATCAGGGAGTTGCTTCAGCCTGCTGCGTGCACAGCCAAGGCAGGAGTGCTGGCCAGCACTAAGGAGCAGCAGGACTACGGCTCTGAGAGAAGCAGAGCTCAGACCACATGCAGGATCAGGGGCCTGGCTTTCTCCTTCCCTTCTCCCAGGACCCATGGGAATGAAGGAAATGGAGGCTTAGAGCTGCCCCCTCAGCTCACAGCCACAGAGAGGCAAACTAGCAGGACAGGCACTATTCCCTCCTGGTACAGCTGGTGGAAGTGGCAGTAAGACAGATAAAGCCACCAGGCACCAGAGGTGAGGTGCCAGGAGCTCAGGCTCGGGATGAACACACTATCCCATTACTCCATGGGCTGCCCCAGCACGCCACAGTCCCTTCAGTCACAGATGAACTCCTACAGCACTTCACCTGCATCTTCATGCCGTCAAGGCCCAGCCTGTGTGGGGAGAGAGCACAGTGATGCAGCACAGGCAGGCACAGCGGGAGCACCAGGAAGCAGGTCAGGAGCCCCGCTGTGCTCAACCCACAGCGATCAGAGCCCTGTGCTGTGCCAGGTGGGTCACACTCAGCCCGTACCAGAGGTAATCCGGGATCCTGGAAACATGCTCCTGAAAAGCTGGGGAGTTCTTCCCATCCACAAACCAGCGAACCAGCATGTTGATGGTCTTGGAAATCTGACACAAGAAAAACGGTCACTGCTGTGGATAGAGCTTCTTCCAGCCCCAGAGACATATATCCCTCCCACCCAGCACAAAGCCATCCAGAGGTTGCCCTGGCCTTGATCCCAATGGCTCCATTACCCAGCAGAGCTGAGTTAGTGAGGCAGGTGCCATGAGATTACTCCAGAGCTTCTCCTCAGATCATTTCTCTGGACCTCAAGGACAGGTACCCCTCACCAGCTATCCCCATGCCCTCTGCATCTCCTGTGCCCTGTTGGCCTTAAGCTCTTAAACATCAGGAGCTGAGCAAGATCTGGTGATTACTGGTTACGTGCCACAAATACAAAGCTCTGGGGAGGGGCACAAGCTGGTCCCCAAATAACAAAGGGCGAGATATTTAAAGGATTAACAGCAAATGTCCTACTGGTCCGATGCTGATGCACTTGGTGAATCTATCATCAGCTTTGATGTGGTCGTACAGCTCTGCGATGGCTCGCTGCCGCAGGTGAGTGCTGTGGTGGGCTTCATACATGTTCATGATGGCTACAGGAGAAGAAAGGGACATGCAATGAAAACAAAAACCCACCCTGTGCAGCCAGATGCACTTGCTGTGGGCAGGCTGCACCCCGGCTCACACCACGACCAGCTGAGGAAAGCACAGGAACTGCTCTGCCCCAGAGCAGCCCGAGGACCTGGGCACAAGGCCCCGCTGCTCTCGGGGAGGGAAAAGCCCACGGATCACATAATCCACGTCTCCATCCCAGCTCCAGAGCATACACCAGCAGCCCCTGAAGAGCCCCCACGGTGCCAGGCTGGTCCAGCTGCACGAGCAGCAGCAGAGAGTGGCATGGGACGCGCTCACCGTAGGCAGTGTCCAGCAGCCAGCTGTGCTGGGTGTACACGTCACAGGCAGCCACGTTGTTCCTCTGCGCTGGCCAGTCTATGCTGGCATAGTCCTGCACGTACAGCTCCTGGCACGGGACAACACCGGGCATCAGCCTGCAAAGCTGGGAGCAAGCGCCCAGGAGCAGCTACTCCCTGACAGAGGGACCGCGCAGGGACGAGAGCTGCCACTTGGCAAACCAGAGGCTGGCCCACAAGGACCAGGCTGGCCAAGCACAGCAGGCAGTCACGGAGCCATGAATCCTTCTCCAGCAGGATCAGCCTCTTCCTCACCTGTCGCAGGCTCCGTATGAGCTCGTCCTCTTCTGCTGACAAACGCTTGGCGTAGCAGTAGCTCATGGGAAGGTAAACCTGGCGACAGTGACACCAGAGCCGGGACGGGTGGGCTGGGAACCACGTGGGAAGCAGCCTGAGTGCAACAGAGAAGGTGCTGCTGTGAGGAACAAGGAGGGCCTAGGGCGACGTGGAGAGATGGCGTGCAGAACGCCCAGAGCAGGGCACACCTTTCCCTGTCTCCTGCACCAGGGGATGTAAACACAGCCTGGCCCTGCTCAGATCCCCCCCAACAGGGGTGCTCCCTCCACACCAGGGCCAGCAGACACAGTTCCTGGCCCAGCTGACAGAGGGCAAGGAGGACCTTGAGCTCAGAGAAGAGGGAGGGAGAAGCCAGTTCAGTCATGTAGGACCTGGAAGGCAGAGGCCTAGACTGACAGTTACTGGCATTTGATGGCAAAGCACCAGCAACCCTTGGTCCTGTGCAGCCCCCGATTTCCCCCAGAGGTAATGTCATGCACCTTCCTTCTCTGACACCCAACAGCCCTCTGAGTAATCAGAGAGAGAACAGGTGAGGGTTAGGGCTGGCAGCCTTACATGTGGCTGTCCCCTTCCACTAAGGGCCCACTTCTGGCTGGCCAGAAGATCCTGGTGACAGGCAGGGAGCACACAGAGGTATCAGGGACCCCGTGGGTAATGCTAACAGGGCTGAGCTCTGGCACCTCCCTTGTGTGCAGTGTTCGGTGCTATCCACCCACTGGCTGGCCTGCTGCTGGCTCCCAGCTGACAAGCAGCCTGAGCACCTCTAGTTCCAGACCACAGCTGGAGTTATCCCAGCAAACATCAATGCCTGGGACAGTTCTGGGTCAAGGCTGGTGGCAGGACTGACAACATCTCCTCCCTCCACAGCGAGTGGGGCACATACCACATCTCTGGGAGAAGCGTGTTCATTCCCTCCCAGCTGTAAACGTTCAAGACAGCCAGCCAGAACTTGCCCCAGGAAGGGATTCCCACAGCACCTCCTGCAGGGAACAATATCAGCTTATAGGGTTAATGCAGCCGTGCCAGCTCCCTTCTTTCTTCCCGATCACAGAGCCCATTTCTCCCCACATTTGGGAACACACCTCTCAGGCTGGGACACACGTCCCAAAACAGGGCAAGCAGGTAAGGATACAAAAACATAACACAGTTTCTCACCACTAACTGAAAACACAGGTGCCATCAAGGGCATGCAAGAGCAACAGTACTTCCACTACTTGGCAGCCCCCCACGATCCATGCAGCCTTCAGGTCCAGCCAGACCTCTCTCCCCAGTGTCCCAGCCCCACGGCTGACCTTTGCTGTGCAGGTTGACACGGGCCCGCACGATGTCAGGGTCATCCGGTCCGAGCCCCAGGATCCTCAGGGCTACGTAGTTGAGTGCTGTGCCAAACACTGTTGATTTGTCTTCCACGTGCCTGTCAGGCACATGCACAGAGACACCACAGCCATTAGCCAGCTACTGGCATGAGCCAGACATAACCCACTGCACAGGGCTGTCTTTGTCGGGGTGAAGTGGGATGCCAGGGGTGACTGTGAAAAAGGAGGAGCTGACTAATCCAGGAAGAAACATTGCTCTGCACTACCCTGTCACACACGATGCTCTGGGATATAGTGACACAGAGGAGATATGGCCAGACTTGATGCTCCAGCCATCTCTGTGACAAGCAGTGTACCTGAAGTGCTGCACAACCAAGTCCAACCACCCAGAGCTATCACGGGTGCTAAGCCCCCCTCCCTGAGCCGGGGCAGATCCGACAGCAGCTCTCCAAGCCCTAGAGAGGCCATTCCTCAAAGAAGCATCTTTGCTACTCACAAGCCCCAGCCTCCGTCCGGGAGCTGCACAGAGCGCAGGTAGCGGATCATCTCCTTCCGGAACGCCTCCGGCAGCTGGATTTTGGCCGTGTGGCAGGTGATGAGGAGACCTGGAGGACCAGACGGGACCGGCACTGTACAGAGCCGAACCACACAGCCACCCCCGGGCAGGTGCCCCAGGCCTACCTGGCAGCAGGAACAGCGGCCCGCCGTAATCGCCCGCCCAGTGCCCATCCTCGGCCTGCAGGGCCGCGTAGAACCGCATCCCCCTGCGGGCCGCCTCCCGGGCCGAGCCGTCCGCCGGCAGCGGGGGCAGCGCCGCGCCCTGCGGGGAGACAGCGGCACCTCAGCGGGGCTGCCCCGGGAGCGGCCCCGCCGCCCGGCCCGGGCCCCCCGCACCGTGTCCAGCCCGAGGCTGTGCTGCTCCAGCGCCGTCTGCGCCCGCGGCTCTCCGACATCGCCATCGCCATCGCCATCGCCCAGGTAGCGCCAGCGCTGCCGCCCGCCCTCGCAGCGCAGCCGCCAGGCCGGCAGCTCCGTGGCCGCCGCCGAGCGCCGAGGGCCGCCCCGCCGCCGAACCGCCCTGCGGGACACGGGCACCCTGAGCCGCGGCCGCCACCGCGCCCCGCCCCGCGGGGACCGCGCTGCCCGCCGCCACCGCCGCGCCCCGTCCCGACCACACCGCCGGAACGCACCCGCTGCCCGCTGCCATCGCCGCTCCTGGTCCCGGTGCTAATCCCAATCCCAACCCCAATCCCGATCCCGACCCCGCTGACACCGCCGGGGCCGCGCCGGAGCCACCTGGTCCCACATCTCCTCACGGGCGGCAGCCAATGGGGCCGCGAGCCCGGGCCGAGGCCCCGCCCCGGCCGTCCCGAGGCCCCGCCCCGGCCGTCCCCAGGCCCCGCCCCGGCCGTCCCCTCACGGCTCCTCCCGCCCCGCGTCCCTCAGTGCCGGCCCGAGCGGGCAGGAGCGCCGGGTCCCGGGAGTCCGACCCGGCCACGGGCACCGCGCTGCTCCCCCGGGACTGCACACCCCGACAGCCCTCCTGTCCCTTGGGGGACAGCGCCAACCCCCAGAGCGACCGTCCCCACCGCCGTGCACCCCCAGCGCCCAGCCCGTGGTTTCCACCATCAGTAACAAACCTGGGTGCCCAGTCCATGTTTCAGCCCGTCAAAGCCCCTCGGCTCAGGACGGCTCCCCAAAAGGAGCCACAAACGCCGTCAGGCACACAGGGGTGTAAATCCCGGAGATGCTGTATTTGCTGCTGCTCTGTTGAAAGGGCTGGGTGGGAATTTAACGAGGACTTTGCTAAAGGGAGTGATAAGATTTCTTTCTGCTGCTTTTTAGGGTGACCAGGCTTCTCTCGTGCCACAGAACCGACACCAGATCAAGCTCAGCTGGTGGAAAAACCCCTCCATGTCTGTGCACTGCCTGGCACAGCCACCCCCAGGGACCTCAGGGAGCCCAGGGATCACAGAATCATAGAATTAACTGGGTTGGAAGAGACGTCCGAGATCATCAAGTCCAACCCTTGATCCAACACCACTGTGATGAAAGAGCTACTCCCAAATGTGGCACCCATCAGCATCCCAGGACAGAAACATGCCTATCTCTCAATACTTACATAATACTTAATATTTACAGTATATAATGCACACTACAAGTCGAATTTAAATTGCTCCTCTGCTAGCAAATAGCTCTTCACACCTGTCCAGCGTAACCTCAGGGATTATTTGGAAAGGATGCAGTAATTCTATTTGTAAATTAAAGAATTAATTTGGTATTTATTTTATAAACTAGGGTTATTTTTGGTTTAAGAAGAAAAAAAATTGTCGAAATGAATCTGCCTCAGATGAGCTTTGTGTTAGTATCTCCACTTCCTTGCAGATGCCAAAATCTCTAGATAACTTACAGTAATGTTTTCCTAAAGGCCATGGTGGAAGATGAACCTTGGTTTTACTTTTCTGTCTTTATACAACCTGCCTGCCTTAGAAATTTTTAATAACTGCCAAACTGCTGTTACCCTCAGCATTATTGTCATACAAGTTTTTCTATGTCTGGTCCTCAGCTGAATTCAGCCAGGAGGAACAAGCTCACCGCTGGCTGCTGGGTTTGTAGCTTCAGACATGGAACTCAGTGCCCGTGGATGGAGCTGGGGAACCTGCTCTCTGCAGTGCTGGGACTGTGAGCACTGCAGAGGCAGAAGCAGCTTCTTCACCCTCCCACTCGAATTCCTCTGCTTTCATTGCTTTTTTTTCTCCCCTTTCAGTGACTGCTGGCCTTTGTCTCGTGGTCTGGCAGAGCCTGGCGCCACGCACACCAGAGACACAAAGAAATAGGCTGGTTTGTCTCCCCGAGCCTGGTATGAAGAGCCCACGTGTTTTACCGCAGAGAGCGAGACAGGCAGAGGGCTGAAGTGTTTTGCTCGGCCTTGGGCACTGTAAAACCCCTTGTTTCTTTAAACACATCACACCAAAGTGCTGGCCAGGAAGCCCTGACCCTGAGGAAAGGAGCCCCGAGATTACGCTCTCCTGATCGAAGATCAGGACACGAATTTTAAAATAACAGAAGCGGCTCTTCGGGCAGCACTGAAAGCACAGCCAGCTCGCAGCCCCCACCCATGCCCAGACCTCCTGGGTTGTCACTGCCTGGGTCAGGGATGACCCAGGAGAACAGTGTTTGCTAGGATATGAGCCTGGACAAGGATCAGGGAAGTCACTTGGAGCTGCTCATTTGCAGAGTCAGGGAAGGGTCAAGGTTTTTGGTGTTCCTACCTGATCCCGCTGCTCCTTCCCATCTCATCAGCAGATTATTCCAGATCATGCCTGTAAAATACAGAAGTCAGAATGATTTGGGGGTGAAATGGACAGTAAGAATCATCAGGAAAGAGTATTTCAAGACTGTTCAAGTTTTGATCTGTCAAATGCTAATTTTTCTCTTCCATTTTAATAAAAGGTCACCTTCCAGAATGACATCAGAAAATGGTTTAAAGAGGCTGAGCTAGGACCCCATCTCTGATTAGAAATGATGTGCTTTAATGCATTTCTTGGCTAAGGACTGAGCTAAGAGATCTACCAGATCAAATTGCCATCAGCAGGGAAAAATACTGTTTCTTTCCTGCTGACAGAGAGCTCCATTTATAGCCAGCTCTCAAATGAATGCAAATATCCGTGGAAAAAATCAATCAGTGCAAGACTGTTGACAAACTTCCTCTGCACCAGAAACACCACTGCCTAAAAGCATCCCTGCTGTCCCTGCCAGTCCAACCAGAGCACAGATAACTAGGTGTAGGTTGCAATGCCATAAAGGCAAGAATTTCAGGGGCCAGGTAAATATTTAGAGTCAACACACTCAGATTTAATGCTAGGGGAAATTATTTTTTTCCCAGACCAGTGTTTGAACCTGTTACAAAAGCTTTCATGAGCTGATGTAAGGAAATGATCAATGTAGATAAGTTTCTTTCACACCAGTACGTGAAAAAGTTTTTAAGTAACATGGTAGGTGGTGTCTCAGTAGATTGGGGGAATGCAGGGACTGACAGGAAATGTGTCTGTCCAGCAACCTGGTCTTACCCCTTCAAAAGGACTTCTTTTTTTTTTTTTTTTTAAGAGGTCCAGACCTTCATCCCACCCCACAAGCATATATATATAAGGCTCTTACCCTTTCCAGATTTCTCTGCAGGAGCTGAATGTGGCAACAGAATGGGCTCTTCATCATGGGCACTGCTCACCCGTCTTCTTGGTTAGCAGGAGTGCCCGCTTCTGAGTCACACTGAGTCTGAAATCCAACAAGGGCCTCCCACATAAAGCAGTTACTGATCCTGTGCTGCACTGAAAAAGGTGTAAATGGCAACATGCCACAACAGTAATATCAGACAGCTTCAACTTTGGCTCATACCATCTTGCTATTGGGAAACACGGTGGCTTTGCAATGAAACGCAGTGAAACTTACCTTCTTCAGCATGTTCTCTGTGTTTATTAACCATTTGTTTGTCCTGTGCCACTGGGAACAGTCTGGGTGAAAGATGCTGCTCGCTGCTCTTGCTGTTTGCCACCTGCTCCCCTCCACATCCCTCTTGCCTGCTGAGCTGCCTGCCAGCCCCCAAACAGCCTCACCTCTGTGCACTAAAGCTGCAAGGGGGATATCTGGTGGAAAGGAAACTTCCAGCTCTTGGAAGGAGAGAGTCTCAGGGGTGCACAGTGAAGGGACAAAGGGCCGCGGCGGCTCCCCCGTGGGCTGGCGGCGGGGCAGCGCCACTGCGGGCATCGCCACTGGGACATCCCCGCCTCCGCCTGCCATTGGCGCCTGGGGCTCCCCCCCTCCGGTATAAGAAGGCAGCGAGTCCCGGGGGCGCCCGGCCAGAGCGCAGCGCTGAGCCACAGCCCCGCCGGCAGCAGGGAGGTGAGAGGGGCCGGGGGATGCCGGGCGGGGGCACCGAGCGCTGCGGAGCCGAAACTTCGCTCCTCAGCCTTGCGGACGGGGAAGTAGGCATGCAAAGGGCTCTTAAGATGCGCCCATGAAGCGCTTCGGGGATATTTCCTACCTGACTGGAAACAGTCTTTCTGTTTGGACATCGACTGCTGCGCTGGGAGGATGTCAGCTGGAGAATAAGGCAGCGGGATGAGATTCAGTGCCTTGTGGCGGAGAAACAGGAGCCAGGTCACAGGGCAGGAGATATTTTTACCGGTGGGCTATGAACGAACAGAATGCCATTAGTTTGGGGTTTTTTCCCAGTTTTTGGGAAGGTGGTTTTGCATCTCTCCCTTTTTGGTTTGTCTGTTTGTGAAATCTGCAGGAAACGCTGCAATCCCAAAGATTATCATTCCCAGGAGGGTCCCCAGATCAAGTGAGGGAAGAGAGAGGTTAGAGAGGTGCTTATTTTGTCCTACTGGCACTCATCAAAACTGTCTCCTGCCTGGTTGCTCTGACTGCTCGGCTGGAGGCAGGTCTGCAGGCAAAGGTATAGGTGAGGCTGCCTGTGACAGAGGGGACAGCAAACCCTCTCTGAAGCTCTGTGAGCAGAAATGAACCCCTGCCTGCCCCTCTGCTCTTGTGGTTCTGTGTTTCTCGAGAGCCCCTGGAAGCAGAGTCGCAGTCTCTCGGAAGCTTTTCCCCTGCAGCCAGAGCTGCTGCCAGTCCTTCCCAGCAGAATGCTTTAAGCACAGGAGCTGGTTTTGCTGATCCAGGTGGCCGTGCTTCCAAAGCAAAAGGAATTGCTGGAGCTCGCCCAGGTTAATGTCCTGATTGTCCCCTCTGACCTCAGGGCCACGCCATAACCATGTCTGAGCTGGAGAAGGGCATGATCGCCATCATCGATGCCTTCCACCAGTACTCCGGGAAGGAGGGGGACAAGCACAAGCTGAAGAAATCAGAACTGAAAGAGCTCATTAACAATGAGCTGACCCATTTCCTCAGTGTAAGTACTGCCCTCCTCACAGCTCGCCTGGCTGGGCTCAGGTGGCATTAAGCAGCTTCCACACTCCACTAACTCTGTCTGCCATGGGCAGCAAGAGCAGGCAGGGGAAGTGGTTTATCCACACGTCAGGGTGTTAAATCTTTTGCTCCAGCTCTGCAGAGCAGCAGGACAAGCACAACATCCTGCACGGCAGGCTGGGGTGAGGATTGAGTACGAGGGAAATTTCCTTCCCTCAGATGGGGAGGCAGCCTCGCCCCAAAGGGCTCAAGATGTCCCTTCCCAGCAGCACAGCCGTGGCTGCAATTCCCAGAGGCACAGGGCAATACCCCAGCACAGACTGGAAACGATGTATCTGAGCAGAGATTCAGCCATAAGAGCACCCTAGAAAGGGGGAGACATCACTGTCTGGGCCTCACCCTGGTCCTCCCCAGCTTTGGCTGCCTGTTTCTATCCCTTCAGGAGATCAAAGACCAGGAGACTGTGGACAAAGTCATGGAGGCACTGGACAGCGACGGGGACGCAGAGTGCGACTTCCAGGAGTTTGTAGCCTTCATTGCCATGGTCACTGCCGCTTGCCACGAGTTCTTCGAGCACGAGTGAGCTGGTGGAAAGGAGGCTCTCTGCTGGAGAGATGCAAGGCAGCATCGCTCCTCTGGGGAAAGGACTGGGTGTGGCTACAGGCTCCTTAGAGCTCAGCTTGTGCTAGACTTCAGCAGCTTATTAAATCCTGCAGCTTTGTGAAACAAAGAAACACCTGCACAGCACAGGAAAGCCTACAGGGCAGTGCCCACCGGGCTGGAGGCAGTGTGTGAGGGCCTTGTCTCAAGCTCCTTCCCTGCTGTTGTAAGCCAGGAATGTGCACAGGGCTGGAAGCAGGCAGACACCGCGATTCAAGCTTGCTTGCAAAGGAACAAGGGAAATTTAGGGGCTGAAGAAGGAGGTGATGCAGAGGGGCTGGTTATGGAAGCCTGGTTCTGAGCCCACTGGCCTGAACAGGAATCATAGAATCAGATGGGTCGGAGAGGACCTCTCAGATCATCAAGTCCAACCCTTGATCCAACACCATCACAGTTACTACACTATGGCGCACTAAGGGCCAATCCAGTCTCTTCTTAAATACCTCCAGGGACAGAGAATCCACCACTTTTCTGGGCAGCCCATTCCAATGCCTGATTACCCTCTCTGTAAAGAATTTCTTCCTAATACCCAACCTAAACCTCCCCTGGCAGAGCTTGAGACCATGCCCTTTTGTCTTATTGATAGTTGCTTGGGAGAAGAGACCAACCCCCACCTGGCTATAACCTCCTGTCAGGTAGCTGTAGAGAGTGATGAGGTCTCTCCCCGAGCCTTCTCTTCTCCAGGTTAAACAACCCCAGTTCCCTCAGCCTCTCCTCATAGGACTTGTGTTCAAGTCCCTTCACCAGCCTGGTTGCTCTTCTCTGGACCTGCTCCAGCACCTCAATATCCTTCCTGAACTGAGGGGCCCAGAACTGGAAGGCTCTCAGTGATTCCTGTGGGCTCTGTGCATGGCATTAACCCAGGAAACCCAGCTCCTGTCCCCTCACAGGGGCTCAGTAGAGCCCACTCATTTCTTGGCAAATTGAGACACCCTTGGCTTGCAAGGCAAAGCATAACCATCTAAAAGCATAACCATCTAACAGCCCGGGCTTTCCTCTCGCTGATCAATCCTCCCTGCTTTTGGCAGCCTGCAGAACTGGAAGCAACAGCATATGAGGCTTCTGGGCTGGGGTCAGCCCCTGGGCCTGGGATGTGCCTTTGTAACGTGTCCAGGCTCAGACAGAAGGGATGGGGCGATTGGCCCAGTGTGACCACAGACCAGGCACAGCCTCCTGATTGTGTGGAAGTGGCGAAAATAAAATGTGGTTTCAGTCTCTGGTGAAAAGCGTGTCCTTTTGTGCCAGGCTTACCTGCACCGTCAGAGGAGGAGGCTGGAGGATGCAGCCTGAAGCACTGCTACAGCTCATGGCCCTGGGTTTCTTGCTTCACCTCCTCCCTGGGGTCACCGTGGCTGGCCAAACAGCTCAAGGTTGTCACCACCACCGTGTTCCACCTGGCTGCCCACACTGGCAGGTGCACCTGCGAGGACAAAGGAGGACAAAAGGACACGGCGCCTCCACAGGAGTCATCCAGGGGCCCGCGGTGGTGAGCCCTTACAAAGCCTAAACTAAGCCTAGGACAACCTCCCCAAAGTCTGTGCTCCTGCCTTTTTCAGTCTGCACCTGCTGTCCAGCTCAGCAACACCTGTGAGCTGGGCATTCCTGGCCAGCAACATCAGCAGTGACAGATTAATGACAAAGATGCTCACACTTGTCATTGTTTTTACCCTCATTCCCCATTTTATAACGATGTCATGCACAAAATGACACGTCTTTGGACAGGAACCATCTTGCTGCTCTCACCTGTCTCCCCCAAGCTGTGCAAGGGGACACTCAGGTAGAGCCAGGCACACAGGAGACAGCATCTTATACCTCACCTGGCATGAAAAGCCATTTTGCCATCCCAGGGTAGTGCTCATTCGTTGAGACAGAGCTGAGGCACTGTGTGATGACAACAAATGGGGACAGACAGTGAGTGTCCTCACGATTAGGAAGGGTAGACAGGACTCATGACCCTCTCTGGAGGCTGAACCTGAGGGTGCAACGCTTCCGTACAAGGGTCTCCAAATCTCACCTTCCTTCTGCCCCCCTGCACCAGCAGCATTCACACGATGAGGAATCCTTCCCCAAGCCCGGGCCTGTTGAGCAGCTCTGCACAGCACTGCAGCAGCAGCAGGCTGGGACATGCAGCTTGGACGCTGGCAGGGCACGGAGCAGGCTGGCCTGTCCCTGGGCAGGGCACGAGAGCAGGAGCAGGAAGTGACACGGCAGGGCTGCACCCACCTTTCTGGCAGTAAGGCTGGTCCTGACTCAGCAACGCCACTGCTGGGAATTCAGAGAGGCTTCACCTGGCAAAGGAGAAGGTAGAGCTGGTGCCTCCTATCAGAGAGGCACAGAGCGTGTCCTCCTGGGAGGGGAGCCCCCTGACCACAAACGCCGCAGTGTGCAGCGCTCAGGCTGCTGAGCCCCTGGCATCCGTCCCTGGAGGGCAAAATTGAAATTCCTGAAACAGCCTGTACTGTCTCAGGCCTCAGCATCACCCAGCCTGCACTGCAGCTCACACCTCACAGCTCTGCTCCCCTCGTGTTCCCTGTCCCTCTGACACAGGGGGTGGCTCAGCTCAGACCGTGGGGACGGCTGTGCACTGGCACGCTGGGGGAGGCCAGCAAAGCCGTTTGGGCAACGCTGGCCCTCTGCCAACAGCTCTCTGCTGTCCCCTCAGGCCTGCTGTCCCCTGGCACACACGGGACAGCCACAGCCACCTGCAGCACCTCTGCTCACAGCCCGGGCTCCCACGGACTGCACAAGCCCCGTGCCCAGCCCACGAAATCCCACGCAAAGGAGGGGGGCTGTGTACAACACCCCAGGCGTGCACAATACCTCACTGACCACACTGATCTGACACTGAATCGATCAGGAGAGCTCAGAAAAATCCACGTTTCCATCGTCAGGGACAGCCTGCAGAAGGGCAGGCTTGGTGACAGCGAGCTCCGAGTTCCGCGCTGTGGGAGCCCGGAAGGTTCCCCCGAGGATCAAAGAGCAGCTTCACACCAGCAGAGCCCACCTGATTTGTCAGTCGTGCTTTTGACTCTGCATAAAGGGGAAGCCAATGAATTTCCCACCAGCAAGGACACCAATGGATGGTTTCATGGATTACAGACTCTTGCTCAAGACAAGAGCTGCTTACCAACAGCACCAAAAGTGAAACAAAGAGAAGTACAGCAACAGCAAGGGCCTGAGATGTTTAAGAGACTCAAATTCACTTCTGTAGCTAGATAATTGACAGCAGGGGCAGATTTTGTACATCCTTGCTGTATTCCACCTCTGCTGAATCGCATTTTCAGAATTCAGAATAATGTCATTACTTTTTGCTCCGGGAGATTGGAATCTGCATTTTTATTGTCTCCACAGATAACTTCAGGTGAAGTACAACTGTGAAAGGGATCCCTGGATCAGAGACAAAATTACCAGCACTGTAAGAAGCACCTATAGCCCCCTTCCCCCCTGAAAAAATGTTCTTCCACGCAGGATCTAATCTTACTGAGAGTTCTGACTGTTGCTGTTAGCATATCTAAAGAAAAATACATTCTTCATCTTGTTAACTGTTGATGGAAGTTCATCCAGGCTGAATCATTAAAGAGCAGAGTTCACATACTGACAGCAAGAAAAATAATTTAAGAAGGAAACCAAAATATGGGGTTTTTCCACAAATCAGATGTGGGCTTTTACAGACCCCAGGGAAGGAACACAACCAACCACAGCACTGTCATTCACATTTGGCAGAGAAAAGTGGCAGAAGTAAAGACAAATCATGATTTTGCAGTTACCTTTGCCAGGTTAAGGTTTAAAGAACGTTAGACAAATCAGCAATGTTTCACTTCTGTAAGAAAAATTTATGTTCAGGTGAGAGCAGGGTTCAAAAACCCAGAAATGACTGGAGGAAGATATATATGTATGTTATTTTAAGAACATGTATTGAAATACAAAAAAAAAAAAAAGAGTTCTGCTTATATGGCACTGGCATAAACAAACTGGAAGGAGAACCTGGTGTGCCCAGTAACTCCTAAACAACACAAAATCAACAAGAAATCTAAATACAAACACAAAAATTCAGCCAATTAGAATTGGTCACGACAAGAAGTTCTGGCTTGGAAACATCTCATTTGAAATATCTGACCAGGTAAATATTTAAAGCGTATTAACTTGCAGAACATAAACATCAGCACAGTAATGAGCATTGTATCTTGGTATACCAAGCACCAAGTAAACCCTGAAGTGCAACAAGTTAAAGAATTATTTCATGCAGTTTTGCCAGCTGTAAATTAGTTCTTAGGTGTAATCCAGATCTATCCCCTACTAGCACAGTTCCTGGCCTGACACGCTGCAATGCTGGAAATGTGCAAGCTTTCCCTTTTTGCCCTTAAAACAGAGTTGTGGATATTCCATAGAAACCAAACCAGAAGCCTATCCAAAGAGATCCTTGAAGTGCATAGTGTCTATTTGCAAAGAATGGCAGGGAAACAGCATCAAAATAATCAGGGACTTGGTACAGAATGCTTGGAATGTGCTCTTAAAATGAACACTGCTTCCTTTTTTCCACTGTGATAAATTTCTGGGTAACAATCAGCATGAAGTGGAGGCCCACAAAGAACACTGCTGCAATAAAGGCAGCTTTATTGATGTTTACAAAGTTATTCAGTACTCACCGGAGTCCAGTCTCTCAGGTTAAATCTGAATCAGGATAAATCTGAATCCCAGGATAAATCTGGAACATTCTGCTTCAATAGCAGCCCTCCTGCCCCATTCCCTCAGCAGCACATTAGTTCAGAAGGAGACAGGGCTTATAGTTCCTTGTTAGTACATTTTCTATCCCCACAAATCAGGTAAAAAAAAAAAAATCCCCAAAACACAACAAAAATCCTCCTTGTGCCTTACCTGTACCCATTTAAGATGAATTACAGGTTCTTGAATCCTGCCTTCATTAGCTTTGAGCAGGATGAGTTGTTTTGGCACTGAAAACCCACCGTGCTTCAAATGCAGGTCACACACAGAGCACTACCTGATTGCCAGGCACAATCCTCGCTGCAATTAACAGCAAGAAGAACAGCAAAGGCTCCACGATGCCCTCCTCTTGTTACGTGCCCTGCTTTTAAACACAGATCACGTTTTGTCAGAGAGGCCCACGAGAGGCTGTCTCTCCCGTGGGAGGGACCCCCACGGGAACAGGGGGAGGACTTAGAGCTGAGGGAGAGCATGAAAGGAAGGAGGGGTAGGGGGGGAAGGTGTTTCTAAAACTGTTGTATTTCTTGCTTTTTGCCTTTTATCCTGTTAGCAATCAATTTAAATTCTACCCCCACTTTGAGTCCGTTTTGCCTGTCAGTAATCAGAGTCTCCCAGGTCTTATCTCTACTCAGGAATTCTTTAACTGTTTGGGGTTTTTTTCTCTCTTCTGTGGAGCTGCAGAGGGAGGTGGAACGTAGCAGTTTTTGGTGGGTATTTGAAATCCAGCCAAAGTCAAAACCACCACAGCCCTGAGCCTTATGCCAGAGGAAGAACACCACTCAGAAACGTGCTCTGGAGTAACGCCGGTGCAGCACATTGTTTTATTTGGATAAAAACCAAACCAGGCACTCTACCTCCCATGACTCACACTGCAGGGGGGCAGAACAGGTGTGTCAGGGACCTTTACAGCCTTCCCACCTGCTGCCACGGCAGCTGTCGCCTCCGTCCTGCTGCTTCTGCTCCAGCTTTTCCCTTCCCAGCCCGTGCTTTTCGCCCTGCTCGCCAGCACAGCCTGCATTTGGCAACAGGTCTCTTCATTGGTCCTGGCTGGTGTCTTTTACAAATGTATCTTGAAGGTCATACAGGCCCAGGCCACCCAGCATCACCGTGGCAATGATGTCAGATTGTCACGAGCTGTTTTGAAATGTTTAATGAGCTTTTTTTTTGTTTTGTTTTTAAGATTTGACTTTACAAGGCAACTCGTCTCGCTGTCATCAGTATCTCTCCATACAAAAAAGTCTTACAATGCTTTATTTGCTAAAAAAAACTACAATGTGGAGATGAGGGTTAGGGAGTTCCCTCCTTTTGCCAGCTCTTTTGTTAGGAGGGGTGTCCCACAGCCCGCTGCTGGAGGCTGCTGTACTCAGAGAATAAGTTACACAGGTTCTGTACATAATTACAGTCAGGAGTATGCAGCTGTATAATACACCACAGGTAAACACCACCAGGGCAGATAACTACTATATAGGAAAGCTTCTTCTCGCAGATTTCAGAGTTTATTTAACCATGAGTAAATCTGATATACCAGGGGACTGACATCTATCTTTCTTAGGCACTGATCCAGGCAGAATCGCCCTGCAGAAAAAGCTGGCCCTTTTGCCAAACTTGTGCATCACTAAAAAAGTCGTATGGAGCTCTCAAAGTCTTTAACAAATCTATAAAAATAATTATTTGCTAGTCTCGTGCTTACCTTCAAACACAGTAAGTATCTCGATAACTTCCTACTCTCTTTCTGCATTAGGTTCACTGCAGTATTAGATCAGGCAGAAACTTCAAAACCTTAATTCGTCAAGTGTGACTCAACCAACTGGATATTTTAGCCTGAACAAAAAGAGTCTACAACTCCACAGAAAATAAAGACAGTCTGTACCACAGCAGCTCAAGCTAACTAACACTGAATAGCTTTTCCATGGTGGGGGGAAAAACAAGTCACTATTGTAAGTTTTCGCACAGGATATGCAGGGAAAACATATTGTAAGCCCATGCTTTGTAAACATCTGTACAAACCATTCAGAGACTAGTGGCTTTGGAATGAATTTTCAGATCCTTGGCGTTACGCAGGGCAGGAATCAACAGCTAACACAACGAAAACAGGCGACTTGGACGTGGAGTTAGGAGAGCACTGAAGGCTCCTGCATCAAGTACTTAAAACTGGATATTACTTTGTATTTTATTATAAAGTTTGTAGCATTACATAGTCCAGCATGGCACCCTAAGTAACACTGTTACAGCTGCAGTATTTGTTTTTTGCTGGCTACAAAAAAGCTGAACAGCAGCATAACTGTTACACTGGATCCGGGATCCCAACGGGTTGGTTTCTTCCGAGCGGCGGGGATGAGTCAGTGATTTAAAATAAAAAGGCTGCATTCTTAAATCTCAAAATATGTGCAAAATTCCTTTCAGTAGAGAACGTGGTAGAGGTGTGTGCAATCTTGAAGGTCAAGTCCCAACCCTGAAACTGCCGATATATTGCAAACAGTCACGCGGAGGCGAACTCTGGATGGTCACTCACGACTTCAGGTCTTACTTCCAGGAGTCCTCCTCACAGCTGGTGTTCTCTCCCCACCCCACTTTATGTCCTTTTATGCAGTGCATCAAGTACTGACATTCATAATTATTACCACCCACCCCTCCCCCCCCCCAAAAAAAATAAAATTGGTCCATGATAGTTCTAATAAGCTTCCTTCAGGAATTCCAGTAAACTCTCCATCCTAAGACAGCTGTAACTGTTACAATGGACTTACGAAAGCAAATGCAGTCTTGGGAGATGAAGGTCTGTGAAGAGTTGTATCTCCATTTTCCTAAAGTCTTCAACAGCTTTTAAAAACACAGAACATGGATTCTGATGTTATTATGAGGAAAGTCCCTTGGATTTTGGTGCTTTAGCCTTGACGTGGTTCCCCGTTTTCACATGTTGTAGGCAACGTAAATAGGATCCAGCTGATCAGCTAAAAATCCATCTCTCAAGTGCATCCGCTGTTTCTCCCCCCGGGAATTGATGGGAATGACGCCTGGGTCCACGATGACCACAACCCCCACGATGAGATAATGCTCCTCCAGCACCACGTTCGTCACCAGCGCCACCAGGTCCAGCGCTTCCTGCTCCGACCCCTCCAGCTCCACAACCACCACCAGCAAGTTGGTCCACGTAAACACAGCACTGTGGGCACGGTACGGGTATTAACGGGGGGGGAAAAAAAACCCACACCTACTCAAAGAAAGCTAGTTATTAAAAGAGATTATTAAAAGAAAGACCCCCCCAAAGCTCACAAGTAAACAATGTGTAAATTCCGACACAGGCAGGGAAGTTACGAGCTCTTCCGCTTTAGAAGAAATGAAAGGATACAGAAAAGTAATGCTGAGGTTCTTACCATTCTGCAATGCTCTTATGTGCCCTTATTACCGAGGTTTCTATGTCAATGGGATGGTACCTCATTCCTCTGAGCTCCAGTGTTTCATCCAGAGAGCCCACCACATACAGGGCATCGTGCCTCTCTGCAACACAGCACACACGTTTAAATGTCATCACATCCACAGGACAGGCGTGGCCACACCCACGTGCTCATTCCTGATGTTCTAAAATGTTCCCAGTGCTTCCTAGGGAAAGCAGTCTATAACACACATCAAGCATTTGGAGAGAACGAAGGGCTGATGCAGCACTTCTGCCTGTGGACTCCAAGCAACTGAAATCAGAGTGAAAAGAATTTCTGAGTCACCCAGTTTTCTGTCCCTTCTCTCATGTAATGTCATCTCAGTTCATAAACCCAATCGAAATCCACTGTTAAAGATCTTTTTGTCCCTCTGTTCTTAGCAGAGAACTTTCCCTCTGATTGACAGGAACACTTTTTGAATTTCCAAATTTAGCTTTTTTTTGGTTTAACACCAGCTCATACCCACTTGTCCTCACGCCAGCAAAATTCTGCTCAGCTTCCAAAGTTCCCACAGTTTATGCAGTGAGACCAACTCTCTTCTGTCCCCAGCTTTGCCAGGTTAAATAAGCAAAGCTCTCCTAGGCCCTCCGTGAAGGACACACTCTCCCTATTCATTCTGTAACTCTGTTCAATTCAACTTTGCCCTTTTCTTTGTTACCTATTCTATAATTCTGCTCAGTCGTGTCACTGGGGATGAAAAGCATGCTGGGATTTCATAGTGCTATGTAAATTCACTGTAAATAGCCTCTCAAACTAAACAAACTAAAGGACAGCTGACACTGTTCCACGGTGATAAAAATCTCCAGGACACATAATTTTTCAGGAAGCTACAAAGGCACAAAAACTTGCTGTTATTATCCAGTGGCAGCAGTTGGGACACTGACACTTTCCATCATTCATTTCACTCCAATCACAGAAAATTAGCAATACACATTTGCTAATAATTTAGAAGCATTCAAACTCCCATCCTTAGGATGTTCAGAGATTTTTTTTTTTTTAAACATATTATAATCAAGAGTTGTACCTGCTTTGTATTCTGTTTTAGCAGAAAACGTAAGCAGATTGAAGACAAACTGCCCCATTTCCCAAATTTAGACATCTTGGCTTAGATTTAAAAAAACCCAAAAAATAATAATAATAATAAAAAAAACCCAACAAGATGAACAATTTATTTTCTATATTGGAAAAATTACGGAGAAGCTCCTCCTCTAGACCTTTAACTTCTGAAAGGTCGTGAAATCACCGCTGTCTGTGCACGTCCCGAACCTGCTGAACGACAGAGCAATTCCTGCTCGGTTCAGCGTTCTCCTGTGACAACAGGATGAACTCGAAGGACAGGTTACTCTTTGCCAGCTCAGCTACCCCAAGGAGCTGCAGGCAGGTGCCTCTGTAGGTGCAAGGTGTTTGCTCTCACCTCCGCTGGCGTCGGTGAGCTCCGTGCGGCGCAGGAAGCCCAGGTACCCGGTCCGAGCCCACACGGTCTGAGTGTCCCCAAAGCTCAGGCGAGCAGTAAAGTGATCGGCGTGCAGTGCCTCCTCTCCATACACCGTGTAGTAACCAGTGGCGTTGTGTGGGCTACTCACCCATATCTGGGGGATTAAAACAAACCCAAAACAGAACCGTCCCCACGTAAGCACAGGTTGTTCCGCCAGAGCCAGGCAGCATTGTTAATTGGTTTAAAAGATCTGTTTCACTGGCAATTCTGACTGCTCCAAAATGCCAGTTTTGTTAAAATCGTTAACTTCTGCCTCGCAGAAAATTACCAGGGAAAAGGAGTAAAAAGGAGTTTTATATACACGTAGTTGGGGGCTGGTAAGGAGGAAAAATGAACCATGCATTTGGCTTGCAGGTAAGGAACACCTGCTCAACCTATTAGCTGGGCATCTTATCACACAACAGTCCAGATGTACATAAAACAAAGGTCAAACCGAGCAGCAGAGTCACCTCCTTGCTGCTGCCCACTGATGGGAGTGCATGCCTGCCTGTCCCAGCTGCCAGGCAGACACAGACTGCTCCCCTGGTCTCACCTGGTACTGACACATGCAGGGGTCTGGCAGAGGAGGGGGGAGCTGTGCAGCTACACAGTACAACAGGTGTGTAAACAGTGCCAAAGCGATCGTGGCCGTCCCACCCAGGGGCAGGCACTCCTCTAAAATGCTTTTTTAAAAAAGGCTTTACCTCTCCTAAGTGCGAGTCTCCCAGAGGTCCCTTGGTTTCTGTGTGCGCTATGATGACCTTTACTCCTGGAAGAATCTTGAATGAGAAGCACACAGAAGAAAACTCTGAATTCATCAAATGAAAAGTTAATAACGCAGAGCCACAGAAGTCAACAGTTTGCTTCTGTGCACCACGTGTATCAACCACCTCGTCCTACCAAGCTGTTTAACTTGTTTAATCATTTGAACTCCCAGCAGCTGTTTTGCTGCTTCACAGCTGGTTTCACTCCTGGAAAATGCCTTCCACGTGAAGGCCTCTGATTTTTTTTCGGTGGTAGCAATGTGTCCTATTGCTTCATGTCAGGCACTGGGCCTCCCTTCAGCTACCTGATCATACCACGCTCTCTCTCTAGTGCCTCTCCTGGATACACTGTGATTGGCAAAGCTCCTCACGTGTATTCCGTACTGAGATCCAGGTGGAGCAGCTCACAGCCCAGCTTAAAGGCCATGAGGATACAATGAGGGTCATAACAAATTTAAACTGGAAGAGCAGGTTTGGATTAGATGTTAGGAAGAAATTCTTCCATGTGAGGGTGGTGTGGCTCTGCCACAGAGATGCTCCATCCCTGAAAGTGTTCAAGGCCACGCTGGACAGGGCTTGGAGCAACCTGGTCTAGCAGAAGGGTGTCCCTGCCCGTGGCAGGAGCAGGATTGGAAGGAGATGATCTTTAAAGTCTCTTCTAACCCAAAGCTCTCTAGGATTCTGTGATTCTACAGGGAGGAAGGATCAGTCTCAGTCTCTCACCTTCCCAGACTCCATAAGCGGCAGACTGTGTGGAGAGCCCCTCTCTACCAAACGCACCCTGAAAAAAACAAGAAGATACATTTGTACAAGGCTTCAAGAACTTAAACAGGAGTCAAATAGACATGCTATTTAGACTCTGCTATAGCCACTGTTACCCTCTCCTCAGCTGCACTGACCAAGCTGTAATGAATCAACCAATTATGCTCAGTCTATTCACAACACAGTAAGACAGTTATGAGTTTCCAGCTGTCTCGAACACTTCCCTATTAGCACAGGCCACATTTCTTTGAAGAACCTGTAACTCTGCTCTCTGGAGAGACAAGTGACTTTTTCCAGCAGAGCCCTAAGGTTGCAGTTCCACCAGCATTGTAAATTCACCTTCTAATAAAGATTCTCCTGGACTTGTCACACTTGAACCATGGCAGAGCATCGGCAGGAATTACAAAAAACAAAGAGCGAGCAGCCCAACTGGAATTGAGTGACACAAGGCAGCCCAGGGAAGGCTGAGGGAACAGAGTTGGTTTGGTTTGAAGAAAAAGCCAAAAAGACTAAGGGAGACTCTAACTGTACTTTTTCCACTCCCTGAAGGATATTTAGAGAGCAGCTGGAGGAAAAGAGGCCAGAGACATGATATGGCAGGGAGTCAGGTGGCTGCTGCCAAGGATATTCCAACAAAGCAATGCAATGAGGCTGAGGTTTCTTCTCCACAGCCATTAAAGAGTTAATGCTTTAACAGTCTGTACCTGTCGTGTCGAAGTGCTCTCATATCTACATAGACTGTTGTTGGATCTGGTCCTGCTGTTCCCTAAGAATAAGGAGGAAGAAATAAATTCAGCAGAAGGCACAAGATCCCGCTGTCGTTCTCACAGCCACATAAATTCACTAATTTCTCTCCCTTTTTCACTGGCACTTACAGAGCACTTCCCTAATCTGCCAGAAATACAGTAAAACAGCCCCCCTTTCTACAGTGACTGCTCTAAAGCTTTACTTGTTATGGAATCAGTCAATGAATGCACAAGTGAATTATGTAGTACAGGTTAAGTCTAAGATTTTAAAACTTAAAATTAAGTTTTTAAGATTCTGTTAGGGTAAGCACCTGCTCTAAAACCCACACAGCGAGCGCAAAGGATGTTAAGCATAAACCTAAGTGTTAGGGCCTAATCCCTAACACTGCAGAACCAGATGGACTTCAGGACATGACAAGCACACATGCAGCACTATACCTGTTCAGCCAGCTTGCCCAGCCTGTTTGGCTGACAGCAGGACCACAAACAGAAGTAACAGAGGCCATCAAAGTGTGTGAAACAGAGAGAAAGGGGAAAAAAAAAAAAGAAAATACAAACAAAGAGGCACTGGAAACATAAGATACACACAGTAAGACAGAAAACAAAACTCATACTGTTTTAGAGTGAAAAGAAGATTTCCATTTCAGATTATTTAAGGGCTTGACACTCTTAGGTGGTTCTTTGGGAAACATGCAAGTTCCAGTTAACGAACAAGAAGAGGGCTAAGGCAGCTCATACACTGTTCTATCATAAATTCCTCCTCCCTTGCAGCTTCAGAAATACCTCCTTCCAGCAGGGCTGGAAGTCATTCTGTATTTATCTGCATGCTTATTTGTACCAGAAGTTTGGCCATTTGTCTACATTCATTTAAATCCAATGCATTTTAAAAAATTTAATACAGGTATCACTCTGGAAGAATGAGGGAGAGGGGTTAGAAAACCTCCCACACTGAGAAAGGGCTCAAGAACGGAAAACAGAGATGGAAAAGGCAGAATTATGAAGGGGAAGCTCAAATGCCCAGCAGTCCTACACTCCTCACAGGGGGTTTTTTTGAATACTTCATGTTGCCATTCAACATTGTGCAGAAAAACTGTTTTCCCCTCCCTTATCCCAAACTGGCTCTTAAAATCCTTATTTACACAGGCAACTCAAAGCTGATCTTTCACACTGGGCAGCTGACATCTTTTATTTGATGTGTTTAAACTCTTAATTTACAGTCCTCTTGATTTCACGTGTATCCTTCCTATTTTCCCTCATAAAAATCACTCTGGCCTTATTTCTTTGTACCCATTTAGCTATAGGGCTTGTTAAAAGCCTTTCCTCCTTTAATGGTGAAAGAAACTATAGAAACTAAAGAAACAATTGTGAATGGCAACGTATTTAAGAAACTCATGTCCCAGAATGTCTCTCTTGTAGGAAACCCAGAACATTGTAATACATTCTGAGAGGATAAAAAGGCCTTTCTTCATCTAGTGAGCACCAGGAACTAAAAAACAAGGGAAAATTACGTTTTGCAGAGTACAGCAGCAATCTTTATAGAATCCTTTTTTATTACATGTAATTCATACCACTGAAATTGGAAATTAGATTTACAATTACACATACCTAAAGCATGTGTCACCTAAGATATTCTCCACAGACAAAGCTATACACTGCCTCTCTGAAAGCTGAGCACTATCTACCAACTCAAACACCATCCAAACTCCAGGGTGCTTTCCCATTTTCTAGTCCATACTTAGTACCTGATGTTTCAGGTAAGTTTTGGAATATGTATTTTTTTAGTTTCTTAACTGGAAAAGCAGCATCTCAGTAAGAAAAGTTAGATTTAATCTCATGAAATTACACTTAAGAGATTATAATCAGCTGAATACTGAACTGTCAAAGGTGGTTCTGGCCCACAGCACGTCATTATCTCTAGTCTGTGAAGTAGGGCTGTGTAGTTTATGGGCATATCTGCCCCTCAAAGCTTCCCACCTTATACCTTTAATTAAAAAAAAAAGTCCAACTCTCACATGAGGTGAGACACACGTATCTGCACGTTGATAACACTCATTTAAGACCTTTAAAAGTCAAAAAATACCTCCCAACCTTGTCAGTTTTCCTGGGTCTTATTTCAGGAACTCTGTCTTCCATTTAATTCCACATTATACACACAGCTATTTTTCAAACAGACAGAATCTGAACAACACAAAAGCTGAAACAGCACTGCTTGTAACATTTAATATTTAATTTAATACTGCTCCTGCATAGTGGGAAAGAAACAAGTTTCTTAATACTGAACCTCTGGATTAGAAAAGAAAATCAACCGGTCAATTAGTACAGAAAAGTGAAATTATCATAACCCACATCTTATTAAACAGCTTATTAAAAAGCTTATTTAACTTGGTGATAAAACTAGGAAGCAATGGAGCTCCAGTTCATTAGAAAAAGAGACCCATGGGGCTGAAATTCATTTCCTATCAAGTTCCCAGAGATTCTGTGTAAGGAATAAGCAGCTCAGTCTCACCTGTAGGCAGATTGCTACGTTAACCCTGCAGCCAAAGGTGGTGCTCACTGCACGAGCAGAGAGGCCCAGGTCTTTAAACAGCTTGGAGAAAGACTGGGTTAGGGTGATCCTCGGTCTCTCCTCTGCAACCACCATGCAGGTACGGACACAGGACAGGTTCACTCCCTTCATCTGAGAGGTGGGGTGAACAGAACAGCATGTTAAGTTTGAAGGCGACAACTCCAGGAATAAACCGTTTTAATTTGTGCAACAAAAGGACGTGAAAAGCACTAGAATTGGACATGAACTGGTTAAACACTAAAGACATGGATATCAGGTAGCACAGTTACTCAAAATTCTGAGCTGAAAACTCCCCAGAAAGTGATTGTGTCACAGGGCTGGCTCCCAGCACCGCACAGTTCAGGTGTAAGCAGCGTTGCAGACATCATTAGCTCCTGTCAGTGTGAACGTGAACCTGGAGCAATTGTCTGTGGGCCAGGATGGTCCAGGGGAACAGAGGAACAGTTTTTTTGTTTCTTTTCAGAACAAGCACAATGTAGCCACTCTTTTGCCACACATTCCCAGTGGAAGTCCTGAGCAGCCCAGTTACTGCAGCTGTGGGAATGCTCCTTCCTCTTCCAAGGAAATTAAGTCTGAGTTAAGAGACTTCCCTCAAAAATAAATGGATGTATCAGGGTGCAGTTGCTGTTGTTAGTAAGTATATCATAATGTAATCGTACAGAATGATTTGGGTGGGAAGGAACCTTCAAGCTCATCTAGTTCCACCTCCCTAGAACGGGCAGGGACACCTTCCACCACACCAGGTTGCTCCAAGCCCCACCCAACCTGGCCTGGAACACTTCCAGAGTTGTGGAAGATTACATCCATTTTAGAACTCAACATTTTTGGTATTAACTGATCTGAAAGCAAGTGAGACGTACTGGGTTTGGGGGGGCTTTTTGGTTTTGGTGTCTGGGGGAGAGGTTTTTTGGTGGTTGGTGAGGCTTTGGGTTTTTTTCTTCTGTTGGGGTGTGTTTTGTCTATTTGGAGGGCTTTTTTTTGTTTGGTGGTGTTTTTCTCTCTCAGATACAAACAAGCTGGCAGGCTTGCTATGTGTTCTGCCCAAAATCTCAGAGACACCCAGCAGCACAGAGGTGGCACAAACAAGTAAAGCTGAAAACACAAGACTTCTTTTTTTCCCTTCCACCAGAAAGGGAAGGGAAGATTCACAAGAGCTGAATCTTCCAGCAATCTCAGCAGTCCCCAAAAATCATGTCATAACGAAAGGCTCTCACAGAAATACCAACTCATCCCCCTGCAAATGAGGTATTTTTAGAAAGGTACACGTGTGTAGCTGTCAGTGTGCTGAAAAACGGAGTGCACTCACCCGGAGAACATCGGTCTGTGTGCCCAGCCCTTTGGTGCACATCTCCATCACCGAGTACGAGCAGAAGGTGACACGTACTTTGTACTGGCTGACAGCAGACAGCCACAGAGACACGTTGCTCTCCAGCTCCAGAGGAGGGACCAGGATGGACTGGTGACCTGAATATACACTGGGGAGAGGAAGCAATAGGAACATGAAAACTTCAAGCCGGCATAAAAACAAACAACAAAAAAAAGCCATAAGTTATGTGAAGTCAAAATGAAAGAAACGCAGAAAAATTGAGAGCTGAACTTCAGGTTGTCTTCTCCAAGAGAGCAAGAAACTCTTAGTCAGCTGGGAACTACAGGGCTGAGTAAGTCACAAACTTTAAGGCAAGTATATTTGTCCTGTGCAGTAAATTGTGCTCAGCTATAGGCAAACATTCAATGCCTTCAACAGACAGAACTTCTGACAAAAAAATGTTAACATTTGAGGCATCAGAGAAACACAAAGTGACCTGGGTTGGAAGGGACCTTAAAGCTCATCCCATCCCACCCCCTGCCATGGGCAGGGACACCTTCCACCAGCCCAGGTTGCTCCAAGCCCCATCCAACCTGGCCTTGGACACTTCCAGGGATGGGGCAGCCACAGCTGCTCTGGGCAACCCGTGCCATGTCTTACCACCCAATTCCAGTTCCAGTTCCTAGCCACCATCATTCCAGTTGCAGATTACAGCTGGATATTGATCTTATATTTCTGAGTCATTCATGTGAAAATGCACCTTTTGCTTTGAGTGAAATGAGTGTTTAACACCTGTATTGCACCGTTCAATTTTTTTTTGTGCAATTTTCTACCTTTGCCGTGGCTGTCTCAGTTTTTAAACAGGGTTAATGTGAAATATTTAACCTGGATACTGGCTGACATGAGTGGACAGAAAGTCAGATTCAGCATCAGAATCACACCACCTTTTAATTTTTTGGTTTTATCTTTGTTTCAGTTTGTATTTTAATTCTTCCATCACTGAGGTTTCTCCTCCCTCCACCCTGCCTCACTTTACTGCTGATATAAATCCTCAGATGCTACCAAAGCTGCATTTCTGTTTTTCTTCAGTGCACTTCCTTTCCAGTTGGGGAATTTAGAGAGAGAGAAGGAACAGGTGTAACTACAGTAAATTTACCTGTTTACAAAACCACCTTTCATTCAAAACCTTCAAGAGTTTCTGCATTTTTTTAACAAAACACCTAAAACACTATTAAATCATTAGATTAGTTAAAGCATATGGCATGCTTTAAAAGGCCAAAACAAAAACAAAGGAAAATTTTGCAGCTTTGTGAGATGTGCTGCATTAGAGCAGTTATCTGGTTGAATCAATTCAGGACTCATTCACTTTAAGGAACATTTAACTGCTTCCTTCAGCAGTATTTCTAAGTGCACACCGATCTTGCAGTGAACACCTGAAGGGCCTTGTCAAAACATATGGTTTAATCTCAAAAGACTTTAAAGGGATTTATTTAATCAATGTGAGATAGACAGTGAAGTCCTTTTTTTCTTCCTTGGATTTGGTATCTAATTAATTCCACTTGCAAACCCGAAATCACTCAAGTAAACTCACTGACTTGAGTGGATCTCCTCACCACAGAAGGCGTTTGCTGAACTACTGGTAAATGGTTCGATTGGGTTTCTTTGACAGTTCTACCCACAGCTGTTCCCTGGGATTCTGCAGAAGGCTGGGTACACATGAGGAGGCCCCTGGCTGCAAGGACATACCTGCACAAGCACCACAGTGCAAAGCCCAGGCCACAGTAAGGGTCCAGGCAGATGGCAATCTGTCGGGATGGGTACAGCTCGCACTGCAGCTTTATCGAGCGGCATAAGGCACTTGTAGCTGCGTGTGACATCTGCAAGAGGAAAACAGGAGCTCTCAGGGACCCTTCTGAGAAAAAGAGTATCACGTACTCCCTCCTAAACATAAGGAGACAAAGCATTATTATCCCTCATTACCCTACCTTTACTCCTGCTAATATACCAGTAGTAGACACACTGAAGTCCAAGTATGCCAACATATCTGGGGAAGTAGGTCTGAAAACACTAGCCAGCTTCTTTTTAGGCATATCATCTATTTAAAATAAATAAAAAGAGAAAAGTACCATATTATTGGTCTGGGAAACGAGCACAGGACAAAGAAATGTATCTTTACAGCATTATCACCAGATGCTTCCTATAGTATCTTGAACAGCTATTTTAATGCAATGCACAACACATCCACTCAGTTAGGCAGTTAAGGTGCAACAAAATAAACACACCACTCTTAAAACTATTTCCACTTCGGTTACTGTACCTGTATCCAAAATAGTGGGCCATGTTTTAATATCTACAGCTGCAGCAGCCTCCTTAGACTTGAGCAGTTTCATTATGGCTTGGGTGGTCAGTATGCACGCAGACTTACTGACCTGCAAAAGGCACAGCATTAAAACTATTCACAAAACCAGGGAATGCATGCTCAAAGTGATGTCATATCCACCCAGAGGAGACAACCAATAAGGTGAACAGAATGAAGAAAATCATTGGAAACCAAGCAAAATGAATCACAACAATAAAAGACCATTCTAAACGAGTTTCTGAAAAAACGTCATTATTGACTGGGCAAGCTGATTTTTTTCCCCCTGGCTTAATTTACACCAACAAAGCAATTCATCAGGATGCATCGACCATTCCACACTCCCCAAAAGCATATGGAGAGGGATGTCTCACACCTACCTCTACAATCATTTTGACAGTGGGCAGAGTGGTAGCAAGGTTCTGTGGATGAGGTGGGCGGACAGTGATGGGGACACAGCCAGCGTATAAGCAGCCATAGAAAGTTGCTATCAAGTCCACTCCTGTAAAACATATTTGTGAAATTAAAGCCATTTTCATCAGGACAAGAGGCCCAACTCTTTCACCAAAATCAAAACACACAGTGATTTATTTTATTGAGATTTAAGGATTTGCCACAAGGGTCTCTTCAAATCAACAGGCTGCTCTTGGCCATGCCTGGTTCCACAGGGTTAAAACGTTTTGCATTTGAGAGTTAGCAAAAGTTATTCTGATCCTACAAGCTTTAAGTGGATAGGGATATATTTTCACGGGCAGGACTTTCTTTTTCTGGTGCTGATTGTGGCTTTTGCTGTCTGTGCTGCCTCACCTGGAGGGTAAACCAGGGCCACGTGGTCACCAACGTTGAGCCGCCCCTTCTCCAGCAGCGCCACTGCCACTCTCTCTGCCCTCTTGTGCAGCTGGATGCACGATGCAGTGCTGGCTACAGTGCCCTGCACAGGAGAGAAGTGACATCACAAACCTTTATTCAAGCTGTTCTACGCAAAGTACCTGCTGTAGGTACAGTATTTCATCTGTCCTCATTTTAACAGTACAGCAAACGCTGTTAAAGACTCTGTCTCTACGTTTCAGAAACCACGCTGCTGCTACCGTGAGCTTTTGCAGTGCTAGAGGATTTTACACATCCTGCAAAATCAGAACAGTAAATACAGTGTACTGTTGAGATAGAAACAGCAGCAGCTCAGTGATTTGTATATTGACATGAAAAGGTGCAAAACAAAAGGGTTTCTCACGGACAGCTGTGAACACACTAACATGTAGCACTGTAGATCATTAGGCCCTAGTTGCTTAAGACAAGTGTTCACCAACAGGTAATTTCTTTGTGCCCAAGTTTTGTGTTTCCTTTTGCAGAGTCTCCTTGCCAAGGGTAAAACTTGCCTGAACAAAATGACCCAGGAAGGTGCTTCTTCATACCAGAAAACTTCCCTCAAAATCCCAGAAAACTTCCCTCAAAATCCTCTTTACTCCGAGAGACTAAACCAATTCTGTGACTTCCAACGCTAACAATGTTGAAACAGTTTCTTTTGCTAAAACAGTCTCATAAAAAAAGAAGTGTTGAACCGTGTCCTAACCATTTTCCTCTCTGAATAAAGACCCACAAAGGCAAATTTTTCCCTTTCCAAGGACTGCTGCTGGACCTTCTGGAAGCACATTCTCTATCCCGCTGTCTGCAGCACAGCACAGCACAGGGTAAATTCAATTTGTCACTGTGCTGTTGCTGCCATTTTAAGTGCCATCCTTCCTGGGGGCAGAGCCTAGCCCAGGACAAGGCATCAGAGTCTCCTGAAAGGTGTGACAGTTACCCTTGTATTCAGAGACAAATACAGAACTCTAGCTTCCATTAATATCACAGAAGTTGGGTTCCAGCAGGAAATGTAATTACTGCAGTGTTTTAAGCCAGGCAGAATGCATACTGAAATTCCAGATGTGGCATAAAACATATTGCATAAAATTCCAGAAGTGGAAAAACGATGCTGCTTACTAACTAGCAGTTTTTGTCTGCTTCACTAAAATAACCTGAAGCATTTAAGGGAAAGACTTCTGGCTGGAATTTTGTTAGAATTGAAACAATCTTTTGTTTTGATCTCAATCTCTGAGCATGACCTAAAGTGCATCTCACCTTGGAGTTCAACAGAAGGAAGAGGGGATGATCTGGAGTTGTCTGAGCTCGCCACTGAAGAACATCTGCCAAATACAGGAACTGAAATGGAACCGAAAGGAGACACTCAGGTTCACTCAAAACACCTCAGGTTTACTTTCAGCAGAACATCCTGCCTGGTCTTCTCTCACTCTGAATAAGCTAACTCGAATATTCACTCATAGCAGGACATCAGTGTCACCTTTCTTGCCTGGTCATTGTCCTCCAGCTGGCTCACATCTCTGCCCGAGGCTTGTGCAATCCTCTTGCCAGCTACGAGGTTTCCCACTATCATCGAGGCAGGACCAACATCTGCATTTCGGAAAGAAGAGGAGCAAAATGAGGACAAACAACCTTAAGGAACGTGCAACCATCAGTGCAGGCTGCAGATGTGCCATGTCTAACACCGGGTCTGGCAGAACCAGCACCGTGCTCTGCTTTTTTCCTCACCTGGCTGTTTCTGTCGGGGCTTGGGCAGGTTGGTGACGCAGGTGTGGGGACACATCAAGACGTTACAAGGATGCAGGGCACCCTCCAAAAAGCGCTGCTTGGTTTCTGAAATATGAATCCCTCCGAGGGGAGCCTTTGGCAAAGTGTTGGCTGGCACCAGGGCAAGGCAGTACACGCCCACCTGGTGAATGCTATCGATCGCCTTGATGGAAATTAAAAAGGGAAAGAAAACCAAAACATTCCACGTTATCAACTGGGACGTAGCTAGAGCGAGAATTTGAATTCAAGTCATTTATAACATTAAGGTTTTTACTTGCACCACAATTTGCAAATAAAGGGTCCAATTCTGCACTCACTGAACTCATAGAAGCTGTGCCATGACTTCAATGGGAGCAGGAGCAGACCCAGGACTTTGCTTGTGCCCTCTACCAAGGGGATGCCACCTGCACATCAGGGATTAGGAAAGTCTCTTATAAGTGGGCAAAAAGTGCAGAGATTTTTCAAAAGCCAAAATTATATTACAGCGAATTTAGCATGTATGGCACAACCACAAAAGCGCAGTAAAACATAAAACCACAAAAATAGGGAAGGAAGCATCTTTGCTGCCTAAAACTTAAGTGTCTGTTTTAGCTATGACACTTGTAAAAAAAAGAGAAATAAAAATATTTTCTCCCACGAAAAAGCCTTTCTATTAGTGGATATTCCCTCCAAAAAGAGCAGAAAACATCACTACCCAACTGCTTTACTCTTAAGAGCAAACTTCCCTGAAGTTTTTCTCTGTATCCTTCCCTTCAGTTGTCCCTTCACCAGTCTTCCATAACTGCTCTCTCAATTTTTACTTCCTTAGGACTGATTAATTCTGAAATCCACAAATGCAAATCTACCAGAATTCCCCTTCCTCCTGCCCTCTACCCCCCGAGAAAATACATTAAAGTAACCAAGGGAAAAAAGTTTTTTAATGCTTACAGTTGGAGATCTAGAATAGGTTGTTAAGTGACATAAAAAGCTTTCAGGGGCAGTTCTGATACTTGGCACTAAGTACCCCCCTAAACGTTTTCAGAGTTAATTCTCAGTATGAAATCAGAAGAGATATGTAGTATTAACCCAAAAAAAACTCCAAACATTACCCTTAGGACTTAGGGAATCCTAGAAGTAGGAAGTTAAAAAAAAACAAACATTCTGAAAGGAAGTCTTACTTTTCACCAAAATTCTGTAGACTATCAACCCTGAAACACATTTTGAAAAAAAAAACAACACAAAAACAACCAGAAAAAACAGCTCATTTTATCTCTCTGTGGTTACACTGACAGGTTTGGCTTATGAGAGGAAAACAAAAAAAAAAAGAAGATGCTCTAATATTCTCATTTCATACATCAGCCTTATTCACCTGGAAAAGAGAAAGGACAGACTGACTACCTGTAGAACCCTGCTCATCCACTGAAAACTATCCTCCTCTGAGGCGTCAGGGCGCTGCTCTGCCACAAGCACTATCCGATCATCATGCAAAACGGGCACAGAAAACACTGCTATCCTAAAACACAAAGGACAGAAGAATGATAGGATGCAACATACGGTGAACAGAGCACAGCTTATCATCACGTGGGGGATGGCTGCAACCTCTCATGGCACTGTTTCACACACACAAGCTTTGTTCATGCCGGGGTCATCACAAAGTCACGGGAAAAATAGAGCACATGTAGGTTCACTGCTGTAACCCCACTTCTGGTGGGGGTCAGGTGGATTTGCAGTCACCAACGTAGCACGTGTTTGACAGGCAAGTTCCATACGTGCAGGGGCTGTGCAAACCTTGCCTACAGAACTCCATCATGCACACTGGACTTGTGGCCCCTACATCCCCTTCAGAAAGATGGCTGGGCCAAATTACTGACCATTTTCAACTAGATCAGGTTGCTCAGAGCCCCCTCCAACCTGACCTTGATGGGGGAAGGATGGGACAGCCACAGCTTCTCTGTGCCTCCCCACCCTCACAGTCAGGACTGTCTGCCTTATATCTAGCCTGAATCTAATCTCTTTCAATTTACAACCATCACCACTTGTCCTATTGAGATGGGCCTCACTAAAAACTCTGTCCCCATTTTTCTTACAAGGCCCTTTCAGGTCTTGAAAAGCTGCATTAAGGTCTCGCCGGAGCGTTCTCTTCTCCAGGCTGAGCCATCCCAGCTCTCTCAGCCTGTCTCCATAGCAGAGGTGCTCCAGCCTTTGGAGCATCTCTGTGGCCTCCTCTGGACCCAATCCAGCAGCTCCTTCCTGTGCTGAGGTCCCTAGAGCTGGAGGCAGCACTGCAGGTGGGGTCTCATCTGAGTGGAGCAGAATCCCCCCCTCCCCTGCTGCCCACACTGTGGGGATGCAGCCCAGGACATGGCTGGTTCCTGGGCTGCCAGGGCACATGGTCAGGGTGTGTCCACTCTCTCATTCAGCAGCACCCCCCAAGTCCTCAGCAGAGCTGCTCTTGATCTGTTCATCCCCCAGCCTGGACTGGTCCCAAGGTGGACCCCCCTGTGGGATCCCACTTGTCACTGATTTCCATCTGGACATTAAGCCGCTGAGCACAGAAGAGCAATCAGGTTGGTGATACAACACACACTGTCTTTGACTGTCCTTCAGCTGTTTGTTCTTTAGAACATGCTGCACAGTTCCTCCCTCAGCCACTCTGCCCAAAAGGCTCAGGGGGACCGAGGTGTCTTACATCTGAGTGTCTTATGAGAAGCTTTGAAAGAACTTTTAAACAGACACTTAAAGATCTACCTTTATACTTTGTGAAAGCAATTTAAAATCTACCGTGCACGAAGAAGGGTGTCAATATTTGTCTTTCAAGTTAGCAGGGACAGGGCATATCACAACCTAGTGCCACCTTTCCTACAAAAAACACACGTAAAAACTCAACATGCATTGCTCCTGTGTATGCTGTGCTACTTATTGACTGTCTGTGGGGTGAAAAAAGGAGGAACAAAGCCCAGTCAGCAGGGCTGAAGTTTCTGATGTGCTCACCTTCCCCGATAGACAAACTTCATGGGTTCGACTGCCAAGGCGGTGGCCACCACGTCGTCTGCGTTGTGCCTGCGGCCACTGACTGTCATCAGGCCATCCAACTTCCCTACCACAAACACCAAACAGTCCTGAAAAGAAGGCAGGATTAGAAACAGAGGGGAAAAAACCTCCTCACTCCTGGCAATACACGCCTGACTCAAGCCAACGATACTCTCGAGATCTATAGGAGGTCAGTGCTCCAATATTTAATTCTGCTGAATTCGGGGGCACCACTTAAAGAGTTGGGAGTCAGAACAAAGCAGGGACCCCTGGGTTTGTTCACACTTACAGGACCCACAAAGCCAAGCAGTCCTGTCCTTGTGAAGGGCTGGTCTGAAACAGGCACGCCGGCTGCTGTCACTGGGATGGCCTGGAAGAACACAGAGGGATTCAGATTGGACTGATACAGACTCTCACTTCTTTACTGCCACAAAAGGAAAACATGAAATTGGAGTACCACTGGAAGGAAAAACAGAAGCAAAAAGACTGAAATGCCTTTGGGTAACTGCACATAAGACTTCTGTGTTAATTCAGAGCTCAGATGAATTTAAATGCTCACATAGGTAGAACACTGGATTGTGGAATTTAAAAGCAGCTGATTGACTGCAGATAATACTTGGTATTTTTGGTTATAGGAGGTATAATTTCTTATGATTCTATGAATGAAGCAAAGCATATCCAAGCCAAGGCTTTTTCTAATTAAAAAAAACCACCAAAACAAAGAACAGAAAAAAAAACCAAAAACCAAACCAACCAACCAAAAAAAAAAACACCACCAAAAAAGGACTTGTAAGGAAACAAATAAGTCTACTTGCAAGAAGGAATACTGGAAATGCAGCAATTACACTTTACATTACAAGGAAGTTCGAACCTCAAACACATTCTTGGTGATTCCCAGGAGGCCGAAATACGCTATCCCAGTTGCTCCTGAATTCACACAAATTTCTCCAACCTCATCAGCTTTACACAGATAAGGAGTCCCATCCACCTTCACAACACACACGCTGGCTGCAAGAGGGAAGAACACAGAATCCCGGTGTTAGTGTGCTCCAGCAGTGACACACACAGTGCTCTGCTGCCGACAGGTAAAGATTTTAATATCAATTATCTATCAGCTACAGAAAAAACACAGCACATAAGAGAGCTCTCTCTAGCTTTTGGATAGCCTCTGTAATGGGTTCTCCAAGATTAAGTTCATAAATGCAATGTTTTCTTCTCACAATGCTTCACAGCCCCCACATCAGCTGCAGCTGAGTCCAAAGTACAACAGTGCAACGGACTTTGATTTAGCACTAAAGATTAAGAAAGAAATCAGTTCGGTACAAAATAAACACAATGAAGCCAGTTCTGCTGCTGGCATGGACCAAGAACTGCTGGTAAAAATAGACCTATGGGGACATTTCCAAAGAGAAGTCTTCAGTTGTCAACACCTTAGGTCTCAACAGGAGAGATTATCATTCGCTCTACCAATAGATCAACGTCTAAATCATCTTGATATTATCTTAACTGATGAAATAGTTGATTACTCCAGGAAATAACCTGAGGTAGTACCAGAACTCTGTATGCAACACTTGGGCAATGATGCAGAGAGAAGTGCTAGCAACAGGAGAAAGCACAGTAACAACTTGAGGGCATTCTCAAATGTACAGCCCTCAACACACTCACAAACATGGAAAAACCAACGGATTAAGCCTACAGTCCCCAAGTGATGCTCCATCCATGAAGCCCAAGGACAGTCCTATCACTCTGATCAAGTTTAAAAAAAAAAAAAATACTTACCAGTAACCAATGTATGGTACAGGTAGTCTACAGGTACATTCTAACAGCAGGCACAGTTCTGCCCTGCCAGGTTATACTGCAAGGCTGCCCTGATGCAGTCCCTGGGGAGCCTGTACTCTCGCTTCTCCTCCTTTTCCTGCTTCATGTGTGACATACAAGAGAGTGCATCTACCACCATTTCAGTCTCTCTCTCAACAGCATTGCATCTGAAAAAGAATTAGAGAGAAGGGAAAAAAGCAGATGGGACGGGAATGTACATGTGGACTGCACATCACGAAGAACGCAGATTCCTGGCAAGAAAGCTTTCCTTCTTCAAATGAGTCCACATGTACATTCTGACAGATGGTGACTCTCAGCAGTTAAACCTGCCAAGGAGCATCCTGGCAGAGGATGAGAGTCCTGCTGTGCAAAGGACCACACTGATGCCCTACCAAAGACTGGATTCAGCTTTGGATGTTTCAAGACTGGCACAGCAGGAATGCAAGAAGAATGCCAGGGGCCTGCACGGCAGAAGGGTGAGAACAAAGGTGCTGAGGAGGGTCAGAAAGTGCTCTCTTGTTCCACTTCCAGTGTTTCACAGTGGATCTGCATACAACAGCTACCCTTGCATTGCAGTCTCTAGTTAGAACTCTCATCTAGAAGCACAAAGCCTTAAGAAAAATACTAAAAGAGCAGAATAAAACACCTCTAGAGTCATGGTGGAAGGTATGTGCAGGGTTTCCAGAGAACCCCAGCCTTTGAGAAAAAGAGCACACAGGGATGTCAAATGCAGGGATCCTCCTGAATCTTTCCCTGCTCCTCTGGAAAGGGAAACAGGCATAAAGCCAGCCAACTTCCTAGCTGAGGGCGAACATAAACCTGGACTTTAAAGGTGGTCACACAAGCATCCAAAGAACAACGTTTAAAGAAAACATCTCATCCCAAGCGTACACGCTGGCACAGGTCTCAAGAGAAGCTGTTCTGTAGTGGCAGGCTGTTGTGCCATTGTGTGACAGGTTGAAGTCAGGAGGAATGGATTACTATGACAAATTCTAAGGACTGAGTGGAAAAGAGGTGATGCTATCTCACAGTTTAAGAGAAAAGACTGAAAACTTCACCAAATTGTTCTGTAATGACTCCTCCCATAGATCAGGCACTGAGATGAAGGAGCCAGACTCCTCTGCAGCGAAGATGCGTTGTGGTAACCACCAGAACCTGTGCAAACAGGTTTGCTGAGACAGACAGAGGGAACAATGACATCCAGGACATCCAAGGACTGGAGACAACGTGAGCATCCCAACACTTAAGAAATCAGAACCATTCTCCCTGACCTTCCAGAAAAGGTACTGAATACAGTCACAGTCCGGAATGTGGCACTGCACATGCAAAAGTTCCTCTTGCAGAACCCCAAGATCTGGCACCAACCCAAAGTTTTCTGCTTGAGTGTAAGGAAGTAGCTGCTGCAGCAGCACTATTTCTAGGAACCAGGCTTTGTATGAGCAGGAGCTACAGGGATACAGAACTTTAGGATTTTGAGAGTGCTTCTCTCCTGTCACATTAAGAACATGAGAAGGATCCCTGCAAAGGAATGGAAATGATTAGCTGGGAAGCAGCAGGGAGACAAACTTGACTGAATACCCTGAGCAACCACATCCAGATTCAAGCATAAGGTATAATATGCTTCCAAGATGACAGATAACGTGGCAAGTTGATGTGAAAGCTGGAGGCACAAAGAGGCAGAAGAGAATAGGTTTGGCACTCTCCCTACCATCTTTACGAGTCCAATTTGAAAAACTGAACTGAAGACTGCTGTAAGCCAAACTTGGCAATGTCAGTCCCAGACAGAAAGCATGCAAAATAGCCAAAGGTGGTCAACAGGTGAGGTAAAATGTCATCTCACCAGCAGAAGATTCCAGAGGAATGCATTCTAGGTTTTCCCTTAAGAATTCCCATGCTATCTTTGATGGGAAGATTTCTCCGTGGATGCCTGAACTTCCCTTGAGGCTCTTGTGATGGAATTCATGGAAGATAATGGATGGGAAGGGAATGTGGCATCAAGAGTGGCCTGTGGGTTAAACAGCAGTGACACAGGACATGGCCCTGGTGCTGATGGGTCTGCTGAATAAGATGCCCAGAGCAGGTGGGTTCAGTGTCTCAGAACAAAGAGAAAAACAAAATGAGGGTGAAAGTGGACACTTTATCCACGACCTTTCAACCAGGTGGTTCCCAAATAAAGCACACCTGGGATCTTCACAGGAAATGAGATCAAAACAATTTGGCTTGACCCTTTCCAAATGAAATCCAGGAATGTGAGCTCCTGCATCACAAAGCACAGCAATCTAGGGAAAAAAAAAAAAGCCAGAAAACCAAAAGGAGATCAAGATCACGACTCATCAGTCAGCAGAGGGGCAGCGAACAGGTGGTGGTATGTTCTCTCCTGTATGCCAAACACCAAGCCAGAAGGGACAGGGCACATCCTCCATGATGGGCATAAATCTTACCAGGCACAAGTATTATCCACTGTTAGAATGTACATGCAGACTCATTTGAAAATAAGTCATTCATTTCTTTAAGTCATTAATTCCTTTTCATCTGGCACACGCCTGTAAGTAACTGCTGTGAGGCCTTTTGGCCTTCTACTCTGGAAGATTATTTTAACAGACAGTCACAGGGAACAGAGATATTTATTATCCTCTAGAATGAACTCTTATTATGTATGTTCTGACTTAAGAAACCTACAGAGAAATTTCTGCTGGAATTTTTATCATGTGGGCAAATTGAAGCAGATCTGCCCCAGATTCTGACAGCCCAATGCTAAGCAGAGTTTTAAAGAAGTTAGTTCATTAGGTTGCCCAAATTCTGCTTAACCTACAAGTAGTTTTGCCACTTGCTACTGTATTTTATAGCAGCAACAGCCACCAATTACGAGTTGTGTCACCTTGAGGCACTTAATGATACACATTTAAAACTGTTCTACTCTCACACAGCCAGGCAAGCCACTTATCACTTCTTACTCATGTAGAAAGTTATGGCAGTGTTGCCTCTGCCTGTCAATGGCACCCTAATCCAGAAGGGTCCCTTAGATTTTGGCCAGACAATGCCTCAAGGGATTAGATAAAGGACAAGGGTTTTGTCACAGATCCCCCCTCACTGCTCAATTAGGCATTTCACAAGGACAGGGGTTTGTTTCTCATTAACAACTCATCCCGAGGGGAAATTACTTACCCACGAGCACACAGGGAACTCTTCCAGCATCCTGAGGCAGACTTTAACCTGCCACTGAGCAGATGCTCTATGGAATATTAACCAAGGTGATTCACAACCTTGGCAGTTGAACATGAAGAGCAGTTTAAGGTGCACCACAGCTGTAGCTTTGTGCCTTAGTGCAGTCAAGCCCACAGCAAAGCCAGGGGCATCTCCATGGGATAAACTCAGCCAAAGAAAGATTTCAATCACTCCTGCCTTTTGAATAAAAACTGGACCAACAATGAATTTAAGCTCAGTCAGTACCCCAAAGGATTCAGGGCTACCTGAAGGGCATGGTTCCCTCCATGTCCCTGGACTAACTCCTAATTTAAGTAGAAGATGGGGAGCACAGCTGAACTTCACTGGGGTTTCCAGGGGACAGCAGTAGTGTGGACACTCAAACCACACAGCAGTAGCAGTCCAAGCCACCTGTACTGTAGCTGAAGCAGAAAAAAATCACCATTCTGTTGAGACAGACTCCAGCCACAGAATCAGGGAATTGATTAGGCCAGGAAAGACCTTTAAGATCATCAAGTCCAACAGTGAAGGTGAAGTTACCACCTTTCTTGGAATTTTACTACAGACTTTCAAAACAGCTTCAAATGGTCTTAACACAAAACAGAAAAAAACCTGAGAGAAGCCACACAATGACCAAGAGACTTCTCTGCTGGCACCATTTTCCTCCGTGTGTGTAGGCATCAGATACAACCTGCAGGGACAGTCACAGCTGAACGTCCTCTGGGCCTTTGCAGACAAGTTTGACACCCTGAATTTGAATGTTCAGGTGAACCAATTCAGAAGCCAGTAAGGCTGATTGGGTCACTATACCCTTTTTTTCCCCCTGCAATTATGGTTTCACATTGAGGCCACCCAAAAATACCCAGTCTTTATATCTTCAGTGGTTGTACTCCCATTGGTCTGCCTTGTCAACCTGACTTCAAAGGGGCTTCCTTCCTTTCATTTTGGTATGAAATGCAGAGCTTCTGCTGTCTTTTACTGGTAGTGGGAGGAAGCTCTAAATGTGAATTTAAGTTCAGTAAAAATAACTGAACCACCATCCTTATTGCAAAGTGCTTCCAGGATTAATGAGGTAAATTAAACAAGATCAGTGCCACTTGCTACATGATGGTTGGAAATTTTCATCAGCAGAGGGAAGCTGTCTGCCTCCTCTTACTCGTATTAGAGGCCCTGGTGTACAGAGAAGAGATTGTTGCTGAAATTACACGAGTTGGCTCTTCATCTTTACCCTGAGTAAATGCTCTGCAGAGAGGAGGGCTTTGGAACCACAGCTCAGCAAGGCACGAGGTTCATTAAGGAGACCAAGAATAGCAAAGCCAAAGGTGCCTAGGGCATGTCCAGAACCAGTGAGGTTCTTTGGTAACTACATAATAAATCTGAGGGGTGAGGAGGATCCAAAAAAATTCCGTATTTCATCCTCTCCAAGTACACCAGTGCAGGTCAGGACAAAAGAGCACCGTGGAATGAGACACTGCCAACCTAAAAGTTGGAGCAGACGGCACTAAGTGTCCAGTCTTTCATCCCACTGGCCACAGCCTTTGGTCTGGTTTGGCACCTTTAATAATCTTCTTCAGAGTGCTCTCCTCTCCAAATGATGCATGACTTAGCAGCAGAGTCTCAAATGACAACAGCAGGAAAGAGACAAAGTCTCTTTGCTTCAATCCACTTAATGGGCTCAGGAGCAAACCCCAGCTCTACCTAAGTCAGGAAGAACTGTGTTGCAAACAGATGTCATTAGGAAACAGGTTAATCCAGGACTGAGAATACCCAGTCTGGCTCTCTCAGGATGGTTGGTTTTAGGATGGATCTCTAGAGATCATCTGGTCCAATCCCTCAGCTCCAGCAGGGCTACCCAGAGCCAGCTGCCCAGGACCACGTTCAGGTGGCTTTTCAGTATCTCCAAGGATGGGGACTCTCCAAATGGGGAAACCCATTTTGGTACTCAGTGGAAAAGGTTCTTCCTTGTGTTCAGAGGGAAGCTCGTGTGTTCAGTTTGTGTCCAGTGGCTCTTGTTCTGTCGCAGGACACTGAAAAGAGCCTGACTTCATCTTCTCTATAACTTCTTCTCAGGTAGACAATATCCACTGCTTCCCCCTCACCTACCAAACCAGTCACTTCATCGTAGAAGGTGACCAGGCAAGTCAAGCATGACTTCTCCTTGGTGAATAGGCACTGATCATGTTCACTGATCACCTTCTTGTCCTCCACGTGCATGAGAAAACGGTTTCCAGATCTGGTTGTTCCATCACCTCCACGGGGTTTGAGATGAGGTCCCTTTCAACTGAAATACTCCAGTTCAGCCTATTCTATTACCCTCCATTCCAAGGACTATCAGGCCAGGGTGAAAGCTGTCATTTCTCACTGTGTTTTCTGTTCTGTGTTCTTCTGCGTGTTATTGCGTGGGTGCAGGTCACTCAGCACCAACGCTAACAAGCGAGCAGCAAAACATAAGTCATACTACCTTGAAGGTATTCAACATTTTTATTTATTCCATCAGCACAAGTGTAATAGTAAAGGTAGCTTATGTGGAATATGCTTAAACCCACAGGAAATGCTTTCCTACCTCCAGGCATAATCTGGCCAACATCCTGCACAGTTAAGACCGACAACTTCTCCTCTGTATCCACTCTGATCACGCCGAAACTCAGACAGTTCATGGATAACACTGCTTTTCCTGGAGGGGGGCCACCCAGTTCAGGAGGTCTGGAAAACAGAAAGTCCAGTCAGATACGAATCGACAGACCAGTGGTGATGCAGTCACCAAAAACGTTGCACCAGTTTCTCAGGTTTGGTAAGGTAAAGAGAAATAATGGTGTCTCACTTTTAACAAACAGGAGTTCAAGACTGGCAATATACTGTCAGTAGATGATAAAAGAGCTAGAACAAAACTCTCCAAAATCTCAAACTTTTTTGTTTCAAGTTTTCTTGACACTGTTTTTCTGAAAAGGCACATTTTGATCACAACCACTATCAAAAAACTCTAGCATATCCCATCCATGCATCTATTAATAATCAAAGTATTTCCTTTTTTTCAAAGTATCTCTTGATATCTCCAGAAATCCAACGGTATTTTTCAGACCAGTTACAAATACTTTTTTTTTTGGTTAGCCCCCTGTTTACAGGACATTGTAAATAAGCAAATAATCGAGGATTCAGCATCTTCTTCCTCATAAATAATTAAGGCTTGCTCTGGGGGCATTTTAAGATGTCCTCCAGCAACATCAGTTGAGAGGATGAGACCTTGCTTTGCCAAACCAAGAAAAAAAACACCTTATGCCTGACTACACTTAGAAAATATTAAACTTTTAAAAGGAAAGAAAAACCACCCACCTTTCAGAGAAGGAGGTACCTGTGATTTTCATATTTCCTCTGCCTAGGTCTTTTTGGGCATCTTTATGTGGGTCACGGTCTTTTCTCACTGCCACCTCAACATGAGATTCCCCATCCCTGTAAAGTGCTCAAGACCAGGCTGGATAAGGCTTGGAGCAACTTCCTCCCCAAGCTATTCTGTGATTCTATGACACATCCCAACAGTCCAGAGCAGCTTCAGTTCACTTCTCAGGAAAGGGGATTACCTGCGAATGGCAACGGTCAGCGCCTCTGAAGAACTGGCACAAGGACAGATGACTTCTGGTCTCAAGCCTCTGGACTGAAATACATTCAGGAACGCGTCACAGGAAGATATTGACCCTAAAAAGAAGAATCAGGCGATTGGAAACATTTTGCTGTTGGCAGGAAAGTTTGAGCTGCAGGAATTCAAAGCCTGTGCTCGCTCTCAGCTCGGATATACCAACATTGCTATTTTCGTGCACAAAACCAATATCCTTTCAAATTGTCTGAAAGACATTCCAGCTTATTGTTAGATGGCAGATTTGGGAAAAGAACTCCCAGTGACTAACAACTAATCCACTGAATGAAATTCCCATCTGCATACTCCTTCTCTGGCAGCACTCACTAACACTTACCATCATGGAAAGCCCTTCAGGGACCAGAATACTTTGTCACTACGGGTAAATGTATGTCAACTTTTTATATAGCTCCTATCTCATTGTTCCTTGCAAAGGTCACAGCATTTAAAATCAAACATCAGATGCTTCTGACACACCTTAACTTCACAACTCCACCTGGCCTTTAGCACTTGGCCCAAAATGGATTATATCTGTATCTACAGATCACCCAGGTATCAGTTCATGTCAATTCATGTCAGAGTATAACACTGATGAAAACATGAAGTTCAAAAAAATTAATTTACCCAGCTAAATATAGCCAAGAAATGCAAACAGCAGTGGCATCACTGGCACACAAAACAGTATTTTACTAGAGAACAAACTGTTTAAACTTCCCGAGCATCAGCTCTGACACAGAATCTTGGCAAGACTGACACTCAGGAAACACATCCATACTCACATGGATTGGCTCCATCTGCCACTATTAACATCCGTAACGAGCTCAGGCTGACATCTCTCTGATCCCTCTGAGCCAAAAGTGACCAGTGCATATCTCGGGATTTTACAACTGCTACACGGGCTGGAAATCAAAAATACAATTATGCTGCGTGTGCAGAACAGAATGAAGATCAATTATAAAATTACATAAATATTCTTGTATATTTACAAGAATTTATGAGACAATAAACAAATACAAGTGTCAGATATTCAACTACTATGACATGTGTATACTCCATGTCTCCAGATGGACTTGATTATAGAATTTAAGTGTTGGTTATAAATTAAAATACTGAGAAAGACAATTTCTCTTCAAGGGTCTCTCAGAAGAAGCCATCATCAGTGAAACTATCAGCACACAGAATACTGAAATGGAGTACTCAAGGGCATACACAGGTATTTTATACAAACAATTTCAATTGGTATTAAATAATCCAAAAAGGTAGGGTGAATTACAAATACTTTTAGGTTACCTTTGTAAGAGCAGACTTTCTGTATCCAGGAAAGTGGATTAACCTTCATTAATGCATAGGGAATGCTGATGACGTGCATCCTGTTCATAACGCTCTGTGAGGAACAAGATTAAAAAATAAACTTCCAAGTGGCTCAAAAAATACACAGCAGGTATCAATGCTTAAAAAACCCCCCATTATCACAGCTGCAGCATAACTCTTAGAGTTAAACGTTAGTGAAAACTATGAGTATACTCCATGGAAACATAAATTACACAACTTACTGAAAAAGTAACACTTTATTCTGAAAAGCATAACTATTGAAACAGAAATTGTTTGAGAGAGTTGATGAGTTTATGGCCTCGTTCTGATACCCCTGAGAGCAGCAACCTGCTGCAGTTTTCTTTGTTCCTTCCCATACTCACTGTTAACACTCCATGCCAAAGGCCAGCATCCCTTTTGAAATCCAAGACATTTGTCAGTGTTTCAGCTGAAAGCAAAGAAAAAAAAAAACCACACCAGATTTAAAAAGTGTATTTACAAGAATACTTAAGAATTCAAAATACTTTCTGAAGCAACTCTGAAACTGCCAACTGCTAAGAAACCAAAGCTCTCTTGCCGTGCCTGTTTGCCTATAACAAACAGGCTGCTTAAGCTCCAAGTGGCTTATTTTACTTACAGCAATCATCTCTGGATTATGATTACAGACTAGATTATTACAAGGTATCTGAGACCTTGGTTCACTATGATACCCATGTGTTTGTAACATCTCTCAATGAACTATGCAGACCAAAAATTCAGTTTTGAAACACACTTCTTCAGCTGAACTGAAGAAGTTCATCTACATCTGAAAGAATTAAATCCAGTGAGAACTATTACCATGGCTGTACTAAAATTCTTGAATACTTTCTCAGTAAAAAATTAAAAAAAAATAAGAATCAAAGATCTTAAATCAAAGATTCAACCTGATTTCTGAGGGACATCTTGTACTGATTAGGTGACACTTGCTTATCCCTGATGTAGGATGGATGCATGCAGGAAAGTTTTTGATTAAAAGACAGCAGCAGAGGTTAACTCCATGCAGATGGCCCAAACCAAGAGCATTTCTTGGCCGTTCATTGGGAGAGTGAAAACAAGCAACATCTCTATGTTCACATCCCTATGGAGATGCTCTTCTGTGGGACATGATCAACTGAGAGGAAGATCTCTTCCTTGATTACCTCACAGGTGGATTACTCTCTTTCACCCATCACTGCCAGTACGAATGAGGAAATTTGTCTTTCCTTTTGCAGTTAAAGCTACTACAACGTCTCTGCAGTTCTCTGAAGGCAGTGAACACAGTACTGCAACATAAATTGTCTGAAGATTCAAAGCTGGTAGTATAATTTTGAAGTTGCACCTCTCTGACTTACCTTCTGAATAACCACACGCCTGAGTCAGAGCGTGACAGTGTGCCAGCATGGAAGCGTGAGATACAGTAATGCCCACCGTGCTGCCCTCTTTACTTGTTTTGTACTGAGAAGAGAAAGGGTACACAAGCATTAGAATAACAACAAAAATCAAGGAAATTTACAGTAGTGAACTGAAAGCACATTTTGTTGTAAAAACGAAGCAAGGTTTTTTAAAAAGTCAAAAAAGCTACCACAAAAATGCAATTATGTTCAGAGAATATAGAAGTATCATAGGGAATCTGTTTCTCTACTCCAATTAAAGAAATTGTCCCAGGGACCCTAAAATGCTGATTAACCCCAGCCTGCAAGGTGATTCCACGCAGCCACTCAAATGACAGCTTGCCTGGCAGCCTTGAGGGAAACATTCTTGTTTCACAGTTAAAATATTACAGTAATCTCTTTAATTGTATCAAGAGCTTTAAGGAAACAATTGTCACATAAACTATGACAGAGTAACCACAAAAGTTAGGCATGTTACACTCAATCACCTCGATGTAAGCAATCTCAGCGCTGGCATCCCGGACTTGCGGGTGCCAGTCCTTGGTGGGTTTCGCCAGATGCTTCCCATCAATCACAAACCAAATGAGGCGAGGCCAGCCTTCAAAGAAAAAAAAGTTACTGTCACCAAAGTACCAAAACTCAGGGCTTTCCCCCCCCAGTATTGAGAGATAACAGGAAGGAAGCAAAGGCTGGAACAAGCCCTGCCCGAGAGGAGCGAATGAAGACAGTTGTTTACGTGTAAGCCAGAACCACGCACACAAACCCCAGAACTGCTGTTTGACAGCAACAATGAGCAAGCATAGCCACTTTTTATCCCATAAAAAACAAACCCACACCTTTGAACGTCACCACTTCTCCAGTCTGAGCTTTGGGGAGGCCCTTCTGACAGGCATCAGTGGTTAAAGCCAGTGTTACTCCACAGCTGCGCAAGAGAAACCCGATCTGCTGACTGCCAGCATCCTACAGAGAAACCAAGTCATAGCAAAATTACAAATAACCCAGCTTTTGGACAGTTTACTGTAACTTCTCCATGTTTAGAAAACATTAGGTCGATTTTTATCACAGGAAAAAACAAATGTCTATCCCATAAGGCCTTTAATGGAGGACAGATGACTGAGAAGGCTGAGTTTTGCTTTGTGCCAATTAAGATTTGGCAGCAGATCTGGCAAGGAAAGCAGTGTCACAAGCAGTGGTCGTGCATCCCCCTTCAACCCAACAGGGATGTTTACAAGTTCTGGTAAAACAGGAACCTGGTTTGATGCTGTTTGAGTCCTGACACACTGAGGAGCACAGCCTGTAGCTTTAGCTCTTCCCTAATAATCTCAATGTGTGTGGGATTACACCTGTATTTCCAGTAACTGTGGTGTCTCTGCCTGCCTCATTATTCAGTATGAGTTGATGCTTTCAAACCTGCAGGCTCTGAGGGGTCTCATGTAAGGTCTGTAGGATTTAGACACTCTCCTTCCACAAACACTTCATTTATTTACCAAACCATAAAAATGCTGAATGCATTTGCCTACCTTTCTTGTGAGTGGAACTTCTATTGGGACAGGAATAAGTTCTGCCAGGAGACAGCCATAAAATGCCACCATAAACATAACTGGATCGCTATTGGGAAATACGAGGGCTACCTACAAAAACACATTAAAATAAGAAGATGTGTGTTTTTTTCATCAGAGGGAGGGAGACTGCTTTTAAATTTGTGGGACTAAATCCTCACATTAGTGTACAGGTTCATCTATAACCAAGAACAGAAATACTAAATATTGGGACAACGTATTATTACAAGTCACAGTAATGATTATTTCACAATATATTATTGCAATACATTATTACAAGGTTTTTTTCAGCTAAAGTTGTTCCTCACTACTTCATCCACTTCCAAAAGCAGCCTACCCGGTCTCCAGGCTTCAGCAGGGGTTCATTCTTAGTGGTTAGCTTGTTCAGCAGGGTATAGGCTAACTTCAAGCTTCGACTCCACAGCTTGCCTTAAAGGAAAAATAAAAAAACAAACCAAGAAATTAAGAAATAGAAACTAAAATGATAACATTCAATTGGTAAATCTCAGTGCCTTACATATGTTTTAACCACGATGGTTGTATCAGAACAGATGGTAAAGAACATAACTACATTTAGAGGTTGGCTTCTTTTTAGTTTACCTTTTCCTTTTTTTCTTTTTTTTTTTTTTAGTGTAAAACTAAACATGATATTCTGAACAATTCTCAAAGCTCCACTGTAGAGTAATTAAACTAATGCAGCTGCTGAGCTGTATATTTCCTGCATCCTTCATCTGTGAGAACGCAAACAACAAAAGTTTAACATTCTAACATACTGTACAATGAAATGATGCAGGGAGAGAGCTGTCCTTCAGGACACACACCAAAAAAAAATCTTACCAAAAAAATGCAAGTTACTATAATACTTCTAAGTTCATTGATACAGACAAGTTCCCACTTCCCACCATAACATTCTGAATATGCTCCTGAAGTATGAGTCTCCTCTATAAGGATGTGCAGGAAGATGCTAAAATGCAATGTCTCCTCTAGGAATCTGAAGAGTGCATTATCAGTCGTGTTTCTCTCTCCCAGTTTACACCAATGTTCTGGTTTTAGTGTTCTTTTACAAAAAAACACCCCCACACGCACCAAATCTTTGATATCTAAAATAGCCACTTGGAAAGAATCAATATCATAAATTTTTTCCCTTCCTTAACTTTAACACATTTTTGATATACAATGAATTAATAATTTGCATTCCAACAGCAACCTCAAACCTCCTGTGCTGTGAGCATGGGCAGTGCCCCTCTGAAGAAAAGCAAACTGTTCTTCCACAGCAAAGCCCCAATTCCTCCTGACAGTCAGCACCAACACGTACCGTAGGTAAGGGTGTAAATGGCTTTCCCAGTGGTATCCAACGCTGTCAGACACGGGGCTTTGGGCTGGGTGGTTCCCCAGCGCTGCAGGGCAGCCAGCAGAGAGGGTGGCCAGTTGGTCACAACCCCTAAGGGCTCCCCTTTGAGTACATTCATTTGATTTCCTTCGGGCTTTGGTTGATTTGGGTCGGGCTGTTGCACTGAAATCAGAGCACAGTAAATGGCAAATGTCAATCCTTGCAGAACGTGCAAGCTGCACTTCCCAGACTGTTCCATGAACCAGCTGTCGTTACTTCTCTGCTTTATGATGATGCTATGCTAATCATCTGCTGGCTTCCCAAAAAATAATGACCATCACTTTAGAGTTCTGATCCCACATTATCAAAGGACCAGAACCCGAATCTCCCGTTCACTTCTCTCTGCTTTGGAAAGCTGCTGTTTTCTGTTGGTTGCTCTCCAATCTATTTCAATTAAAGTTTCAATGAGTAAAATTAATGGTTCCAAGTGACACTCTCCACAATTACCATGCATCTCAGTGGAAGTCCACCCAACCCTGCCTGAAGAAATTTCAGCAAAGGACTAGAGTCACAATAATCTCATATATGAAAACATCAAACCAATAGTAGAGGGAATCTACTGGTAGTGGCTCAGAAACGTCACACTGAGTAGGGGGTTGAGTTGAAGATTATCATTTACTTGTGATAAGGTGACTTTTCTCTCTTCACTGTAACAATTCTACCATGATTTGTTTTCTGTTGGGAAGAGAAAAAGAAACCAACACTTGCTAAGAAGTATCAGTTCAGCCTTGCACAAAGAGTGAAAAGTGTATCTGAAAGAAAATTAACCTTCTAGCAGTTCTTCAAAATCATCCACGAAAAATTCTTTCAAAGGTGGGCGCTTTGGTCTTTTCAAGGTATTCAGCAGCTGTTGGATTTTAGAGGACACTCTGCTATTCACTGGGACACCTGCCAAATGGAAAATATGTATTATTTGTCATATATTAGCAAACATACACTAAAACACACAGCTTTCAGGTGGAAAAGTCATTCAGGATGAGAACCTTGTTTGGAAGAAAACAGCTTTATTTGTTTTCAAACAGTGCTGTTCCCTGGCTACCTGGTTGATGCAGACACCTCACACTTCACTTTAGCTTTTCAAACCTCTCCATGAGATTCCAACAGAAACACAAAGAATAAACACTCTTTACTCCAGGAGTCTAGGTATTTGCTACATCTTAACTTTCATTCATTCCATTCTGAAAGGGTCAGAATGCTCGGGAAAAAGAAGTGAACCTTTCAATATTTTAAGATGTAAGTAAAAATAGTCACAACACAAAAACCTTGCCGAATGCTGACCTTCATTTGTATATGTGACAGGATTATTTTAAATGAAATGTAAATAAGTGGGTGTTCTGATATTTATCGAAATTTAAAACTCTGAGGCAATAAGATGAATATGCACACACACACACACATATATATATAAAAGGGACATAGATGGAAAGGTAGGAGGTTTATAATGCAATCACCATCTGCAGTTTCCAAAATGCTGCTGCTGTAGCCTCTGGGCACTCCTCGCACCGATGCCACCTGCGGGCGCTCGTGGTACAGGTGTTCCACCAGGCCAGTGGTCACGTCTGGGGGTGCAGAGTGGTTCTCTGGAGAAATGCAAGGCAGACATGGGAGCTCATCAGGCAGGTTTAAGAAATAATAAAAAGTCAAAAGTCGCTTCTTACAGCAGGGCATTTCCCAAACCCTCACGTACTCACAGGGGCTCGAGAACCAACTCGTAACAACCTGGAGGCAAAAGCCTGCTCTGCTTGGAGCTGTGCCCTGCTTCCTGTTCCCTGTTTCCTGCCCATTCCTAAGAGAAATGCTTAGGGAATGTCATAGAATCACAGGCTGGCTTGGGTTGGAAGGGACCTTAAAGCTCATCTCATTCCAACCCCTGCCATGGGCAGGGACACCTTCCACCAGCCCAGGGTGCTCCAAGCCCCATCCAACCTGGCCTTGGACACTTCCAGGGATCCAGGGGCAGCCACAGCTTCTCTGGGCAACCTGTACCAGGGCCTGCCCACCCTCACAGGGAAGGATTCCTTCCTAATATTTAATCTAAAATCTCTCTTCTCTTTTATTGTAAAACCATTCCCCCTTGTCCTGTCACTAACTGCCCATGTAAAAAAGCTGTTTTCATCACTCCAAAACTGTAACCTAGATTATGGAATGGCTTTGAATGGAACAGGTTAGGAAATGGCAGCACTCGTGACACGTGTTTGAACAACAGGCAAGAAGAATTGGAGGCCTGGAATATTCAGAATCCTGATGAGTAAAAACAGGAATGCAGTAGGGAAGAACTGGAGAACACCCTGCTGCCCAGGGCAGGAGGAGCTGCCTCTGCAAGCACAGCCCTTGGAGCACCTCAGCACGATCACAAATCCTGCCGGAAGAACTCCAGGCACAGGGAGATCCAGGCAGTGCTGTGAAATACCTACATTACCCCTCACTCTGAGGCAGTGATTAGCATTAGAATAGCAAATGGTCACAGGACCCATCCCAGATTTCCAGAGGTGATGCACACACCACCACTCCAGGTCTAAGAGGTTCCAGAGGGATCGCCAGGATCCTCACTGCAATGCCAATATTTGCATCGCAGAGATCACTAAGCAAGAATGCCAAATTCCTTTCACGAGGGGTAAGGTACAGGAAGGACAAAGTGCCACTCCATCCCTCAGAGAAGTGTCCCGGAATCAGTAACCACAAGGGTGACAACTTGTGTGTAAAGCTGACCTGGATAACCACAGCACAGGACCTACAGAGAGCCCACATATACAGCTGAAATGCTCTCACCCTGCTCTCCATACTTCTGGAGTGGTTTTTTGGTTTGTTTTTTTTCCCTTGGCTTTTCCAAATTCCCAAACCACAGACTTCCTCCAGTAAACAACTTAACCAGAGAAAAGGCCAGAGAGCCAAGTGTTCCTGGTTCCCATGCTGCAGCATCAGCCCACAAGTCCCCACTTCTCACCTGACAGACCCTGCAGTGATTGACAACGTCTGTTTATGGACAGACAATGCCTTCTGTATGGAGAAGGAGTAAGTTCAGTTTTCAGGATTTACGCTCAGATAAAAATCGCATTGACCTAATTAATTATTTGGGCATTTTATTAATGAATGCCCATGAGACCCCATGAAATTAGTCTGCATCGTCCAGAGATACTGTGGCACACAGAAAAAGAGAAGTGGTGAGGACTCAAACTAAAAAAAAAAAAAAAAAAAAAAAAAGTGTTTGCAGACTTTGACTTCAGGAAAAAAAAACTTAATCAGATTCAGACTGAAGGACCTTTCCATTAGTGATGAGAAGACAGAGATAGATGCAAGAAAGAACATATGGGATATGACAGAGAATTAAAAGCCATGATAATCCATATTTCCAGTTACTCTAAGAGCTAAGGTGGGAAATACTCCACACTTGGGATGGTGACCTTGGAAAAAACCAAGACATACTGCCAGCCTTATCCTTTAAAAAAAAAAAAAATTAAAGTAAAAAGAAAAAAAAAAGCCCCCCCAAACAACAACACGTAGATGTTGTCCTTGCTGCTACAAGCGAAAGACAAACAGCTTAAAAATAATGCACATTCCTATCTGACTCCATTAAATACTGTAACCCTGCACTTCCAACACTGCAATTTACTGCCTGGGGACTTAGTCTGAGCTCACCATTAAAAATGCAGGCTGGAGAGGATGAACTGCTAGGGAACAAGCTGCTAAATTTAAATTCTCCAGCATCCCAAAATTGTGAATAGCTATTCAGTACACAACCAAAACACAGAATATTTCAGTAAGGCACGGTAATTAAAATAAGTAAGATGCCTTTCAGATTGCTGATGTCAGCACATTATCTGAAAAAAATAAATAAACTCTCCTTCTGTGCTCTAGGACAAATCAGAGCCCCTTTTGGAAAGTGAGTATTTACCAAGAAACAGGAAAGTTTCCAGTACAAGAAACGAGTTTTCATATTCTTGGGGAGCAAGCAAAGACTACAAACAAACAGCCAGGAAGAATGGCCCAACTGAACTGATATTGGCCATGCATGAATGTTTTACCAAGCTAGGAATGAAAACTGATGGAACACAGCAGGCATTCTAGAAATGAGGAAGACTATTCTTATGCAGCAGGGCATCTATTTTTTTTGTCAAAGCCACTGGAAATTTGACCTTTACGAACATTTTTAGTAGATCAGCTCTCAATGATCCCTGAGCTTCCTTCCTGATAGGTAATCTAACTGTTTATTTACTTCCTGTTAATGGAATTTCAAACCTGAACATGAAAATGGGAATGTGAAAATTTTTTGTACAAACATGAAAAGTTTCCCTAGCAATCGGAACCTCTGATTTTTTGACTTTCCCAAAGATTCTGGGTGTTTTTCTAATCTTTTGGGTGTTTTCCAACTGAGTCACATCTGAAATACACAACCTGACATTGTTTAGGGTAAATAACATGCAGACTGGAAAGCATGCACCAAAACCAGCATTCCTTTGAAATTCTGCTTTGGAATCTGGTAAAACTGAACCTTGGTTTCTTGGTAAATCAAGCATTTTACCAAGAAGAATGCATGTTCAGATCTCATGAACAACTGGTTTGGGTTAAATTAAACACATACATGTCATACATACCTGGTCTGTGAATTGCACATTTTTAAGGCTATTTACAGGTATCTCCTGCTGAAGATCTCTGTGTTTAGCCCTGCTTTGGGACTCGTAATCTGATTTTATTCCAACCACACAGGCAGGTTTACTGACCTATCTGGGTGTGTGCCATGAGATCTGCAAGCACAGTGGCAGCAGCGGTGGCAGGAGCGGTATTGGAAGCAGCAGGTTTCCCTCCGGGATGAGATGAGGTGGAGGATGCAGAGGATGAGGTGGAGGAGCCCTGAATGACGCGGTTAAGCCAGGGCTCTACGTTGGAATGGCTCTGGAACGGAGTGGAGCCGATCCGCCCTTGCCGCCGTAACGAGCCCTCATCTTCTGATGCTGACGATGTGTCTGTGATCAAAATAACCACGACAGGCGTGTGACGGGGGGATGACCCAACACGAGGGAACACGGAGCTTCGCCGCGTTCCGTGTTCTCGGCGGCAGCGCATGAGGTGTCCGAGCAAAGGGGATGCATTCACACACACACCAACCCTGCCCCTCGCCCGTTTTCAGCTTCAAGCAACAACCTGTACAAGCTGCATCACCCTCGAAGCCAAGCCTCAGTCACCTCCAGTACTTGGAATGACAGGCAAACCAGCCTTCTCCCCCAGCACTGACTGCACACACCAACCACTTTCAGTGCACATCCCGTCCCATCCCATCCCCATTCCACTGGAAAAAATATTTCTCTTTCAACAGGTAAATTTTATCTCATCCCACCTGAATAAATCCCACTGCATTTCCTGTTGGGTGTTTCCCTTTTTATTTCTTGGGGGGGGGGGGGAAATTATTCACTTTTTGATTCTTCTGACAAATTATTTGGAGAACTAATTTCTAAAGAAAGTACAGTGCTCTAAAGTTGAATGAAAGACTAATTAGAAAGCGCATATTTTAACCACATAAACTGGTATTAATGAGAACTACGCAGAAATGCTTAGTAAAGCATCTTTTCATTCTAAATGCATTTTTGTTGCTGTTAGAAGTCGGACAAAGGGCTCCTAATTTAATTACCATGTAGTTATTTACAACTTTCCAGAAGTTTCCCTTTGGCACACCATCTTTCCATATTCATCATCCATCCAACAACAAATAAAAAAGGTCATTCTAAATATCAAGCAAACACATCCCTGTTGATTTTGAGTGAAACACAGAAACTCTTATTACAGAAAAAAAGTCTTGCCCTCCTAAAGAGACTGCTGCATTTTAAGAACTCCATCCTTTCTATGTTTTATATAAGATAGGGTGCCTGTTATTGTGCTCCAACAGTCCCTTCTTCCATACTTGGAAATCTGGGGGTTGATTACATCAGGAATTCTGCAATCTTAATTTTGGCTATGTTTTTAAACCCCTAGACACATAATCAATCATTCAGCTAGATACAATTGCATATAAATCTCTGAAGCCATATTAAAAAAAACCACTCCTCATCTTGGGCAATGCATTTCAGTTACCAGCAGTTTAATTTTCTGCTTTTCAAGAATATGTGCATTTCCAGCACAGCTTCAGAACAACTTCTCTTTAACAGTCTAAAACCACAAAAACCAGGAATCATTTCGTAAGAAGCCCGTTTTAAGTCGATGGCATTTTCAAAGTTAAAACAGTGGATCTCTCATTACTTGACCTACCTCACCAAGCATGACAATTTTGACTGAAAATAGCCAAACAATTGATCTCTGAGAAGATGCAGCTGTGGTGCATCCCCATCCCTGGGTCTGTGCCCCATGTGATATTCCTGGTCTGCTGCCACGCTCAGAGCTTTTGGCAGCTGACCCCATCTGCTCCTGGAGAGCAGCCAAACCTGTCCCCCAGTGCTTGCAACCTTCCCTTTCTTTCAGGCAGAAAGCAAAAATAAACAATTACAGGAATATGGAACAAGACAGGATTACATACAGTCAGGGATTGAAAAAAAAAAAACCACAACCACAAACCAAACCACCGCATCTGCAATCTAAAATCGCTCCAGAGGAAAAAATAAAACTACAGAAAAAGCAGTTTTCTCACAGAATACACCCTGACAATATCTCCTCACTCTCTAATACTTCTAAGCTTTCAGATGTCTTACATGAGTGGAGGTGAAAAAAACCCAAACCCTTTAAATGCACAATAGTAACTGCATATAAAAATGAAGGACCACAGTAAAAACACTGTAAAATAGCAAAACATAATCACATCAAGAAACAGCAAGGTCACACCAGCAGTGGCCCTGTGGCAGTTGCAGGGGTTAATCCGTGGTGTGTGGTGACAGAATACCACATGCTTGGCTTCCAGCTCTTCCTGGCTGGGACCTGACCCAAGACAGAGAAGCCACCACACTTGAGCCAGACTTGCATCGAGGCTACAGCTCGAGTTCTGATCACAGGAAATCCGTGTGGGAAGGATGAGATAGACTCGACAGAACAAGACCAAAAGTGTGTTCAAATTTTTTGGAAGGCTGACTGATGAAAGCAGTTCCATTACTGCCAGCCAGGAGCTGTGTTTGAATTTAGCATTGTGCCCAGAATCACAGATTCACAGGATGGTTTGGGTTGGAATGGACCCTCAAGACCATCTCATTCCACCCCCTGCCATGAGCAGGGACACCTTCCACCAGCCCAGGGTGCTCCAAGCCCTGTCCAAAGTGGCCCTGGACACTTCCAGGGATGGGGTAGCCACAGCTTCTCTGGGCAACCTGTGCCAGGGCCTCCTCACCCTCAGTGTAAAGCAAATAAATCCTAGTGCTTCCTTCCTGGTACCTGATGGTAGCTGTTTGTAACAAAATTTCAGTTATTAATACCAAAGCATGGTTTTAATTGTATTAACTCCTGCCAACACAAGGATTTCAGGCAGAGGGTTAATGGCTCAGCACTACCTGGGTTCTTAGCAACTTGAGATCCTCCTTGCTGAGCTCACTTTGCAAATAAAGGTAGGCCCATAAAAAGACAAATGTTTTTATGATTTTATGTAGCTGAAGCAAGTTCACAGAATATTTTTGAATGTCCTGATTTCCCAGGATACAGAACTCATCCAGTTGCCCATCCTCTTACAGAGATTAGGGGATCTCATAAAAAGTCACCCTCTCTAAGAGAGTTTGACAGATCCCAGAGACACTTAACAACTCACAGGATACCCTGAGCTGGAACATCGAGTCCAATTCCAGGCCCTGCACAGGACCAGCAGCAGAATGACATCATGTGCCTGAGAGCATTGTCCAAACGGGTCATGAACTCCAGCAGGCTTGGGGCCACGACCACCTCCCTGCCACTTCCAGTTCGTATTATTTAGGGCACTGCTGTACCCTGCCAAAGCCCAACAGGAGCACACTTGGCTTCCCTGCTGAACACCTGCACAGGCTTGTTAGAAGATGACATTCTCCAGCAGCACAAGCACATGAAACTATGTAGATCTCCAGGAACAGCCCCAGGAGAGGCCTGGACAGGGTGACCCTTCTCCAAGTCCTGAACTTGGTTCCCTGCTTGCTGCTGTTCCTGGTGCTCCTCTGGGCTTGTGCAGATGGGTCTGTGACAGGCTGGTGGCTCCTGGGACAGGGTGTTATTTGGGATGCCCCACCTGCCACACCCCTGCACAGGTGTGCAAGCCAGCTTTTATCACAGAACCAAACACTGTCCCCACAGCATCTCGACTTTTTTTTAACAGTCATTCTTAAAAGACACTTTAATTAAAGATGCTTAACATATCTTCTGGGCAAAAACTTTATGGTCATAAAGGCCATATATACTAAAGAAGATTATTAGTTTTTAACTGGAGAACCCACAAAACCAATATACTGTAAGACTAGCAAAAAAAAAAGTGGAATTTCCTTTAAATGGGAGGAACAGAAAGAAGGAACACAGCTCAGGAAGCAGGAGGGCAGCACACCAGACCTCCTCTTTTAAAGAGGGGTAAGAACCAGAAATGATGGACAAGGGCAGTACAGGTCAGTGTGCTTCTGCTCCTGGGTCACATTACAAAAGACAAGAGAACATCCTCAGAACTAAAGAGCTTAGGAAATTTCTCTTTGTACACAAGCCCCAAACCACTTGGCTTGCTAGCACAACGTGCTACATGGAGAAAGATTTTTCTTAACTCCTAGAGAATTCACTGTGAGACAACAGGAAGATGACTTTTTCCCCTTAAAAATTAAAGGAGGCCTTCTGCCCTAAACACTCTGAACAATCACAGCATGTGATTTTCTGACTGTTTCAAACTGCTCACAGTTGAAACCACCCAATGAGTGCCCTGCAATTAACGCAGCAACTCAATGCTCTGGCATCTTCTTCAACTTTCCCATAAAGAACCTTGTGCGATGTGAAATGAGGTATTCCCAGCTCAGACAGGCTCGCTACGATTATCTCCTCCAAGCGAGATATGATTTAAGAGAACACACGTAATGCATGAAGGTCACCTGCTCACCCTGACAGCTTTCATGCTACAGTATCTCTAAGATGAGACACTACAACCCGTGAGGAAAAACATCACAGCACAAATCCAACCGAGGCCTGCTTATCAGGAAACACAGGCATGAACACAGAAGTTTAGTGCAACCTACTAACAACTTAGCAAAACAAAACATTTGCTCTTTATGTTTTGCTATTGTGTTCAGCAGGCCAAGGTGGATCATCCCCAAATGGTTTGGGTTGGAAGGGACCTACAAGACCATCTCATTGGGAAGGGACACCTTCCACTAGGCCAGGTTGCTCCAGGCCCTGTCCAAGCTGGTTTTGGACACTTCAGGGATGGGGCAGCCACAGCTTCTCTGGGCAGCTCTGTTCAACAGTCTGTGTTCAGATAACAGGTACCTGGGGGGGTGTAGGTCTCTACCGAGGAGTGCACCAGGACAGACCGTCTCTTGGAGGGCATGGGCATCTTCCTCTCCTTGTATTTCGCGAGTGCTGCTTGTACTGCTTCGGTGTGGACATCTACACAGGAAACAAACAAACAAACAAAAAAAAGGTTAAGAGACCTGGTTTATCAGCAGGGCTGAATCAACAGCCCTACCTCGTGCTCGAATTCCCAAAGCTAAGGGAGGATATACATGCTGGGTCAAGTTGACACATTTTTCTCATTAAATCCCCTTTCATTAAAGGCCCTGCAAGCAGCACTTCAGAAGAACACCCTGAAATAAACACTGAAGTTACAGAACACCTGGTATGTTAGTTCTGAGCTATGAGTTATTTTTCATTTGAGGGGGGGAGATTTCAATGCAGATTCTTTAAACTGGCAACCGCGTTTGACTCTTCACCCTCAACACAAGATGCACACTTGAGGGTCTCACAGAGACTGCAAGTAATAAAAAATGGAAATAAGAAGCTCATGGACAGATATTGAGGAGAAATCTTTGCAGCAATGTCACTTCTCAGTCTGCAGCTCCCCCCAGATAATCTGCTCAGAGCTGTATTTAAAATATATATATGTAAATGTACCATCCCACTTGTGTAGATGCTAATCTCAAATAAAAACTTTTTGTGCAACTAACAGGCAAGGTTCAAGGATGATGCTGTTATGAGAGAAAAATATTAAGAAGATAAAAAAATCATCAGTAAAACCTCTCTCAATATTTTTTTTTTTTTTTAATCTGGGCCCCCCTGTAAGATTTTTGTTGCTGTCCTTTACAACAAGGACTTGTTAATATATGTTTTATGAATTGAAAATTAATTTCCCTATGTCTCCCTGCCCCCGTTTCCCTTCCCCACATCTGGGCTTTCTGTCAAGTCTTGGTTTCTCCCTGTCTTTAGCATTAGTTGTAATTGCCCACCACTTTTATGTCCCAAAATTCCAGAAAGTTTAAGTGGGATGCAACTTCAATTAAAGGCTGTTTTTGCAGCCTTAAAAGGAGGGGCAAAATGCCCATTACTCTGCAGGACACATTTCCACGGCAGAACTTCCAGTCAAAACCAAGTTTCTAGAATTAGTAACTATGAGTTGCACCCACTTTCATGATCTATACATAATTTAAAAGATTTTTTTTTTTTTCACATTAACATCTCGTAGGAAGAAGGGGAACATAAACTGTTTTTCTTCCGAAAAAGTCTTTCCAAAGAGTAAAATAACACACAATATTTATAGTCTGTATATAAATACATGAAATAACGTTGCAGAGAAAAAAAAATGAAAGCATTCTTAGGCAGTTGTGCATTTTTGGGAATGAGAAGGTCTAAGTTGTAGAGTGTGCTGATGCCTTTAAACAAAGTAGAGCAGGGCAGGTCAAAACACCACAGGGATTTGTGGGAGCAAGCATGGGAACTGCTTCTTATTCCATTTCCAGAGGGCAAAAATCAGCACCACCTCTTCCTCCAGTCCTACCTCCCCACTCCAAAACCTGGAACGGACTGGATTAAATGACAAAAACGCAACCGGGAGAGAGCCAGGATGAATTTTTATTCTGCTCCATGTTTTATTTTTATAGCACCAATTTAACTCATCGTTCCCTCTCCGCCCTTTAAGATCTATTTCCAGCTTGAAATCTTTTTTAATATCTCGTCCTTGGACAACAGCTGAGTAGGAACAGCCTCTCTCAGCCAAATCAATGAAGTAATTGCTTTCACTTCCCTGGAACGCTTCGTTCCTATTCTGCATTTCCTTTGATGATTTTTCTCCATTACAGACATGATGAAACAGATTTCAGGAAAAAAAAAAGTAAAAGGAATGAAATTATTTCAAAGGAGCAGAACGCTTAGGGTACAAAAATTCATAAATTAGTATAAATTAAAGATAACTGAATACTGGAAATGCAAAAAGAGGCTCTCTACCACTGTCTGTTACTTAAATTCTTTAAAATTCACTGTGGAAGTGATTTAGCATGTAAGAACTGTGGAGTTCAGCTTTCTGCAGAGAATTAAACAGTCACTAAAATCAGACCAAAAGACGTCACATTTCCGAGCACAGGGAACACAAATGCTCAGTGGTGCTCACTGAGAGCCCAGCACTTCATTAACTCAATGAATACCTGTACCAAAGTGAGGAAAAAATACATATATTGCCATTCAAAAGCAGAAGTAGTAGTCCTGGAGAAGTATTTCTAAGATTTTGCACTTTATTAAGCTGCAAACAACCATCAGTAATTAATGACTGATCCAAAACATTTTTTCCTTCTGTTGTAGTAAACCACATAATCTTCTGCTTTATGTACCTGTTCTCATTTTCTTTCTTTCCATGTGCCCTGAAAAAAGGATGGGGAGGAACACTAAATAGTTTGTGGCCTATAAATCACCTAAACCCTTACAGCTCCTGAACTCTCCAGCCACTAGAAGAGCATTTTTCATTCCCATTTATAGCTCTCTGCTCATTTGTCAGCCTTCAATTCTTGTCTCTGCCTTAGGCACAAGAGGAAGAATTTCTACAGCTGGTTGAATTAAAAATGACATTTATAGGCTGCCCAATGCCCCTGCTGCTCACAGATCTCCAAATACCAACAGGTAAAGCAACCAGCACTGTCTGGGTGGTGTGGGGAGGGGACTTGGAAAAAGGTAAAAGTCATAGGTTGAGACAGGAACAGTAATAATCTAAATAAAGTAAACATGATATGATGATAAAAACAGAATTAGAAGAAGAATAGTAAAACATGAATATATTCTCATTCTAAATCTAAAACACAGTGCTACTAAGAAGAAAAATAACCCTATTCCAACTGAAGCCAGGACAGCAGGTTTGTATTTACTGATAGCATTCACTGTTGGAACTTTTTTGTGTAGTAGTTGCTGTTTGAAGACAAGAATCTGGGGATGATAAAAAAATACAGTTCATTTAAATGGACAACTCCTCTGGGAAACTATAAAAAAAAAAGTGCTTACAGCAAGTAAGTGACAGATTAATTGCATAAGAGGGCGAAATTGTTTCACTTTCTTGCTTATTTTAAGTAATTTATGTTGATGGTTCTAAAGTACCTGTAATTGCAGCAGGAAGAGATCCTGCTCTAGGAAAAGCTGCATCCCACCCACGCCAGCTACTCTTGAGAAAGACACGGGAGAATTGGTGAGATTCAAAGGAAGGAAAATAAGAAATAAAGACTGGAAGATAAAAAAAAGAAGAAACAACAAACCCTCGTCCTCCCCTAGCAGTCTAAAGGATAAATAAGGCATGAGGTTGAGAGAAGGGGCCTGAAGCTGGTTATCCCTCACAACAAGCACATCAGCACAGAGTCAAGTTTAAAAAGGTAACAATGTCTCTTCAGTTGGGACAGAGAGGCAATAATGCAATAAATCTGAAGAATTTTTGTCCTAAAAATTAGGAAGGAAAACCAGGAAAACATATTGGCTTCTGAAAGCCATATTTACAGTACCTTTCACCGACATAAGTTTAACCTAAATCAAGTCAAGCAAAACCATCACTATCTGCTGTTGATCCCATCTGAGAACATGAAGCCTTGTCATGTATCATTAAAGGGAAAAAGAAATCCAATTACACGTTCTGTAACCAAGAACTTCTTAAATTTCCCAGCGAGGAACTTGTTCTGGGCAGGAATATTTAATGAAACACGAGTTAGGGGAGCAGTGATGGGAAACCACAGAAGGATGTGTCAGTCCCCATCAAGGGCTACCTCCCAGGGATTTCCTGCTGAAGTTGTGCTGTTTTGCGCAGGTTTTGATTTCTGTCAGTTTAACAACAGCACATCTTTCAATTAATTGTTTTCTCTACCATTCATGACTCTCTCACTGTTCAATTAGCCCTAAGGAACACATCCAGGCACATCAGCTCCATTTCTGGAGCAAGGTTTTTCCACATCAGCAGTGCAAATACCAGGCAATAACCACTCTGCCCAGGCAGCAGCAAGGCAGGGTGATGCAAGACCAACCACATGTTAGGGATGTGCAGTGCATGTCAGGACTGGCACTTCTCATCCCCAAACCCAAGAGGTGTAATTACCCTGGAAAACAAACAGAAAAACATCCAGCTACAAGTCCAAAGGTATTTAGGAGGGAAGAGCTTCCAAACACCTGCCTCTCTTCACTATTGTCATAGGAATTTCACAGGGAAACAGTGCACTTCAACCACCTGAAAAGTAACAATGGGAACAGGATGCAATCAGGATATTGATATCGAAACTTGTGTTTTCACACGAGTTTCCAAAACAGGTCTGTCCCCGTGGTGTCCATTTAAAATGAAGTAGAATATCCATTGTGACATTTCCCTTTTTTGTGCACTTGCCTTAAACCAGGAAATATTTGAAAGTGAGCTACAATCAATATATAACCCTCCCTTAACAAAATAACCCGACCGAGCAAGCAGAGAAGTCCCGCAAACCCACACACCGTGGTCCTCAAGATTTTTAAATAACTGTTTTACAGCCTGGAAACCCAATCTTGTTTTCTCAGCAAACACGAAAAAGCTGCTAAAGTATGGTAAAATTCCCAGTAAGAAAGGCATCAGAAGGCACGTCTGCAGTCTCCTTCCCTTCCAGCATTTCCTCCAGCCCAGATTCAAAACAAAACCTCTCATGTTTGGAAACAAAAGACATTCATTAGCTCTTCCATTCTTACAGAGCACTTCCAGCTTTTTGTGTAGGTGCAGGTAGCAGTTTACAGGCACTTTTCCTCCTAAGACAGGTGATGCCTCAGTCACATTTCTCCCCCTTACCAGATCGGAAGCGCTCGTCCCTCGAGTTGGTAGAGCGGGATTTCTGCTGTTTGGATACAGCAGCAGTGGCCTGGGAAGAGCCTGGCACTCTGTTCTCTGCTTGCAGGGATGGATCCACACCTGAAACACAGTTTCATTTCAGTACAAAATTCAGCTTTGCCAATAGAACATCTTGCTCCCCATGTCTGCATTCTTTTGCCACCCCTCAACATTTAACAGAGCAACACTCAGAAGATTCACAGTTCACAAAAACGCTGCAATTCTCCAACACCACCTTTGCAGATATCAAGGGCAGAATTACTGTCAGTTTCAGATGCCAAACAGCTACTGCTGTCATCTAGTTTGGCTTCATGTACTCAAGGAATCGTGACAGACCTTCCCATTCCCATTTAGGACAGCAAAAACAAGAGGAACCAAACCACTCTCTTAGTTGTCTCCTCTGCACCTGACTAGAACAGGGTTTCAGATAACTCAGAGCAGTTGCTCACCTTTAGGCTGGCTAATGTTCAGGAAGATGAATCTCACCCTGACATTCCAGTAGATCAGAAGTAAGAAATCAAAGCAGGGGGGACAGTAACAAATATTCCCTAACACTTCTCAATCCCTCAAATGTTGATAATAATCCCTGCTGGTTGTTGGTACATCGAAGACCATACAAATATGAACCAAGAACTTGACATCTGCAATTTTATTATACATCTACACTTAAAAATTTAATGTAAAAACTCCAGTGCAGTGGGAAGGGGTCTGCACCATCCCACCATAAATTTAGCTTAGTGCTGTGTTTAAGAGTAAACTTCCCCGCTGCACCAAGTTTACTGTGTTTACTCAGCCCACAGTACCACACAGGGCTGAGTAAATCTTTCGTTTTACTCCCTCCTTCCCTTGAAGAGCTTCTGCCTTCCTACCTGCCCCCGAGTCTTTCGAAAACAACGCATTTTTGAAACAAAGATACGTTTTTAAAATCTGAAAACCACACTTTCAAAATGCAAATATTTCCCAGCTCACCGAGGTGAAGGCACCACTCCAGAAGAATCTGGGCCAGTTCCTTTGCAAAGAAAGCTTACTTAACAAAAAAGGAAGGGTTCTTCTTTCTCTCATGGGGTTTCTGTTCCCTCCCCTTTGTCCCAAAGTGTGTACCAGCAAAAGAAATTGATAACTATTAACAAATCTAGCAACGATAAGACCTTTCAGTAAGATACAGTCTTCACAATTGAAGTGTAAATTATCAAGCAGGAATTGAATTCGGCATCTGAGATCTACCTCAACTGATCAAAATGAACTTTCAAATACTCTATTCAAATATAATACCCTCAGGATTTTATCATCTTCCTGCCAGAACCAATTGCTATACAGCAGCTTTCTTAGGAAGCTCTTAAGACCTCTAGATGGATGTGCTCCCTAATTCCTTTCCCCTCTCCTTTGCAGCTGACAGTGAAAACTTCTGGATGTCAAAGAAGCAACCTTGAGTTAGCCACGGGTTCAGGAAAGGGGGGTGTGTGGGGAAAAATGAGCCTAAGTAATGGAAAAAGGAATGAACATTTAATAAATCACACAGATCTAAGCTGTCAGAAATCAGTCCAAGTCACCTCCTCAAAGCCTGAGCAAAAAAAAAGGAATAAAACAATAACTTGGGTGGTGCAAAAGATACCAGAACGGGCAGCTGGGTTGGGAGGCTCCCTCAATTGGAACGCTCATGAAATTTTTGGAGAACAGAATATCTACATCTTTTTTTGTGTGTGATCTTGTCAAAAGAGACCTTGGGTGAAGAAGATAACAAAAGAAGGAGGGGGTTTTTGAGCTATTTTTTTTCCTCCAGCGTTGTTAGTTGCAAGTAGAAAAAGAGATGCATGTTGTATTCAATTCCTTCCTCTTACTGCTTCCAGTCTTGTAGCAACTACAGAGCCTGGGAATCAGGACTTGCTAAGAGACCCTTTTCCGCTTTGTGATCCCATGTGGGAGGGAAAATCAGCTGGAAAAACGAGCTGACTGGTATAAATCCACCAGGAGATGCCAAACTGCACACAGGATGCTCCTGAGCCACGTGCAACTGGAGCACGGCTGGTTGACCACACCAGAATTCCGGGGCAGGAGGAATACAGAACATTCTCCTCCTCCCAAAACTATGGAACAGATTGTTATGAATCAAGAGTAACCTGTGTGTTTTGATGAAATGTGCATCAATGAACCTTCAGAACTTCCCTTTAAATTAGGATTAGCCATGAAAGCAGGGGTTCTGTTAGAAACCACAACTCAAGTTTCTTCAGTTTAAGTCTTCCTGTTCGCTTTCTCAGAGAAGGTTTCACATCATAGTGCAAAAATACCAATGATGAATCTGAAAAAAACATCACTTTTTGATAAAAATAGTAAGACAGTGCATCCCACTCTCAATTGCATGCCAGAAATATCCCGTTCCACAGGCTTGGTGAGCTCGTTCATTTATTCTTCTACCATGTAAATCACTACCCTTAGCCTTCAGCAAAAGCAGATGGATAATCAGGCTAACTCCCTCCATTCACACTGAAGCCTTTACAAAAATAACATTTGAAGAGGGATGCACTAAAGGCACTTGATCCACTATCACTGCATGTTGTCCATTTTTAATTTACCCAAAGTCTTAAAGAGGTTGCTTATTTCAACTAACTGAGCAATTCACTTCTACAGGATGAAATTAAAGTTATTATTTGAATTATAACTGTATTTTTCCAGCCACAAACTCAGAGAATCAAGACTATTATCGACATTTCTAGCAATTTTGATTTACAGAAGCAAAAATGATTTTACTCTAAGAGCAGTGAACAGCTGCCAGGACGAGGAAGATTCTCTGCTGGCACTGCTGGGGAGGATGTGCAGCTAAAAACACCTGGCATCAGGTAGGCAGAGATCAAATTTTCAAAACATGAGATACTGAACAGCTCTGCAGAGAGAAGAGGGGCAGAGGGAGGCCAGAGAGGAAACTCCAGACTCTTTGTACAGTATCAAACCTTTCTCCAGTTATTATTATTACCTTATTCCCTGGGCCTGGGAATAAAAAAGGAACAAAAAAGACAGCAGCCACCTCAAGTGCAGCTGCACAATTCCAGATTTCTTTAAACGGAGTTTTAGGCCCAGTTATTTCCCTCCAAACCGTAAAGGAAGAAAGCAAACTCTTCTCATAAAAATGACCTGAGATGTTCAAGTTTTACATAAAAAACACACAGGCAGAGTTGCAGATCTTTTCACAGAAAACTTAAGGCAGGAAATTATTCCTCTGGAGACTGAAATCTGAGGACTGAGGTTCTCTCTTCACCTTTTGGTTGGAGAAGTCTCACCTCAGGTATAGAGTATCCACTCCTCTCTCCAGGTCATAGTTCAACCTCATCATTCTTTACTGTCATACCCCATGCTAGAACACACCACCCAATGCACACATTTTTGCCTTCAAGGATCCAAAAATAATCTCACTGTTCACACCTTCCAGGTCAGTGGGACCAAACAAGGGTCTACCCAGTGCAATTTCTTACCCAGAATAAGGTAACAGAAATTCATGAAGTTAAAAAAAAAAAATAACAAAAGGCACCTGCCACGATTCTACAACATTTTCCTCTACTCAAGGCAATAAACTCCAGCTCACAAGTTTCCACTTGGAGCAATATGAAACAATTTTAAGGGCATTGTTACTTTCCATTCAAGGAAGCACAAAACAACAGCAAAAACCACAAAGGCATAAAAGGTACTTGTAATAAATTCAATGAGTCCAAACATGAGCCGGTGTTTGGATTCAATTCAGTGACTCCAAACACTAACTAAATTGTCTCACTGAAAATACCCAGAAGCAAGAGACGTGCTTATTTAGACGCTATGACAAGGCTGGTAAGCAGAATACCTACATGTCATTAGCCAGAACTTTTAATTCCTCCAAATAATAGTCTATTTTAAGCAGCAGTTCAGGACATGCTTCACAAGCAGCCCAGCTCTCCTGACCTAAGAGCATTCTGCCTGTTCGTCACTGTCCAGCTTCTAAACCCTCTCAACCCAATATTCTACAGCAGAAAGATCCATACAGAACACATCATCCTTAAAATCATTATTAAGCTTTATATTACCTAGATGGCCTTTACCACTATTTGTGTGGTGACCACCAACCCATCACCAAAGGAACCACGGGAAAGGATGAGTGCCTTGGACCTCACCACCTAAATTCAGATCACTTTAGAACCACCTGCCCCAGGACTGGTTTCTTTGAATGACTTTTTTTAAATTCACAGAGTGAAATCACCAGCATTTTGTTTCTTCCCTTGACAGTAAGCTGAAAAATATCTGTTGTACCTAAACAGACACAGTCAGGCTGATGCAGAATGAGTCTTTACTTTTCAGAAAGGGTATGTATCCCTGGTAGCAGCAGAAACACTTTTCAGAGACATAAAATAATAAAAAAATGTAAGAAAAATTGAAGTATGGGACATGCCAGCCTTAAACAAAACTAGAGGAGGTTTCATCACCACTTTCCTTAAAAGTGAAAACTTGAAAAGAGTAACATTTCGATTTGCCAGAGCAGAAGGGCTAAGGAAGAAAAGAGGAGAAAAGTACAAAAAATAATTTTAGTTAGCGTGGAATCACTCTGGCACCAGAGGAGAAAGGAAGTCACTCAGCAAGGAGTTTCCCTGGCACTCACTAAATCTAGAGAAGTGATTCCCAGGGACTGCTCTGTAAATTAGCACCAGGACCCTGACTGCAGTTGCAACCTCATTCACCCAGCAGAAGAGGCAACTTGAAAATTACCAGTAATACTGTAAAAAGATCAGTAAGAAATCAGGATACTCAGGAAACGACCATCACAAGGCAAGAGTTCTGTTAGAAAGCAAGCCCAAGACTGGCACCTTCACGGTAACATCACCATCCCTGGTAAAAGACTGAGAACTGACACCCAGGAGATGGAAAAACTGTGTGCCCAAGACAAGTGGAGGAATAAAAAATACTTCCAGTTCATTGGAAGTGATAAGCTTTGGGAAGAATAAGGAGCAGCATGGTAAGCAACAGAGCATCTGAAAGTGTAAGGAAGCAAAATGAACTCTCCTGGCAGACACTCCCCACTGGCTTCAGCTCACAGAGTACACAACAGCCTCTCTTCTGCTTTAGAGAGATCCTTTTGAATGTCTCCCCTTCCAGCCAAGGGAGGTATGGTTTTCCTTTACAGTGCAGTCATCTTTCCCTTTCAGCAGCTGCGCTTTGGTTCAAAAACTGCATATATTATAAATATTATATGTATGTAACAGTGCAGTTGTTTTATTTATATTTTTATATATAAAGATATATCAAATCTATTTTTATATATATTAGATAGATAGACAGACAGATGAGAAACACCTACACCAGCCAAGTTATAAAACTCCAGAAAAATACTTGTGGTTTTTTTTAAAGAAGCAGTTGGTAGGTGAGCAGGAAATTACCAAAGGAGCAGAGAACTGTTCCAGGGTAACTCCTATTTAACAAAAGGAACTGCAGACTACTTTCGTGGTTGTTGTCCTAAACTCTGAAGTTCGTACTTCATCTTTCCTTTCGGTTAAATTAGCTTTGAAATGGTTTCAGGGGTCTGGAGTATCAGCAGAGTTCAGGTAAAGGCACGGCAAGCACCACGAAGAAGTCTACAAGTTACCAACAGTTCCTATTGGAGTGCAGAGGAGAAATTCTCTTTATTTCACATCAAACATGACACTCCACTCCCCAAGATGAATTTTTTAATGCTCTAATGTCCTGGTTCTGCCCAGGACAGGGTAATTTTTGCAGTAGCCAGGAGGGGGCATGGCCAGGACCCTGAGGTTGTTCTAAACCACCTCCTGTCATTGCCAGGAACTATCAAAAGGTTCCTGAAATTCAACAGAGTGATGACAACTAAGTATATATAGAATATATTATATATAGTATGCACATATACAGTATATACACTATATAAAGTAGGTATATATGTAGTATATATACACATACATACACAGTATATTTGCTATATACAATATACTCTATACTCCAGTATATGGTACCCTTGGCTCAAGGAAAGAAGGGAAGAGTTGGTGCCCATCAGGACAGGACACTCACTGCAAATGCTTCTGATTTTATCATGTTGTTTCTGAAGGTTTTTACACCCCAGCTCCATCCACATTCAAAATCCATCTCTGCCACATGTCTGATGTCATCCATCCCTGGGGAAGGTTCACCATGCAGCATGCCAGCTTGCCTACAGATATAATTAATTATTTCCTCAGAGTTTTATCTGAAATTTGCACACAGAGGTTGACTGAGGAAGCCAATTACGGACTATTAAGTCTTACCTCATTAAAATAATTAATTACTGTTTAAGCCTTGCTATTGCTCAACACTTGGTTTCAATTTTGCACAGTGCATTGGTTGGATCAGTGAAAGATAACTCAATATTTCCCTGTAACTACACAGTTTTGTGGTTCCTAAGAGAAATCTTAACATTTGCACTAGCTCTTCATCACTGCAGGTTTAGAGTTTTAGAACACAAAACAGCCTAAAGGGATGCAACTCCTGAATGGTGACGTGTTCTGCTTAATTTTCCTGTTCATTGAAAACACGCTTTGCAGCCACTGCTGTGCTTCTCTGTTCACCAAGCCTTCTGTGGAGTTATTTACCACTGTCTGGGTAAAAGCTAAAACTTTCAGAAAAGCCAAACTTGCAGAACTGCATGAATGTGTTTCCAAGGCATAAAGCCGTAGAAAGACATGAGCTAGTGGTCCTGAAGACAGTCACGTCACAGAGCTAAGAACTCGAATCTAAAATGCTGACAACTCATCAGTCTGCAAAAACTTAATGGATAATGAATCTTATGAATCCTATCAGGAACGCTGCAATCAAGTTGTTAATGAAAAAAAAAAATGTTTCTGCAGGCTCAAAGCCCTTGGGACTCCCACGCTCTAATCTGAGCTGCGCCGAAGCTGTGTCAATTAACCAAATTCCAAGCTACAACTGGGTTAATGGAACATATGTCAGGAAATTGAAATAAGCAGTTAGCTTCATGTTTTAAGCAAATTTTGTCTTTTTGACAGAGTATCATTCTTTGTGCTCAGGTACAGACAGCCTAATAATTTTTTTTAGCATATTAAAGCTAGATTCCTGTCAGCTTATTGCTAAACTAGGTAGAAGTGGTAAAAAAAAAAGAATCAGGTAATCTGGTATTTCTTAGAAAACATGGTATCAAGCAAGTAGGATTTTTGCTGCCTATTAAACCACTCTTGAAGGTGATTACAGAAAACTGGCTGAACAAGGAGAAATTTTTAAGCAGCTTGAAATCTAAAGGGACCCAGGATTCTTGGTTTAGCCTAAAATCAGATCACAGACAAACCAGGAGACCATGGATCTGCACTGCCAGCTCCTCGGGACATGCTTACTTCCAAACAGTGCCCAGGATGTCAGGGGGTTAACCCAGAGCATGTGAAGTCACTCCTCCTGAATGAAACCCTCCTGGACACCTCCAGTTTGAAAGACAAGCTCCAGTAAAAACAACACATGAATAGAAAGGAGTGAAGGCAGAGTAAATCAAAGGTGATGAGATTAAGCTAGAGACAGAAATACAAAGGCTTTCTAGTAGAGGGCATTGGCAGAATATTCCTTGTAATGGTAAATCCTGGGTCAAAATCCATATTTCACCTGGTCTCAGAGTCTTTAACTAAGCTGAGCTGGAGGACAGGGCACTCTGAACAAAAAACTGAGACAGTTCTTTCCAGAGAACTGGTGTAAGGAGGAGAAGTTGTGGCTGGTGAGGCCTCAGCTTATTCCTGACTGTCAAAGTGACCCAAAAAAATCCAAACTGCTTCTATCCAAGGAATGAGCCATTTTACAGAGAAGACTTTGGTTCTGCATTCTACAGAGATTATAAATATGCTAAGGTAAAGCCTACACCTGTTCTTAAAAAAGCCCCCACCAAACCAAATAAAAACCAAAACTACAAAAAGAAACCTTTGCTCAGAACCCCCATGATGGCACACCAGATTATGTTCTGACTGTTCAACAGTAACTATTTACTGTTATTTACTGTTTTTGTTATTTACTATTTTTATTTCTTCCACTCAACCTGGTTTTCTTCTTGTTTTCCCTTATCTTAACCAAAATCTCTCAAGTTGCAGAAAAATTGGGGGATTTTAGTACCCCAAAGCACAACAGCTCTAACCCCAAGTGATTTCGGTGTCCTAGTACAAAAATAAATTAAAAAAAAAAAAAAAGGGGGGGGGCATTTAGGTTTTGGCCAAGATCAAGTCTGATAATAACCAATTTCAGAATAGTTTATAATAAAACAGTATTTTTAAATAAAGAGTGGGTACAGGGAAAGAGGGGGAAATGGGGTGAGGCAGAGGGTGAGTGAAAAAAAAGCACATTAGAGCATGACAGTGATGACTGTTGAGCATTTCCATCTAAGGAAAGCAGCCAATTCCCTTTTGGGCAATAACTTTACTAATTTCTAAAGTTGTCTTAAAGTCCCAGATGCAGTTGCCAAACTAAGGTTTGCTGACAAGAATGTTACCATTTAACATTTCATATAAAACTTAAAAAAACAAACAAACAAACAGTTTCAGGCTTTTCCCTCGCTCTTCACTTCTCTGTAACAGCCATTTCCAACTGCTGGTTAGATGCCACATCAAACACTATTATAATTCATCCAGGGTATTTAATGAGAGCTTTTCCATTACAGATTTTCCCAGATTTAGCAACTTCCACGCAGTTTCTCACCTTGAATGAGTGGTATGTACCGTGCTAACAGCTTTGCCCTCTTCTTTTCATATCCTTTCTGAGTGATGTCTCCTAAAGAAAAGAAGAAATAAATTCATGCTGTTTTAGAAGTTCTACATTTGGATCTTTGCTTCAAGCACATTGTTCCAGAAACATATTAGTGAAAGAGTATAACTAACTATGTATGAAGCAAAAAACCCACAAAAAAATTTAAAAAAAAGGCATTAGTTACATATATATGGATTCAGTAAAACCCCAACCTCCATCCCAGTGAACATGCATCATTTCAAGCTATTGACAGCGTGCCAAAACAAGCAATGGGAGCTGGAAGACACCGTTCAAAACAGAAAGAAAAAAAAACACAACAAAGGCATATCCTGGAGTGCTTCGATCATTGCAGGTACTTCAAACTACAATCAGTCAGTTTTTACTCATAAACCTGGGTAAATATTTCCTATAAAATTTGGACACAAGACAGAAATTACCAGAAAACTTTTTAGCAGAGGAAATATATATACATAATTATATCGAAATGAGAATGAGATCAAAACAAAACAAAACACCACAAATGCCCAAGCAAAACGACAAATTACACTTTTTAAGAAGAAAGAAAAAAAGGGTATCAGAAGAGATGCATAATTTTCAGTGGTGGAGGAAAAAAACCCAGTCCAACAGATGAGAAGCACCAGAAATAAAGCTCAGCAAATTCTTTAAGGATCCAAACTGTACCTTACACCAGCTGGCCATGCTGTAAGCTCAAGGGCAGCGATTTTCACAGCTCCATAAACCCTTCATGTCACCTTTAAACCCACGCTCCGGGTAGCTCAGCCCCTGCCAGGCACCACCCGGTGGAACAGGGAGGCCAGGGAAGCACCGATCCAAAGGCAGGGTTGAAAAGAGGCTCCTTTAAACCAGAGCACTTCAACCTCTGCCACCTCCCTGCACTTGGAAAGTCTTTGATTTTGCTGGAATGCTGACTCTGAAGGACTCTCCTCGAACGAGGTTAAGAAGGGGACAAAGTCAGAAGCGTCTCTGTGCCTTGTGCAGGTCGGGCTGAGCTGCCCAGCCAAGCTGGGCTTTGTTCCTTTCTCCAAAGCCTGCGGGTGGACTCCTCCTGACAACTGACAACTCCCCCCCCACACCCCCAAAGCCTCGGGGGGATTAACCCATCACATGGGGTTCTTTGTGAGCCCTCAAATCTTCCCAAAAGAGCCGCCTGGCCACATCTGGTAACTGCCAGGGCCACAGCTGCTGTCATTCAGCCTCACTTTCTCCTGGGTTACTGCATCACACAAAAGCAGTCTGAGGTTCCACAGCCTCAGCACAGCAGCTGGGAAGCCTGCAGAAGCCTGAGCTGTTAGATCTCTGCTTGGAATGGATCTCTGCCTGAAATATCTGAAGTATTACAAAACATACATATAAAATATAAAAAGGTATATATTTTATTATATATTTTTTTATTTATATATATAAAAAATGTCAGAGGCTCCAAGAAAATTAGACAGAGATGAAAAAGTGTCGGCATTTCTTAAAATGATCCATAAAAAGTGTATCCTTCACTCTTCACAGGAATCTGTTATGCAGTTTCCCTGAACCTACCCAGGCGTGGTTCCATTCCACAGTGTTAGCACTAGAGCTGACAGAAGTTTAATGCCAAATTCACTGAACAGAGCTGAGGGTGGCTCTGTGAGAGCCTGGCACTTGCTACAGATAAGAAAGTGGCTCCTCGTCCCTCAATTTGCAGAGGTCAAGAGCAGAGACGTTTCTAAACGAGCTGACTGTGCATTCACCGTGGATGAACGTAAGCTGTTATTAACTCTGCAAGATGAAACCTTTGAGAACTGGCCACTGGTGAGCACAGTCACAATCTCAGGTCCATCAGCTCCTGACAAATCACTGCAGAAACCTTTGCCAGTTCCTTCAGCGCGAAGCCAAGGGCACGAACATTGGCTGCTGGATGCAGAGGTGGCTCTGGGATGGTTTGCAAAGGAAGGCAAGTTGCCAGTCTAGAACATAACTCACATGTCACCTGTGGAAATACTTAAAATACATCCTCCATGTTTCTGGAAGAATCAATTCAGCAAGAACCACTGCTAATTCTACCTCTTAAACAACCTTGGTAAATAGTTTTGTAATACCGAGAAATCACTTCACCTGACCTGTAACAAGGACAACAAAACCATCTAAACAACAACCTCTGCTTCAGAAATCTCGAGGATGCTGTTCCCTCGAACCCAGCCCTGAGAACTGCAGTAAGCAGAGACTGAAAACAAACCCACACTCCTACAAACACGTTTATCTTTTTGGTAAGATGCACCTTACAGTCGAGCAGGTTTCAGAAAGTCCTTGCTAATTGTTATCAATGTGTGAAGACTGAAAATGGAGAAAGCACGGCAGTAGAATGAAGTTGTTCACTAAGGGGCATCAACCACATGTAATCCCTGCAGTGAATACTCAGCCATTATTTTAGGTCAGATCTCTATTTTCAGTCTCATATGACACATCCCAAGCCATGTCAGACACCTCGTTACTCAGCTTTGAACTTAAAGGTGTGTAAATTGTCACACCACCACGGCAGCCAGTACAGGTCCCTGGTACACAGTCACAGACACACAAAATTTGGAAAAGATCTCTAAGAGAGGAGGAATAAGGTGTGGTGCCAAAATACAGCAGGATGATCATATTCATGCCTACACTTGTAGCCACAAATGGAAGCCCCAGTGCAGCCAAGCCCACTACAACAAGAGCCCTGCAGAACAAATGCCCTGTTAATCCTTCTCTCTGGGATTGCTGAATTTGTGGATGACAGGACTAACCCCAGAAGTACAAGATTATGCATGATCTCGTGTGCATGAGTACTTGCCACAGGGGTGAGAAGTGCCACAATATCCAGTGAAGGAAGGAAAGCAAGAGGCACAGTCCTCACTGGAATAGAGGGCAGAGCTGACAAAGCTGACTGAGGTGTTATTGGCTTAAAAAAAATCACCAGCACCAAAACTTTATCACCCACGGAAAGTTTTGTGGACTTGCCACAGAATGATCCCAGACTCATAGAAGGGTTTGGGTTGGAAGGGACCTTAAAGCTCATCTTGTTCCAACCCCTGCCACGGGCAGGGACACCTTCCACTAGCTCAGGCTGCTCCAAGCCCCGTCCAACCTGGCCTTGGACACTTCCAGGGATGGGGCAGCCACAGCTTCTCTGGGCAGAGAAGTTCTCTTGTTCTCTTTCCCAAAAGATCATCATGCAGCCCACACTGACTGTTTAAATGTGCTTAAAGCCTTCACCCAGCAAACATTTGGAAAGACTGGAAGTGGTTTGGGATGTATTTTCTCCACATGCACATCTGAGAGCTTCAAGTCAGGGCACATGCAGGTGTCCCATCGAAAGATTCTGACAGTGACAGTTCACCATCCTTTTGACTAACCCTCAGGCTTTAATCACCACCCAAATCCAGGAACCACAAAAGCTCTCCCAAACCTACCAGTAGTGCCCATTTCAAGATGTGGTTACCTGCAGCACGTTCCTCTCCCAGACACCACACTCACTTGCAGAAATCAGGCAACAGGCAAACTGATCAACAGATCACAAAGGAACTAGAAGATGGAAATTCTTATTTGCAATGAAAGAAAGGGTTTTGGACCTTCAAACTATACCCCAGGCACCAATGGCTGCTGCCATTCCCCGAGATATAGGCCCTGATAGGTCTGTGTCTACTACATCTGGTAGGTCAATTGACACCTTAATTTAGCTGGCAGATGATGAGCTAAGTGAAGTGTGAAAACACCTTGATTGTAATCTTTCATATTACAGGAATCTGTTCAAAACAGAAATAAGTGACATCTGATCACTCCATATGGCGATGTGCTTGACTAACCTACCAGAAATTCCATTTCAAAGGTCCTATTTGAAACCTGCTGAGATCACCAGGATGCCTTTGAAGCAGCGTTAGAAGTTCAGCACAACTTCACTGAAAATCTATGTTATTGGTAATTCTTAATTTGCAGCAGGACTTTCATCCCTTTGAGAGAATTCAAGCTATCAAAGTGCCAAAACTCGCCTGCATGTAAAAGCAACAGCATGGAAGGAAATACACAACTACTTAAATGTAGAGTTTCATTAAAGCTGTGCATACATGACAACCACTGAAACATCAAGCTCTAGAAACAAGAAAAATATTGACTAGTTAATTGTGTTAATGACAGAGAGGGGAAGAATTTTACCAATATGTTAACAGTAGAAAACTCCATCTTCCACTTTGTGCACAGTTACACAGTGGGACCATCTATTTTACAACACCACTAACTGCCTAAAAATCACATAATGCATTATCAAAACCAACAGATTTAGTCTGATAATGCTAAATGTTAGAACTAGAAAATTCTACCCTGACACGTTTACATATCACCTTTTCACCTCGAAGATTCAAAGCAGTTGCAGGACAAAGGCACCACTTACATTTACAAACTAAGAAAGCCAAGGTGAGTGAAGCATGCTAGTCCTGACAGCATGTGCAAGGGCAGATCATTCCAGGTTGTTCTGTACAACGCACACTTGTGAACTGTGCATTTACACCGGGAGAAGAGAGAGCTGGTCCCTTTTAACTCTGGAGCTGCCCGGCCTTTAAAAACATTTACTTGCTTCGTCTGTCAGGAGCCAGTGTTTGGCAGGGTAAGAGAAGGTTAAATAACTGAATCAGAAAAGAAGCCTTAGCAGAAGAGTTTCCAGGTTCAGCTAAGCCCAGTTAATGAATTGTTGTTGCACTGCTGCAGTAAATCTTTAAGCTCCATCCACAGGGACACGGGAAGAGCTCCAACTCGACCACCTCCCTTCTCTGCCGTCAGGGCTCCCCGCAGAGCACGGACCCAGAGCGACAGATGCCAGCTACGTGTGCACCTGCAGGTGAACAACATCCATCAAACCAGGTACAGCCCTCATTTCTCATCATTATGGAGATCACTGGTGCCACCATCCCCCTCAAGAAGCCGAGGAAAGCTGTGTGCATGGGGAGGGAGCGATGGGAATCATCTGGTCCCGCAGGGAACGTGCTGTCCGCTTCCACAAAAGCCAACAA